AAAAACGAAAGTATTTATACAATAGCAATGATAAACTTACTAAAGAAAATTTCCATAGAAATATACATGTGATATATACGATACATATACAGTACTATATTGTATATATGTAATTATTGTTCTATGGGCTAATGCTTATGTATATCTTATACTCCCTGAGCAATAGCCAGCACTTGGTTTGCATTTTAAGTTTTATTTAATGCCTTACAGATGTGTATGACTTGATTACTAATTGTGTTATTCTCAACATGTATTATGTAAAATGTAATTTAATTAATTTAATCAATATTAACATAACATTATAACAATGTTTTATTAGTTAAAATTTTAAATATAAATAATTAGCATAAAATTATGATTATGTTGACACATCAATTGAATTAAACAGAAAATTATAATTTCTAAAATAATTTTATCCGACAAACCATTTGTAAATATATTTATTAATATATGATTTTTATTTATGCAATCAATACTTTTCCATAAATTTGAAGCATTTTGAGAGATAGAAATAAAAAGATAAATTAATAAATAGATAGAAAATCAGTTTGAAATAAATGTTTTCTTAATTCAACTCAAGATTTATGACATTTTATTTTATTGGTTACTATTCTTTAAGAATTGTTATAAAAACTTATCGCCTTTTCTTTACAAATGATGTTTTCTTCCAATACTTTACATGTAATAAGTGTTGGCTTTGAATAAAAAACGGTATTTGTTTTGATGTCGGCATACAATTTGACTATAATATCAAATAAAGTTAATATGCATTAGATTTGCATTTATTAATTAAATTAACTAAAAATTAAACTATTTTTAACTTTTTAAAAATAACAATGCCAAATTAATATTGTTAAAAATATAGCAATATTTTAATATATGAACTAGGCTTTTAAATAATTTTTGAAAACATTTATATTAGTAACAAAATACAGTATAATTTATAGTAATTGACACTCATTTATAACAATTTTTAAAATTACAATTAATTTCAACATAAAGTCCATAAAATGCTGTTAAGTTGTGTCTAACATTATTCTGTGATTTGTTGTGTTATTATATATGTTTTGCTATTTAATTGTATTTTATATTTATATTAAATTTTGACCCAAACTGCCCTTTAAATTTAATACAGTTTGCAAGTCACTAAATATTAATATATTTTTATTTATTAATTAAAAAATTTATAATACCTTTTATAATATCAAAAAATTAATTTACAGAATATACTTTAGTTATTAAAATAATTGAAATTAATAAATTGTAAACTTTAAATCTTTATAAAAAATATTGCTTACTTTTATTTTTTTATTTAAAAAAAGTGTTGGACTGTACAAAAAATGTCATAACATTTGTGATAACACTTTAGTGATATATTATTGTAATGTGTTTTGTACAGTGAATATCATTTTTAGTGCTCTAAACCAAAAATATAATAAATTCTTGCATTTTATCAGTTCTTATTCTATAATATAAGAGCTTTTGAATAACAACTTATATTTTGTGATATATAGACTATAGTCTTATACAATATAATCACATATAAAAAATAGCATTTGTTTAAATGCTAAATTTAGATCTATGCTTTAACTTAGAAGTTTATTAATATAATAAATAGTTTATTTTTTTAATTCATTGATATGTTATTATAATCACAAATAGACTAAATAAAAACCGCTGTCTATTATATTATATTTAAAATTTATGTCAATTTTTATATTGTACAGAATATGTCTATACTATTTATATTATAATTTATAGCTAAAAATGTAATATATCGGTGAATAAAATATTTTTATAATATATATAAGCAATTTATTTGCTTTTTATAGTTAAAAAAAACATTTCAATTTAGAATATTATGTAAAATTTTCAAATATTGTTCAACGATTTGACTATTTTTTATTTATGTAGTTTTTTGCTTAATTTTCACAATCATTGAACACAACATTCAGTGTTCAGTTTTTGGCGATTTCATAAATAAACAAATGAGTTATAAATTATTTTAAATAATTTGAAACCTATTTTTATATTAAAAAAATATTTAAATAAAAAATTAGTATTTCATAAATATTTTTAAAAAATATAATAATAAATAAATTTACTTGAAAATAAAATAAAAATTAATATTAAGATATTAACAAAATTAAAAATGAAACTGTAAATATGGTATGGATTAAACATAAAAATTAACAATGGTTTTACTGTAGTATAATTAATCAATTAAGCTTAATCAATAATATTTAATTACTTTTATCATCTAAATATTATTATTAGCTGTTTTTATTGAATAAAATATAAGAAACTCTATAATCCAAAATTATCACTAGTGTATCAAAAGATATACAGTAAATAGTATATATTAATTTTAACATATTTGGCAATTAATATGTATAAATGTATAAATAAATGTATTATTAAAATAAAATTAAAAATAATTGATATTTATATTGATTAGATCATTAGACAACATTATCTATAGTCTAATAGTCAATATAGAAAACAACTATAAATCATAATAATTAAGATAAACAAATTTCTATATAAATAATATGCATATTATAAATATTTATCATAAAAGCATTTAAGTTGTTATATTATTGGCGATGTGTAGGCGGTTATATCAGACACTTGTGAATTTTGAATGCCATTAATAGTGATATTAAATAAATAAGTAATTAACTAAATTAATTATATAAAAAAGTATTTTACATTTTGTTAAAAATTATATTTATAATTATATTATAATACACTTTTATATTTTTCATTATCTATAGTGTAATGTTATTATATTAAATAATGAATAAGATATATAATAAATTAACTCTAATGAAAATAACAAATATAAGTAACGTAACAAAGATTTAATTGAATTCAAAGTCATATAAATAAGGTTTTGTACAAAAGGTTAAACAAATACAAAACCATTTATACATTATTTACACATTTTATTAATCTAACAAATATTCTTTATATATATTTTTATGTCATTAAACATTTACTAACAATAAAATAAATTTATATGTTATATGAAACATCAATAATTTGTTTATTAGTACATTATGTATCATATTTGTATAACATATAATTTATTTATAGTATATTACTAAATACAGTATTAAGATATATTTTTATAATTATTTTATATATAAATTTCTAGTTAATTTAAATAAACATTTACTATTTTGTACAATTATAAACGGTGTCTAAAGTTATAGTGTTTAATAATTAAAAATTATTTTGTTTGTCTAATTTTATAAATGTTTTCATTTTATAACTAATGCTTTATATAATTTTCTATATATTAGTGATTTTTGATCATTCAATATTAAAGAATTTAGTTTTATAATGTTGAATAAATTTATATTTATACTAAATAAAAAATAACATTCAATTATATGGACATTTATTGATTATTTTTTGAGAAAATTTTTATGTCAATATTTTATACAAAAATGTTTTATAAGCAAATTGATAAAATTATTATTATAACTACTACTACCACTATACAGTATTATCACAATAATAATACAGTTACTACAGTATAAGGCACTATACTGTGTAAGTTTACTGTAGTATTTTTATTGTCAAAAATTTAAATATTTTATGTTTTGTTATGAAAACAAATGTTTTTGAAGTAGAGGTACTTTTAAAAATATTTTTTAAAGTAATGAATTAAAATTTTTTGAATTTTAAATACATTAATATATAATATATTAAGTAATATTCAACTTAGCTTTGCCTGAATTAAATCAGTAATTTATTTATAAAAGTAATATCTTCAGGAAATCTAAACTTAATGTTTATTTTAATAATGTAAATGCATTGTTATGCAATCTGACTATTTTATATTTATTTATAATGTGATTTTACTATATTTTACTGATTTAATCGATTAATTGAATAATAACAATAGCAATTTATATTATTAAAAATACATTTAATTTAATAGAAATAAATAGAAATAAATAGAAATAAAAATTAAGCTTAACAAATTTAAATTTATTAAAAAAATTCAAACTAATAAATTATAAAAAATAATGTCAATATTTCATTCTAAACAAAATTAACTAATGATTAATTTTAATTTATTTATCAGAAATTATTTATTTACTTATTTATATATAAATATTAATTATTAAGAAAACATTAATATTCTTTAATATATTGTCAATATATGTCTGAGAAAATTGATTTTAACGATAATTTAATTTAATTTCATGTYTTATAATTTTATATATAAGACTACAATCATTTTTTAAACAAATGTTTAATTTTGTACAAATGGTTTCATAGTTGTATTTTGTAGTTTATTTTAAAAAACAACTATATATTTTGATTAAAAATTATTTATTGAAATTCAATCTTTAATAAATCCCAATATTGACATTGTTATTGTTATAAAATAGTAAATATTGTCATTTTAGATTATTTAAGATTATTTTTTATRAAAAAATCCAATAGTTATAATAAACTTAAAGATTTTTTCTATTTTTTAAATTTCTTATGTTTAACACTACATAAAAGGCAATTATAACATACAATATCTAAAGTTTAAAAATATTTACTAAAAATAAGTTGTGTTCAACAATAAGTGTATAATTTAAGTGAATCTTATTTGTCGTACACTAACCGTATAAATAAAAACATTTGATATTTCTATTAACATTTAGTCCAATATATAATATGTTTATACAGTATTTTTAGTTGAATTATATATTGTTTCTAAAGACATAAATTTTTGTGTCACTCACATAAAAATTTGTTAAAAGGTTTTTTATATTAAATTTTTGTATCACAGATTTATATTTGTTGTTATTAGTTATTTATTGTTTTAAAACATGACAACCGTTTATTTAATAATTTAATTAAATATACTTTTGACATTTTAGTTTTTATATAAGTCATTCAAAAAATTATTATTATTATTATATCATAAATTTATTTAATCAAATAAAAATATTTTCTAAAAGATTAAAATCAAGTCAACTATAATAGTGATGGCAAAGAATGTACCGATAAGAGGTCTGGGCATTGGTGTCGGCAGTTTGAACATCAATGAGACCCATATTAAAGACGAACCGGTATGCCATCCGTCGCAATCAACAGAAGTGGTCATATTATTAACAATTGCATCGATTGGTTGTCTCACAAACTTATTGCTTATGTTATTAGTTTTGATAAGAAAACCATTCAAGAGATATCATAAAAGGTATTTAACAATTTATAACATTTTGTGTATTATTTTACACATTTAATGATAATATTTATTTTTTTACAATACAAATAACATTTGAGTAATCAATCACTTGTTAACAATTATTGATTATAAATTTATTATATTATTACAATATTTATAATAATACAACTCAAAATTATAGTTAAATTGTTTATAACCAATAGCTTTGCGTGTATTTAACTTAGCTTTTATTAGTTTATATATATATATATATATATATATATATATATATATTTCTGCAAAAATATTATTAGTATTTATATTATGTCTTTCCTCATCATATCTCGTTGTAATACAATGTAAAATAACTAAGAATTTATAGGACAATAACACACAACATGTTATATATAAATGAATTCTTAAATGTTATTACATTYATGTTTTATTGCAATAGTTATAAGCACTCGAGTATCTCAATAGATATAAATTTATGTGAATGTGTTTTACTGTTTATAATATATATAAAAATACTCACTATTTGACTCAATTCTTTATAAATTGAGATTTATGTCTAAATTTTGGTTTTAGTTCGCTTTTATTTGTTTTAGAAATTTTGTTTTTTATTATTTTCCACATTTAATTGTTAAAGAAATTTACTATAATATTAAATATTAATCTTAGCAATCAATTCAACTAATCTATAAAACTTTTTTGTAACTTACAAAATAACAATGATTTATTTAGTTTAATTTGAATTAAATAAATGTCAGTTTACAAATAATAATTATATGTATACAGTAACATATATTTGTAATATATATACCGTATATACTATAAACATAATGAATATTMATATACAATATAATATTATTCAGTAAAATTAACATAATAATCAGTGCTTTAAATATTAGTAATATATAATGACACTATAATAATGTTAATTAAATTGATAAATCACATATTTGTAGAAATATTTTTTATTATTATACATAATTATTATTAGCAACTACTTTAATTATATAACTATATGAACTATTATTATATTAACAATTGAATAAATTGAATTTATAATTTTATGTAAAAAAAWTTTTAAAAAAATGAAAACTTAATGAAAATTTTTATAAGAATTTTTTGTTTGTGCAAAATAGCGTTATATTTAATTTACAAATTACATATTTAAATGACTAAATATTAATCTATTTTTTCCATATAATTATGTGAAAATATAGTAAATACACAGGTAAATTTTCTATTATGATAAAAAACTTAAGTACAACATTGATTTTATTTTAATATTATACGAGTTTTCTAACTAAATTATAATCTTAACTAAAATAATATTGTAAAAAGTTATTATACTCACATTATATTATCAATATAAATTTTGAAATAATTTATTGATTTATAAATTAGATTATAATATAAAATATATATATTGTATGATATATTGATTAACAATAACATTTGTAATGTAGTGGGTTGTCATATGATAATCTATAATATAAGAGGTAATAATATGTAATATATTGTAGCACTTAATATCTGCTCCCATGACTTGTAGTAATCATTTATCATAAAAACTGGTCAGAGATGACATTAAATGCACTTAAAATATATTTTATATTATACTACATATTATGTAATATATTGTACAATAAACCAAAGTATATATTTTGTGTATATAATAATAAATTTTTATTTATTCTCAATTTTGAAAAATTTTGTAAAATTTGATATATTTATTATCCATAAAAGATGAATATGATTTTGTCAATTTGATTAATTGTTTTTTATGATCCTATTTTTTCATTTGCACAGTTATACTCTACATTATTAATATTAATGAAACTATATTTTTAAACTAATTTAAATAAATCCATGTTCTATCTATCAATAGATTCTAAGGTGTATTAATAAATATTAATCAATAAGACTTAAAATTTATGTCTTAATTAATAATATATTATGACATTATGATATAATGAGATATAAATAATAAAATTTTCTAATCTTTTTATATTTACTTGATTTTTGTCCGGTTTTTTATATTTTTATTTTGTATTTAATTTAACATAAAACAGTATAATAGGATATTATTTTAATAAGTAGTCTTTTATTAATTTTAAATTATTACGAAAGTGTGTTAGAATTAGAGTTAGCAAAAAAAAGAAATTTTTGGAAACTTTCTAAAAGAGATTTGTGTCATTCGATCCCATATTAATTTTGTTCTCTCGGTATTTGTTATCTTCAAAAAATTCATTATAACTATAAATATTAACTAAATTTAATTATTAATATTTAAAGTAAAAAATAGTTCATTTAATCACATTAAACTAAAAATAAAATTTTACAAAAACTATAATTATAATTAGATAATTTTATAAATAAGAATCCCATTAATATAGTAGTGTGTGTGTGTGTGTGTGTGTGTGTGTGTGTGTGTGTGTGTGTGTGTGTGTGTGTGTGTGTGTGTGTGTGTGTGTGTGTGTGTGTGTGTGTGTTATACTGTATATTATGTATCATTAGTACAGTATTACAATAACTATAGATATGAGGATCCCATAGTATAATGATAAACAAAATTTTCTATAGAAATTTATTGCTAGGAAAGATTCTATACATTTTCAAACGGAAATTTATTAGAAAATTTCTATTTGCTCATTTCTAGTTACAATAGACATAGTTTTATCGAATTGACTGAAATGGTCTAAAGTTGTTGGTATTGTATGTGTATTTGATAAATGTATTACATGTATACCAATACTAACACAAATATTTTTATAAAATATTATATAATGATATGTTATATATGACTAAACATGAAAACTCATGGGATCACAATATCTCAAAAATATAATAGATATAAAAAATCAATAAATATTAAAGAAAATTAAAATGGTTTTTTGACTTGAAGACATTTTTTTCTAAATAATTGTCTACTTTTTACTTAAATTATTTATAAATCAAATTGGATAAATATTTAAATTAATCTAATTAATATTTTATTAAATATAAGAAATTTAACACTGTATTTAATTAATCAATTAAACAATTTATTTAATTATCCACAATTTGTTTTATTTAAAAATATAAAAATAGAATATATTATGTGTGTGTGCATGCGTGACCTGGACACTATATTTAATCATATGTTTATATAAAATACTAACAAATGAAGTTTTATTTTGTTATATAAAACTATAACAAATAATACTATTATATTATATACTGTATTGATAGCAGTTATATTGTATATAATATATTGTTGAAAACATGTAGAATTAATCACACAGTGGTTCAATAAATTTATGTATTGATGTTATTTTTGTGGTAAGTAATTAGGTTTATGACAACGATAATCATCTTCAATATTGTGTAAATCAATATAATTTAATAAATTATTTATATACCAAAATAATACTCTATATTGCTATTTAATATAACTATTGTTTACATTAAATTTTAAACTTTTTGTGCATAACTTTATACTTATTACATATATTTATTGATTTACAATAAGACATAAAATACAAATCTGATAACAAGTTTTATAAAAAAAATTATTTAATTAAATGTAAAATAATTTATAATAATTAAATTGACTAAAATTGTCAAAACACTAAAATAATAATCTCTTAATTATCCACTTTTTTATCAGTTGGTCTCAAGGATTACTACTACATCAAGGATTAGTAGATTTAGGTCGTGCTTTGCTTATCATTCCTCTGGCAATAAGTGTTATGCAATGCCAACGATTGACGCGCTGTTCGATAATAGACTCCGTGTTCTTACTGTTGGTGACGGTGTCGACCGTTAATATGTTGACCTGTCTTATCAATGACGCGCCTATATTTCCAGAGCACGAACAGTTGGGTCGAGTACTCGGATCAATACAACACCAACCGGTAATTGTTTTAGTGTTTATACTGTATTCAAAATATCGATGCTTAGCATAAATGCTTAAATAAATTATATGAATACAAGTTATTATTAAATTACATGTATATGTAATCTTATTAACATTATTGCATTTTTATTAAGCATTTATTTACATAATATTAATCAGATGTTTAATAAAAAGATTAATTATTATATTTAATTTGTTTATTTAAACAACTAATTAACTTAATAAACTGAATAATATATTACATAATTTATCTTATTGTACAATATTCTATKTATACAATATATTGTATAAATAGTATTTAATTTATAATAAATTTTAAACTAACTTTAAAATTTGATACTTAAATTTTCCAGTTTATAATTTTATTTTTTTAAATTTTTAATTTAAGCTATATTTTAATAATGAAAATGATATTATAATTGTTTTAAAGTATGATATTATGCTATTAATAATTAATTGTATGTAATTTTTATGTGTATTTAACACTATTGTATAACATTTTCAAATATTAATAGTATATAGATGTTCAGTGCATAGCATTTATAAAAAATTATTTTTGTTATTTATATATAAACATTTGCAGTATTAGTATATTATTTACTAATTTTGATCAAAATATGTTACATAAGATTTAGTATATAAATGTATTTTTCAAAATATAAAACAATTATTAAAACAAAACAACATATAATAAAAGTCTAATCCATTTTCTATTTGATGACATTTGGAGCTGTAATACATTGATTAGTGGTTATGTTGGGTCTTATTATCGATTGATTAGTAGTTCCTATAGTACTGAACGACTAGAGAAATGCCATACAATGTCTTCAATGTCTTAATGATTGAATGAATGAGTGAACAGAGCTATGATATAATTGAATTACAAGTTTGTTGGTTCAAAACACTACCCGTTTTCCTTATATCATAATTTCCAAACAATTCAACCAATGCTTAACATCTTATTATCAATTTCTTAGACTTTACACAAATATATGTTGATCTCATATGTTTTGCATCACTCACACACACTCACTAACATTCACACACACACACACATACACACATCGATTAAATATACTAAACTAAATATATTGTATTAATAGTAGTGTATAATGTGTACATATTCCTGCATTAATATTATATCCGAGTATTTTGCAATAAAGTAGTGTTTATTCAATGAATTAGAAATATATTCCGAGTATAAGAATTGAGTCCTTTAAATCTAAAACCGGTTATAAATCCATAACTCTTATCAAAAATAGTACTAATCTTTAAACTACTGAAAACCGTAAATATGGGACTTTTATAAATTAGTGTAAATATTTATAACTGGTCTCAGACTTAAAGCCCACAATTGCGTTAAAAATAGAAATTAGTTTATTTGATAATATAAATATATGACATTATAAATATGTTTTCAACTACTGAAGTATAACAAATTTATTTATATATTTAAGAAAATAAAATTTATGTCTAACATTATGACATTAATAACTTCAAAATAGGTATAATTTTGTTAAAACGTAAAATTTGTTAATTTATATTCTCTATAACATAAAATTCTTTGTATTATATCTTTTATATTGTTAATTATAATTAAATGTCATTCAAAATATATTTATATTCTTTGTAATAAATGTTTATTATATTTTATTACCAGATTTATTAAAATGCATTATCAGTAATTGCTTCAATTATTTCTTAAAATTACTTAATTATAATTTACTATAATATCATAGTATTATCTGATTTCATTATTGTTAATGAAATAAATTTATTTTATTTTTTGGATTAAATTTAATATATAAATAATAAATTCATGGAAAACATGTTTTTTCTAATATATTTTTATTTTTTACATACTGTATAAGCAGTTTGTTTAACACAGWATAATATAATTTTAGTAATACTAATTTTTGATATATATATATATATATATATTGATATAATATATTGCCACTTACCAGTGTATATACAATATTACATACATTTTAACAAATTATATTATACTATAATATCAATAAATATAAATAGGATTATTAATATAGTATAATATAACATAATTTTGTATCAATGACAATAAATTAATATACTAATATATATTGATAAATAATTTTACAAAAAAATTATCAAAAACTTTATCATTTAAAATGTATTACGTAATACAATATAATACTCTAACAATTGTATAATTCATAGTTTTCAAAGATTATATAAATAAAACCAAATCAATCAATTGAAGTGTATTTGAAATTTAATTTTTGATTTAAAATAGTTTTATTTTTATTTTATTTAAAACAGTATATATTATTTGATATAAACTTTAAGATATATGATTTAATATAAAGAATATATACATAACATTAGCGTTATATAAATAATAAATTTCACAAAAAATTATATTAAATATCTAATCGAAATATATTTAACATTTGTTTTTGTTTTGAAAACGACGAACAATTTAATTAACTTTTCTCTCAATGTTACAGTATTTGTAGTAAATATATATACCGTATATTAGAGATACAGTACATTTGATAAGCATCGGCTCATATTAGTGTTAAATATGTTAGAGACATAAAGTGAATATTTATATAGAAAATAATATATTGTTGTGATTAAACTAAAATCTGACTTTTGTTAAATCAAATATTTGATATCCAAAGTAAGCTTTTAATTTATATTGTTGTACACATGGATACTAATATCTATATATATACTTAATTAACTACTATGCATAGCAAGTTGGTATTATCAACCAATACCTGTATTCCCCGCCAATACTTATCTGTCTATATAAACTAATTGTAGACTGCATTCACTGTAACCCTATCCCCGTTAGCACATATACTACATAAAATGCTGTCCTGTGATGTGGTTAGGTGTTGTGCATAGAATAGGCTACGGCCAGGACTACTAACTAACTAATAAGTCTCATACCGACTCTTTGTTGATCTATTCTATAGCTTATTGGTCTCATACCGTCACACAAGATATACAAGTGTTTTGTATGATTGAACGTCAGTATGAATCTCATACAGACACGCGAGATACCGACCGATCTGTTAAGACATCCATTGTCTTAAGAAACCCCTTTATCTTATATAACATATAACAAATTGGYAACAGTAGACGGGATCACCATCTGATCCCTATCCTTACCGTAACAATATATAAAAAATAGATATATTAATAAATTTATATACAGTATATATGATATATAAATATAATCTAATGTAACATTTGGTAGTGACATAACTCTTATATTTGTTAAGCTTTTCGATTGTTATTATAATTATTGTGTAAAACAATGACAAATATTGTTATAAAACTTATTTTTATTTTTTAAAACACAATTTCTCATTTTATTATATTATTTTAGTATAAATATAATATACTTATTGTAAAAAGTTAACACTGTTTTTGGTTAAATGTCACGAAAACGCTTATAATTTCCGGTTTCTTATTTGAAATCTCTTGACATTTAATGTAAAACTAACAAATCTTTTGTCAAAAAATCTAATTTATCATAACATATAATAAAAAAGTAAAAATGAAACTTATTGTGCAATTAGATTTTATAATTTAAAAAATTAGTTTTTACGTATATGTTATTATTATTATTACAAGATTATTTTTTTTAATAATATTGATTTTATTTATAACATTTATTATATATTTATTTTGTTAGTATAATATAGTTAGAAAAAATTATGTCCAAAATAATATGCATTTTATTCAAACGCTGAATAAACAGAATATTTTTTGCATAATTATATGAAATAAGAAACTCGTTTCTAAATAATAATATATATGATAATAAATACAAATATATTGTCTGAATTCAATTTAAATGAAACTATAAATAAATAGATACATGACATTAGATAAAATAAATATATTAAATCTAATAAATTATAATAAAATTATAATAAAATTAATGTTTTGAGAATAATATTTATTTTAATTATTTGTTTACTTATAGCGTGAATATTATTGGTTGGAGACGAGCGGTCAAAATCCAAATAATATAGACTTACGTAACGATGATTCTCCCTATTGTATAGTATTTGCTGTATTTATCATATGGTTTGCCTCATTGACAATAAACTTGGGACCAACATTACTGAGCGGTGCATTGGCCAGTGGTACTGACACAACCGGACATCTAAACATTTGTCCAATGGTTTATCGCCCGGTGCGACACTATGTACTCGACTTGTTATGGATTAGTGTTAATCTAATGTGTGTTATGTTAATGGCAATACATTTAAGGAAATTATACAAAGATATTGTTAAATCAAATCTGGAGGCAATCCATGTGTCCAGTTTGGTGACCACAATGATGACAGTGCAGACAGACAGGGAACAGGACGACCAAAGAAACTTTTATAACTACGTTCAGAGACTTGAAAATGAGGGCATCAGTCGAGTCAAAATGTTTGTCATTATATTAATCGCTTATTTATTATTTTGGGGTCCACTCTATATTATCACAATAACACAACCGGGTAAGCATTTTAAACCATTTATATTACAGTAGTTTAATACTATTACATATATTTTGATATACAGGTATATTTGTCAAAATTGTCTGTCTCTTTACTTATCTTTATTAAAGAGTATAAAATTAATTAATTATTATTACTATTAATACAATACTAATAGTCAATACTAATCATCTCTCTCTCTCTCTCTCTCTCTATATATATATATATCGACGGTATATAGTTATTATTAATAAGTTATTAATATAATATAATATACAAGTCCTTTACTATTGTTTATCAAAAAATACTGCAATTAATCTGAGTCTGAGACTCACTGTCTGTTACTTATTTCAAATTCAATTGACAATAGTGTCTGCTTTATTAATCCTAATGGCAATGATAAATGTTTAATATCTAATCAAATAACTTTAGTCTATTTTTGAAATTTTTACTTATTTTATTAATAATAGTTATAAATTTAGTATAAGATAAATATTATAAAGACTTTTCATTATTGTTGTCAAAATTACGTTACACTATAAAAAAAACTTATGGATTTGAATGAATAAATCAAAATAAACTATCTTCATATCAAAGCTTATAATATCGATATAAGATCTGTCTTAATAATAATGTAAATATATTTTCAACAACAAAATTATAATACAAATTATTATATTATGACTATAATAATTACTATAATAGATTGATTAAATTAGATTTATATAATATAGTATATTATAAATAAAATATAATATATAAAATGTTTCAAATTTTTAAACATTTAATTTACTAAATTCTAATAATTTAAAATTGTGAAAAAATAATATGAGTAACTAATTCAATATAAGTTAATTATGTTGACTAGTAATTAATTTAATGAATCTTTTTTATTATTATACATTAACTATTAAAATGTTAATTCATTGATATGCTATACGTTTTATGTGGTGACATTAAAGTTACCCAAATAATTAAAATTTATATTAATACATTTAAAAATAATTATCACGTATAAGACATAAAATGATTTTATAGATTGACTATTAAATTCTTTAGTTATTTCATTTTATTTACAATATAGGTTAAAAATTTATAATTTGTATTATATTTATTTTATTTTAMTAGTCATGATATAATGACATAACGATAAATGGTTAGATAAATTAAATTAGTTTTTGTAAAAATTATATTCAATATACAGTATTTTATGCAAAGTTATAATATTCAAGCTATTATAAAGTTTTATTTATTTAAATTAGATACTAACTTTTTTTTTATAAAAATACTGTTTTTAAGTTTTTTTTGATAAATACTGACTAATATTATAGTATTTTTATATTTAAAATTTTAAAAGATTTGTGATTTATTATATGGTTAGGTTTGGAGACATCCCTGACATATGAGATCTGTTTACACGTGGCTCTCACTCATTGTATTGTAAATCCCATACTATTTATGGTCTATAGTCGAGGAAATTCTGGTATGAATTGATAATAACACTTAAGCACAACTAATATAATAAGCTAATAATGAGCTAATATAACATACACACCATTAAATTTGTAATTATATTCAAATAAAACAACAAAAATATAACACACTGTACTTACTAATTAATAAATGTATTATTAAATTTGATTTCATATATATATATTATGTTTCATAAATAATATAAATTTAAAATCCGCACAAAATATTTATAAATACTTACAAATTACAAGATTCCGATCCAAATAATCAAGAAAGTGATAGACAGGGCTGTTGTTGCAAATGTATGGCATATGTGTGTTGTAGTAATGCGGACACACCAACAACATCGCCATCATCACCAACAGTCAGTCCTAATTTAGATCCCAATGCCGTATCACCGATGATGCTCTTCTTTTCCATTGGCAATAATCATGTGAATCCCAGTGCTCATCAAATGACTACTACTTGTGCTAATCACACAACTAATTCAATAAATTTCAATTCAACTAATAAACGAATGTAAGAAATTAATATTATTTTATATTATCATTTTTAAACTTAACTTCTAAATATTTTTTTAATATCTATATTTTTTGTTATACTCTACTTTTTATATGTATGATCTTATTATGATAAAACTAGTATATTAATTTATTAGAGTCTACTGTACATAGTTAATAAACAGTAACTAAATTATACATTATCTTTATCTGATATAAACTTCAAGTATAACTTGTATTAATTGTTTATTATTTAGTTATAGAAATTTATTTTAGACTAACTTTAGTGACTTATAGCTTATAACTTATATACCTATAAATATAACTATAATTTAAAATATTAAATTAATATAAGAATTATAAATATAAAAAATATAAACTATATTAAAAACTAGTTATTTAACAAAATTATAACCTTTTATAATATTTTACTCTTTAATTATATTTATCGAAAAATATTCTCTATATTGTATAATTCATATATAATATTAAATCAGATAAATTTTATTAGATTAACTTAAATTTAATGTATAAATTATATAATAAAGTATATAATATTAGTATAATACTAAAAATCATTATATTTAATGTCTAGGGAGACGACTATTTAGTAAATTGCAAACATATAGACATCGTATGAAAAACAGGATATAATATATACTTTTGACTAACATTTGGTTGATGGCCTCTACAGTCAATAAATCATAAATCAAATCTCAAATTTACTTCTTTAGGATTTATTTCTTTTAAATTTTCAATAACTTTTTTGTGTAATATTAACAATTATGATTTAAATAATATCAAAATTAAAAAATAATAAATTAGATTTGTATAATATATAAATTAATTACTATAATTTGATTTATTAAAAATAATTTATAAAATTAAAAAAATTATCTCGTACATTATTTATATAAAAAACAATTAGATAAAACTTTTAGACCTCTTTAAACAATTTATAAAATTTTAATGATATTACAAACATGTTTGGCAAACAATAGACAATTTATGATAATTGCATGCTACATAAATTAAATTAATTTAATAAAAACAAAATCAGTTTTCTAAATAAATTTAATATATTAAAAAATTAATTGACATATTTTAAAGTTATAAAATATAATACTATTTATAGTTATAATTTGTCTATGAGTTTGAAAAATAGTCTGTCATTAAGTTTATACATTTTATTAGTTAAATGGTTGTCTATGTGTGTAAAGTAATACAATTGAAATTGCAGTTACATTAGATATAGCGTACAATAGSAGCCAAGGGTATTATTAATGTGGTTTAAGTTATAAAATAAATTGATATTTTTATTAATAAATTTATGGTTAAAAAACTAATATATGAAAATTAAGACACCTTGGTTGTATATAATTGGTGAACTGGTCATAACTATTTAAATAGTTGATACATAAATTATGGGCTGATTTTTCACGCCGACTGTCTGTTAGGCCTTTTTTGTTGAACACATAGTTTACTGTTCACATACTTGGCCTCAAAGGGTTTACCGCTTTAGGTGTTGCAGCCATTGTTACCAGTCTTCACACATTAAATATAATATATTATATAATATCAAGAAAAACATTTTTCTTTTTAAATATTATAATAATTTATTTTGATATTAATTTTGTTTCGTTAAATGTAATGTTTTAATACAAGACTTTTTTAAAACATAAAATGTTTGTTTTATTAATTATATTTTTTATAGGAATGCACTTAATAAAGTTTAAATAATATTTACATTCAGATTTATGGTAAAATACTTGTATAAAATATAAGTTATATTTAATAGTATTGTATATAAATTGCACAAAATATAGTTAAAATGCAAAATTAAATGAGTGAACAATATTGCTATCAAGTATTTGTCGCATTAATTGCAATACAACTATAATATACAGTATTATTAATTACATACAATTAATTTATAGGATTAAGTGTTTCTATCATTAGTTTGATTATTTGATGAATGATGAGATTGTGATGAATGTGTGGCATCGGGTGTTAGATAAGTATAGTGAGCACTGGTAAGACTGTTAGCATCTGTATTATGAATCCATGAGCTATTAGCGCCAACTATTGCAGTCGTGCTGCTTGTGGTCGGTATTAATGGTTGGACAGTCTTTTGTAATGAAAATATATTGGGCTGATAGGTCTGGGCGTCGACTGCACCTGTATATGATGGCCATTGTATGGGCTCTATGTCTGGAGATGACGGAGCTGTAGTTACTACTTGTGGTGTCCAACTGGGATAATGATGAACACCAGAGTTTCCCGTTATTGTTTCATAGCTGCAACTGTTAAGCACTGGTAGGTTTGGGTGATATAGGGTTACATAAAAAGAAATAATAAAAGCTATAATAGTTGTTCAAAACAATGTCATAACTTATTGTATGATTTACTGAAAGAAAGGAAGAAAGARAGAGAGAGAGAGAGAGAAATTGCCTTCAGATTAAACATTTGTAGTAAACGTAAGTTTGAAAAGAAATGTTTATTTAGTGTTTGTAAAAGCAATTATACAATTAGTGTATTGTTTTAGAGGGTAACCATATAATAGCTAATTGTGCCTTTCATGTGGTGCTATTCGGTATATTATAGGAGAGAGTATGTCGGGATGTCATACTGGCTCAGCGATAATATTGTACACTAACAATGTTGTAGTGCATGTATTTAATGGTTTTTAGTTGGATAAATACATTGATAAATAAATATATAAATATAGGTCCATCCCATGTATTACCACCCAGAATACAAACAAATGCCCGTAAAGCGCGTCATTACGTCTAATAAACTGAACGGTTATAGTAATACCTAAGCGCTGACACATTGCGAGAAAAGTGCCGACTCTTAGATGACTTGAGGCATAAAATTAATAAAATTTTGACTTATAGTGCAATAGAGAACACACATACATTCAATACTACACTTGTCTTTACCTACAAAAAGACAGGTTTTTATTATATCTAATATAACGATATGTGTGTTCACTACTTCATACACAAGCGGGTATATTAGGTAAATGGGGGACACCTAACCATATCCATTGCCAGCCCTCTATCACTCATACATACACACATATACTGTATATACCAATTCTATATACGACACCTTATATTTACATTTCTTTGTATTTGTTTAAATAAATTTTATTTAAGACCATATTATTTATTATTAAATTATTTTTTAGCAATAGTATATAATTGTGTATTGGTATAGACTTCTAAACTGTAGAGCATTATATAACAACGAGTTTCCTATGCCTATGCCTACGCTTATGTCAATACAATTAAAATATTATATGCAAAACAATTTTATATTTTTAAATAAAATAAACAAATACAAAATATGCCTATATTTATATTTTTAAAAAACATTTTTATAATCAAATATTTTTTTTAATATTGATTTTTTAAAACTTAATAAATATTCAAAGTATTGAAATATTTAAACTAATGTCAAAAAAAACATTGTTAACAAAAGCTTATAAATATTTGTATAAATAAAAATTAATATTAGATGACAAAAATACTTATAATACATTACTTATCAATAAAATAAATATTTAATGTTATTAAATTAGTTGGTCACTCTCTCTCTCTCTCTCTCAATATATTTATATCTTACTCGACACTGTCATTGGTGTTAATACATAAAAATAATAAAATACAAAATACAAACATTTCTAAAAATTTTATTACTCGTTGTCATTGAGTTTCTCTTTAAACAATAGTTTTTAACAAATTATTTTTAGTGAGCTTTGCATCAGAAACTCTAAAGAGATTTATATGACTCGTATGACTAACTATTTCTAGTTTTATTATATATTATTTTATTTTTATTATTAATATTAATCATAAAAGTTTTGTTTAACTATGATTTGAATTGAATATTATGTTTAAACAAACAAGAATTGAATAAATAGTATATTATATTTAATTTAATATTATTTCAAAAGAAATAAAAAATACATTTTATTACATTTTAAATTAAATAAATAACATTTTATGACATACCATAAGGAGATGGAGATCTTTTAATATGCGTTCTATCGATTCCATACGGCATAACCCTATGTGTCCTCAATGTGGTCAACCGTTCACAATGTATGCCCGAACCTCCCGATGATGCCATACCACTGATATTTGATGATAAACTTTGTTGATTATATGTACCGTTAGATGAACTATTGCACCAACTATTAGGTCCAGATGGAGGTGATGTGGATGAATGGTGTATGCTTTCACTCATCATTACTTTATTAGGTGGTGGCCCTCCCTCTCCCATTTGGTTATTATTGATCTCATTTATTGGTCGCTCTCTGGCGTCTTGAAAAGCTTTAGCAAACGGGTTGTGACGGATCTTGAGTTGTGTCACCTGTTATAACATTTTATAATTTAAAATTATCTCTAGATTTTTAATAATAAATTATAATCTAATTTTTAACTTTTATAAAACAAAGATTTGTATTACTTAGTATATATTTATTATTTAATAAAAAACAAAATAAATWTTATATTGTCTATAATATTTATTTTGTTTTTTAAAAATTAATATCATGAAATTAACACTATAGTAAATACAGATTATATAAATTTAGCGATTATCGCATTATTATACATTAGTTGTCAAAATCCTATTAAATAGCTGTTAATAGTCGTCGTATACATTATATAATTATATATTGGTTTTCAATAGTTAATGACAACTGTTTTCACAACTACTCAATAATAATCTGATAGATAACTCCTAACACAATCATTACTATCACTACAATCACACTCTATTGGAATTTAGTCTAAATTTTTATTACTTTTCTCTCTTAATATTACAACTTTTTACACATTCATTCATTTTATTCATTCAAAATCATATTATTTACCTTTTATTATAACGTTTTAACTCTTTGTTCAAATTTACAATTTTATTTACAATAATTAAATACTGTTTATAAAAACTAATATTTGTTTATAGATAAAAATAATGACATATTTATTATTGAAATCCATAACTTATTAATTAATAAAATCATTTATAATTATTGTATTCATAATATCCTAAAAATGTCAAATTACCTCTTCATTTTGATAAGCAGTTACAGCTATGAACTGTGTTTCTTGAAATTGAAATGTAAACACTTTTTCAAGACTGTCCTGACTGTCCACTCGTATAACATGCACTCGAGGCTCGTATTTGTGCAATGAATTTAATACAACCTTTAAATTTATTTTAAAAAACAAAAAATCATTTATAAACTTTTGTTTAGTTGAATACATAAGCTATGTTTTTAAAAATCCCAATCAGCACACCTGTGATTTGCGTACCTGTCCTGACTGTGCGCTCGGCTTATTAGTCAACTTGACTTTAGAGAAAGAGACCGATTCTCTCATCCAATGAGCCCCGAAATTGGGTGATTCCGGATGTATGTAAAGAGACTGCGATTGTTGTGGTGCCGGTTCAGACTTACCGCCCGCAACCCAATCGCCGTTCATGTATTTCCATCGATGCGAACCAATTTGTACGAACTCTATAGCTATTGAATACATGGCCCGCGGCTCTAATCCATCGATATTTAATTTTATCACTGGAAACATACGGCTGTAATGTTTAAGCAATTGTTAAACATAACCGTAATTTCACAAAACAATATATTTTTATGTTTATCAACTTTTTATGTTTTATTTACTAACATATGAAATAAAATTCTACATTATATATTAATTGCACTTGCTTATTTTAATCTTTTATATTAAATATTAGCTTTAAAAATAATATCAAAATGTTTATTAGCATCTAATTGAATGCTCAGAATATAAATTATAAGTTATATATATATTAAATGATAAAAAAATGTTTAACTATACTAACCGTCCGCTTTTGGTAACAATCATTTCATTAGTTTTCTTATGAAACTCTTTCCAAAGCTCTGAGTCCTGTAATGTCATGTGAATGCGTTGGCCATCACTTATCTCAGACATCCCAATGCGAGATCTGGTAACATGTGTTGTTGGATAGTGATGTTGTCCGACCTCCACTATTGATAATATACAATGTGGATCCATATCTTAATAGATGATCCACTGATAGTGAAAAACACAATATAAAAGTTGAATAACTCAAAAGTCACTGAATCTTTACTAAATGGTCAGCATTGGGATTGCATAAGCATTTGTGATAAATAAGTGTTTTATAGTTAATATGAATGAAGTGTTTTTCAATCTTTACTCAAATCAGCACTAATATAACAGTTGGATCTAAGCGTGTGTTCAACACTACCACTATTTGTATAAACAAGTAAGTGGTTTTGGGCCGACTATTTATTTTATACACTATATGTGCTTAAGCTAAATGCAAGGATGTGTGTGTAGTAAGGTATGGGCTGATACCTTGTTGTCTCAATTTGATTGGAGCGGTGTCTTTGGCTTTACGACAGGCGGAAAGTCTACAACAAACAGGTCCTCAAATACGATATTACCTCTCAATGTGTAAGTGTTTGCCCAGTTTGGTGACTGACTAGGGTTATGATAGACACAATACATACAGTTTATGTACAGTAAATGTTTTCTATGGCTTAGGTATGTCTGTTTAACTTATAATAATGTTAATTTAATTAATTTATACTATTAATGTATTCAATTCTATAGTATAGTATAAATATAAAATAATTATTTCTGGAGACAATGCTTATTAACAACATAAGGCACCAGTAGTACCACCAGTGCATCATTTTTGTTGCAAACCGTGGGAAACATTGAATCCCATGTATTGCACCGTTTGATTGGAGACTAATCGATAATTGAATTAGTTTAATGAAATCATTTTATTACACTCTAGCTTTAAAATAGCCTTAAAATACAAATAAACATTTCATTATACAGTATTATTAATAATCAATTTTATAATTAATTAAATAAATAAAAAATCATTTCTTAGATACAGATACAAAATTCACATAAAAATATTAATTTAATTTAAAGTAATTTAATGCAAATTATATTTCTCAACACTTGACAAACATATATATTATGTTATTAGTTGTTATTGATATTTTATAGTAAAATATATGTATTATAATATTTCATTTAAAATACTTATCATTCACTACAATGATAATACAAATATTTTTCTACTACACAAAACTCAATGATTTAAATATTTTCCATTTTTAAATTAAATTATCAAAACTTAAATGCATTTTATTATCAATTACTGATCCTATGATGGATTAATCCTATAACGAAATAATTAGATATAAAAATTCAAAATAATTTGTTTAAAATATATTCAAATCTAAGAAAAAAATTTTATTTATACACTTAAAAGTAGTGTTTATTTTTAAAAAATAATTTATAACAAGTGTATAAAATTTTTTAAAAAGTAGTAAATTTGTCCAGGGTAAATATGGTTTGTTTTCTAAAATAAAATATTGTTTTTATAAGTCATAAATAAAATGCAAAATCATAACATTTAGTTCAAATTCTTGTCTTTAGTCCACAATCGGGGAAAACAATGGGTTTGTTGAGTCTCTTGTTGTGACTGATGACTACTATGATGTTGTTGTTGACCAACTAATGGCTGACCATATTTAGAGTCTTGAGTATCCATAGAACTGTGCGGCACATGTATGGCCGGTGGCACCGACTTTGTTGCCGATTGTTTAATAGTTTTCTTTTGTATAAATATTTGCATAGATTTCATATACGTGTTCTGAGCGATGGCTAAAACAGTACAAATGTCCGGTCGTTTATCAGGATTGGGTTGTAAACAGTTGTGGACAACTGTTCTCAACTCTTTTGAATATAAATCCGAAGGGATGGGAGGATATTCAGACTTTTCAATTTTCTTGCAAAGAGAATATAAGTTTGTTTTCTCGCCATAAAAGGGAGACTGAAGAGCTGCCAACTCGTATAAAAGACAACCGAGTGACCAAATGTCTGATTTGAAGTCATAAGCAGTTTCATTGATCCGTTCGGGTGACATATAATAGGGTGTTCCCACCAATGAATGCGCGTCATTAGTTCGGGAGCTAAAAAATCGGCCCAAACCGAGATCACCCAATTTGACTACTGCTTGACTTGTCATGAAAACATTGGCCGGTTTGATGTCCCGATGCATAACACGTTTGCTATGCATGTGCTCTAAAGCCAAACATATTTGTACAAAATATTTCCAAATTGTGTGCTCAGGTATTAGTCGACACTCTTTTCGGAAGTAGTGTATTAGCCGAGACAGGTCTCCCGCATCGGCCAACTCAAGCACAATATAAAGATCATTGTTGTCAATAAAAGAGCACAAATATTTTATCACATTTTCGTGGTCTAACTGTTGAAGTAAATTGATTTCTTTAATACAATCATATCTTGCCTTTGCGTCTAACATCTCGAAGATCTGCATTTTCTTGAGCGCCACCATCTGTCCTGTTTGACGGCATAGAGCTTTATGGACAACACTAAACTGACCCTTTCCTATACGGTTATTCAATTCAAAGTTATCCAATGATCCAATTATCACTTTTTGCCCCTTATTATCACACATTTTAACACTTAATTTGTCATTAAATTAAATTATATGAATAATATAAATTTCTAATCAATGTATTTATACAGACATTTATATCCCGTTTCAGAAACGTTTCAAAGATATTGGTTTGAGTTTTAGTGATGTTTTGTTTTACTAATATGTATTCAATTTGACTGACGTATAAAACTATAGATAACCAGTGCTCACTATAGCACTTATACGCTATTATTGCATATTATATGATAAAGTATCGGGTAGTGTCGGGTAGGGTAGGGTAGGGTAGGGGATGAGTGCATTCACACTATCGTCTCATTTAACTTACAAAACTTCTAAACTGTTATTCTAATAAAGTCTATTTGTCAACTAATAATGATTTTTAAACCTTTATATCGATAAAATTTACATTTAATTCACTTTTTATGACTTTTTTCACTTAATATGTGAAAATACTTGGTATGCCTTTTAGTATTTAAATTTTTATGTTAGATTTTTCAGTTCATTCAATGCTATTCAATATCTAATCTAAACACCTAATGACACAATAGACTAGCTATAGATAACTACTATGTAATCAATACAAAAACAAGTTGTTTCTAAAACCGACCAATAATTGCCAATAATTGCCAATAATAACGAATAGAAAATATTGTTGTGAAGACAAACTAATTATCTAATTATTTATGTGACTATTGAATAGAAAACAATTGTTTTTTATAATTTGAGAATAAATAGCTACCGAGCTATTATAAATCAAGATATAATTTTTACATAAAATCATATACCATATGATTTATCATTCAATAAATAAAATTATCTTTACAAAAGTTTCATTAATATGTAAACAATTAAATTTCACATTAAATTTTTCAATAATAAACTTTTCCAAATATTATATAATTTTAGAGTTCATTTAACTATTTCAATAAAACTTGCATAAAAATTAGTTATAGGTTTAGAATGATTTTAAAATACAATTTAATTAAATTATATATTTAAATAACTTATCATTTATTTATTAGTATATGGCTTATATTTTTTCAAGAGTTTTGTAAATAATTTTCCAAATGTTTACTGATCTATAAATTCATTGATAAATATTACTATTAAATATTTATATGACAAACATTCAAAAAAAAAAAATTAATAGATAAAAAAATTCTTAAACCAAATACAGCATAAATTTTCCGTTATTATGTAATATAAATACATATATTTTATTATCCATATTTTAATATTTTTTAATTTTATTGGATTAAAATATATATAATTAAATTAAATATATATAAATTATAGTACTTTTTAAACTTTTAGATAAAAATTAATGAAATTTCTAAAACAATATTTGTTAGAATATTGTATTATTTTCTAAATAAGTTATATTAATAATACCTGTATATTGGATTCACGACATCTGACGATAACTTTGATAATAATAATGACTTAATAGTTATTTTTATTTAAAGTAGATGTCAAAACTTAAAAATTAGTAAAAATATTTTACTGATATTAATAAATATTTTTTTTAATTAAATATAATTATTTATAACACTATTAAGAAATATTATTATTAACTAATTTTATTTACAATTTTAAAGCTACATATTTTTTATATCTTTTAGTTACATAATCTTGACAATAAAGAAAATTAAATAATAATAAATTAGTGATAAAATAAATTTTTAATAATAATAATTGCAAAGAGTTTACAAAAATATTTAAAATGATTATAAAAACATATTTAATGATAAATTTAAATATTTATGAAATATTTGTGTACTACTAAGCAATAATGTATATTATTATAATTTTTTATTTTATTGAATCGAAAATGAGTTAACAAATAACAAATATGTTATCCAAAGTGGGTTAACATTTATATTTTAATCAATTTTGATAAAATAAAGTTTTTAATTGAGTTAAAATTAATTATTTAATTAACTAACACATATTTTTTTTATTAATATATGATATATTTCTACAATTCTAAATGAAATTTAAAAAAYACAATTAATTTGTAAAAAGTTTGACATTTAAAAATATTTAACTCTAATAAATTAAACTTAATTTAAAGATTCAAAAACTAAATCATATGTTTTATGAATTGATTGTATTTACAGTTAAAAACCGAATCAACATATTTTGACAATTGTTTAGAATATTAATCTAAACTTTAGATTATTTTAGTTACGATAACATTTAGGTATTGAAAATTGCATTCATAGAAATTTTAAATAAAACTTTGATAATAAACTATACATTTAATGTTAAATAAGCATAATTTTGTTAAAATTTTTAATATTTATTAAATGAAAAAGTTTTCAAATAAAGTTCAATCAATTATAAGATAATGTAATGTAATGTCAATGTTGTGGTGGCGCTCATCACTGCATCAATTCATTGGAAGCACTATTGATGTCATATATTATATATAAAATAACTACAAAAACATCTCATTATAATAATCACGAGTTTTGAAGAATAGTTGAGAACAAGTTAGAGCTAAACACAGCACAGTTGGCTCAGAGGCTCAGTTAGCTTTGGCAACAACTTTAACACACAATAGCATTGCTTTACGTTTCAACACAAAGAGTCGCAAACAGTCTCATCTGATTTACCAAAAAAAAAGTTATTATTTATCATTTCATTGTCTGAACTTAACATTTGGCTATTTATTTGGTGAGTCATTACATAATAATCATAATTATTGAATCAATGCTTAAATTTTTATTAAATTTAAGTAATTTATATCAATTTTATAATTATTTACGATTTATTGAATGTTAAGTTATTTCTTATATTAATATTTACTATAAAACCTGTTTTTATGAAAAAGTAATTATTAATTAGTTTTAATATTTGTTTTATTTAAGCCATATGATATAATAGTAATTTTAGCATGCTAATTTAATTATTTTTTTAAAGTATTCAATATTTATATTTTTTGTTTTGGTGTAAATTGAATTTTGAAAAAATAGTTAAATAATTAGTCTTAAAAAATATAAGTAAATACTTAAATTGTAATTAAAATAAATGATTAATTGAATGATTGACTCTATATATGATATATAATATCTGTTTATTATTATTATATTTGTATTGAATTTCATCATCAGTTGAGTCAATGTTTACCATAGAGTAGTGACAACTGGTTTGACTGTCAGTACAAAAGTCATATGATTTAGTGTTGACTAATAACTACAAACACATCAAACTCTTTATACTATCATTTGATTGTAATTTATATTTATATTAGTTATTAGTTATAATAAACTTATTTGTTGTGCACAACACTATTTAGATGTATTTTTTTTTAATTACATTTTTATTAAATGTATGATTCATTTATCTAGTATTTGATTTGATAGCCTATTAATATACTGTAATCATAATAATAACATATATTATAACTTTATTTACACTTTTAGTTGCTATCAGTTGGAAATGATTTTTGAAATATAGATAAACTATATATAAATAGATTGAATCATATGATTAGTGCCTTAAATAGTCTATATATTAAAGTCTCAATTTTATAATAAATAGTTTTATAAGATTTTCTTTATTTAAAAAGTAATTTATAATTAATGATAAAACTATTGAAAGTTTAAAACTATTATTGACTTATTTGAAAATATAGGCATAAAATGTATAACAATATACTAGTCTTGGGATTGTTGGCCATAGTGTCGACACAAGCGTTGGCCATCTCCTACCGGGACGTGATATTCGAGGAATGGGAGTCTTTCAAAGTAAAACATGGAAAGCAATACACCGATCAAAGCGAAGAAAACTTTAGATTAAAAGTTTTTATGGAGAATAAACACAGAATAGCCAAACATAACAATCGGGCGGCTAATGGTCTTAAGGGTTATTCACTTGCAATGAACCAGTTTGGAGACCTGTTATCTCACGAGTTTACTGCTCTTATGAATGGTTTTAAGAAGTCTTACCGAACTGATTCGTATAACGGATCTTCTTATTTGAGTCCACACAATGTTATGGTTCCGGCATCTGTTGATTGGCGAGACAAAGGATATGTGTCTGAAGTTAAAAATCAGGGTTTGTATTGATTAGTGATGTAGTTAGCAATTTAATAATTATTTTGATTTTTAGGTCAGTGCGGAAGTTGCTGGTCATTTTCGGCGGTTAGTATTATTTGGGGGTATTATTTTTTGATGACATTTTATTAATGTTTTTATTTACAATTTATAGACCGGTGCTCTTGAAGGCCAACATTACCGCAAATATGGAAAAATGATTGAACTCTCTGAACAAAATCTTATTGATTGCTCACACAGTTATGGTAACAATGGTTGTGAAGGAGGACTTATGGACAATGCATTTGCTTATATTAAAGACAATCACGGAGTGGACACTGAAGGAAGTTATCCCTATGAGGCTAAAGTACAGTATTTATTATATTATTTTTAGATATACTTATATTAAAAGTTTGTTAAACATTAAAATAGGACAAGAAGTGTCGCTACAAAGCCAGAAATGTTGGCGCAACTGATACTGGTTTTGTTGATATTTCCGAAGGCGATGAAAACAAATTGAAAGAAGCGGTGGCCACTGTCGGTCCCGTTTCAGTGGCTATCGATGCCAGTCATGAGTCGTTTCAATTCTATTCAAAGGGTGTGTACGATGAGGCCGAGTGTAGTTCAACTGAGTTAGACCACGGAGTACTTGTTGTCGGTTATGGCACGAGTCCTGCCTCTGAAGACTATTGGATTGTTAAGAATAGTTGGGGCACACAATGGGGTGACGAGGGATATATCAAAATGACCCGAAATAAGGACAATCAATGCGGTATTGCCAGCTCTGCATCGTATCCATTGGTTTAAATGTGACAAATATGTCTTCAGAGATAATGTTTAAGTCATATTTGAAAATTATTTTCCAAAGATTTTATTTAATCTAAATTTTTAAATATTAGACAATTCATACTTCAAACGTTTATAAATATTTCAATTATATGAATACTTTATATCAAATATGTAATACATATAACTATAATTTACTTTTTAAAATGTATATATTATTGATTTTAATATGAATATCAAGTCACAATTTTTATAAATAAAGTGATAAGGCGTGGTTCACATATTACGTTCGCACTTTTTAAAAAATCTAGACCCCCTCCCTCCCCTATGTTCGCAATTGTTTGCATGTAGTCATTTAAAAAAATTACGTTCGCATGTCCCTAATCGCTACCCCCCCCCCCACCACAAGAAATAAAATATCTGAATGCGAACGTTCTTAAAGTCTCTACCCTCCCCTCGTTCGCAAAAGTTTGCTTTGGCTAACCCCCTCCCCTCAAGTGTGAACGTAATATGTGGACCACGCCTAATGTAAAAAAGTTTATCTTTAAATTTTATGTAAACAAATTGACTTAAATAATTTTATATTGAATCAATAGTATTCATTAATGATAATTATTTAAATATATATTTTTAACAGTCGTTTTTATCATATTTTTAAAATAAATAATAAATCTTTACTTTATACAGTTGTATACGTATTGTAGTTATGTGTGTACTATAAATACAGTATAATAAATATATTTAACAAAAGTTTAATATTTTGTTTATATGTTTGTAGGAAAAGAACTAAATCTAATATTTCATTTGCAATCAGTTTTGTAGAAAATGCTATTTTCAAAAAAAACTTGAAAAGTTTTGTTTTCTGAAATCTATACGAGCCTTTTTTTTGTGTGTGTGTGTGTGTGTGTGTAGCAATTTTTTTGCGAATTTTGAAATTCTGACTTCAGATTCGGTTAGAGGACTACTAATAATGTATTGAAAAGTTGAATTAAAATTTTGATATTTCTTCGGGAACATGGACAAAATGGCGGCCAAATATATATATAAATTTATAATACATTTTTTTAAAGTATAGATTTGAATAAAGCATCAAAAACAAGCATAAGAAATATGCATTAAAATTTTCATATCTCTTCGGGATCATAAAGAAAATGGCGGCCAAAGTAACAAAAATTAGGTAAAAATTTTAACGTTTAGAATTGTAAGAAGCATCAAAAATATGATATAATATTTCAGCATATTTTTTTAAAATGGCGGCAAAAGTATAAAAAAATTTTAGAATTTTTTTTAATTATAGATTTGAATAAAGAATCAAAAACAAAAATAAAAAAATATGCATTAAAATTTTGATATCTACGGGAACATTAAGAATAAGTATAAGCGGCAAAAGTATAATTATAAATGATTATTTTGTTATACTAAATCATTTGATACCCTACATGACTATAGTTGTTTATTTTGTCAAACCGAGTTATTTGATACCCCACATGACAAAAGTTGAATTTATTTTGTTATACCTAGTCAATTGATACCCTACATGACTATAGTTGAATTTATTTTGTTATACCTAGTCAATTGATACCCTACATGACTATAGTTGTTTATTTTGTCATATCGAGTCAATTGATACTCTACATGACAATATTTATATAATGTATATTTGACCAGTTTTTAAATTTTTATATATTATATAGCCGCTATAACTAATGGTTTTCAATGTTATTCAAGTTTTTTTTCTGAAAATGCTTTCTAGCATTCTTAACTGGTTATCTAATAGTTATAATGATAATTAATTTTCAAATGTTATGAATTAAATTATTATTGTTTGTGGTATGGATTTGTTATTAATTAATATAACGTCAAAGCATTTATTAGTTATTTAACCGGTAGTTCAAAAATTTTAATTTTATTAAAATACTATGAAATTATATTWAAATAGTTAACATATATATATAAATTTATATATACATTTTTTTTAATCAATTATAGTTAGCAATTTATAAAGCTTTAATATTAATATAATATATTTTTTGAGATATCAACAATTTATTGCTGTGTAAAAAGTGGTTGTTATTAAAATAATAATCTAAAAAAACTAATTTATCAAATACTCTAAAATAGATAATTTTATCATTTTTGTTCAGAAGAACTTAGTTTACTATTTTTTTATTGATTTCATATTAATAGTTAATAAAATATGTTAATACATATAAAATTTTGCAATAACTGTATAATAAGGATAATATTTTGTTTACTAATCTTAATTTAGTCTATTGATAATGGATTAACGGGTATTACACAATTTAAAAAGTTACTTACGTATAATACATTTTGCGATAATTGAAACAATATATATAATATATATTATATATTACAATATTATATATATATAGTTATTTACTAATTGTATAATACATACAAATATAATTTAAGAGAAAATATTTAATTTTATATTTATTTTAATTTAATTCATAAATTTAATTATTTACTATTACCTTAATATTATTACTGTAATTATTATTTTTAAAAACATTTTTGCACTTAACATTTATATTGTAAATATTTTAGCATAATTAAACTTTTAATAGATAATCAGATATAACTAATTATTAAATTGTGTTTCAACTAATTTTGTTTAATAAAATATGCTTTAAATAAGTGAAACGTGATATCATACTAGTATTTAATTGATTTATTTGCTAAATGGGTTATAATTAGGATATAGTATTGTAAAGCAATTTCCTTGTGTTATTAAATCTATGGTATAACAAAACATATAGTTTTATATACTGTAGTATATTGATTATAAAAATAGTTTACTGAACGTAATATTATTTTGTCAATTCATTATAATATTGATATACCGGTAAATGTGAGGGGAGTATAGGGATGACAATGTGATGAGAGCCTTGGCTATTAGTTTTTTAAAATTAAATACTTGTCGATATTATACTATATTTACAAATCAATGGTTTACGTGTGACCTAATGTATAGTATTTTAATACCTGTAATTTACGTGATCAATATGTATATAAATTTACTGTATTTTCAATTAAATTGCTATAAAATCAATTGTTTTGATGAGAAAGACATAGTTTATAGCAAATTAAAAAACTAAAGTTAAAATATATTTTATTATAATAATAATTTAACTAATATTAAAAATAAAATGAATCGAATAAATGATACAATTTTTATTATTAGTTTAATTGGTAAGTATTAAAATTTTAATATTATATAACATATTTTTATTTTTTAAATATTAATTCATATTGTAATTAGGATTAATAGGATTAACGATGAGTCTACCAATGAGTAAAAAAGATAAAGATGTGGATCTCATGTGTGACGACATACACAAAACCAAAGCCAATGCATGCGCTGATAAACTTTGGTTTGTTGGCCATCGGTCGAGAAAATACCCGGAAAATGAACCGGAATTAGAAAAACATTGTAAAGAAACGGCTAATTTGATTAAATGTGTTAAGGATTACACAGATGTTTGTGGTAATGAAGTGCACAGACAGTTGGCTAATGTGATGCTCTATACGGTTAAGACTTTAGACAGAAGTTATTGCACTAAATCATCAAAAAAGACTGAATTGATGTCATTCTCGGTTTGCGGAAATCATATCAGAGATCAATCTAACAAATGTATGGATCAATTCATGATAGCACTCGGAAAGTCCAGCGCTTATACAACCAAATTAAAAGTGCCCCACGCGTGCTGGTATGTCATACATATTGTCCAACAATATTATCAATTAATTTTTATTTTATATTATTTATATACTGAAGTGCTTTCCATAATCTTAAGTCATGTATTATGAGTTCCGCATTCAATGACAATAAATGCAATGAGAAAACCGTCGATTTATACGAAAAATATATTTCATCGATGGCTTCAAACACTGTGAATATGATGTGCAGTGACTATGAGGAAGATTCGGATAAATGTCAACATTTACCACATTTGCCAAAAGGCACTAAATATTCAAAGGCTCTGTCGGTTATTGACGGCTTCGGTAGTATTCTAGACTAATCTCAAAATTGATGCAATCATACACTACACTACTGTACATATTAATAATATAATCAATGTACTTTACATTTATAACCATTGATCATCTAGTCTATTTTTATTAATTACTATAAATTTGTGTAATTAATGTAAAATATTGCTAAATATGTAATAATTATTGTAAATAAAATAAATATGATCATGATAAATGTTAAATAAAATTAAATTATACTGTATTTGAACATGCACATTTCATATATGAAAATATGATAATTTTTAAAGTTTAGTTACCATAGAAACGACAAACGATAACAAATATATGTGATATTCAAAGCAATAAACAGTTAAAGAGTGAGACAAACAATGAATGAAATTATGGAAAATAACAAACTTTTGGTCAAACAGTTGATGTGTTTAATGACAACAAATGTTAACCAAATGTCAGATAATTTGATTAATAATGAAATAATTGAAGAATCAATCGTTTACTTAAAGCAATCCATTGAAGACTATATCAATTCATTGTCATTACAAACAAGTGATTGTCAATACATACTATTGGATGATATTTATGAAGACATGGACACCAAATGTGAGGCAATCTTAGACAAGATGTGGGAAACAATCAATTGTTGTGATTGGAGTCGAGTTGTCGTTGATATCAGATATTGTTTTGCTTTGGTTTCACTATTAAAGGCTTTTCTAAAGATTTGGTCGACAATGTCATCAAATGACAGACAATTTTGTTTGACTCAGAAATTATTGGCTTTAAAAGCATTAGATTTCGGACTTTTAATGAGTCCTAAACTTAAGGATAATATTTTAGCTAAAATGGCACAAATCATACATAAAGACATTAGTGATGACCAACCATATAGTGATAATTGCAGTGATAGTCTTAAACGCAAGTTATATGCAAATAAAAAGATTGACTTTTCTACCAAAAGACAAAACATCATCAATGATGACAATAAGGAAGTTATAAAAGATATCATTAAACTCAATGATAATGAATGTGAATTAACATCACTTTTGCCATATTATAAAAATATAAATAAAAACCAAATTCAAAGAGTAAACGATATAGACTTCAATACATTTTGTGATCAATATTTGCGACCGAAACTACCGGTGATTGTCACGGATTGTATGAGTGATTGGCCAGCAATGAGTTGTCGAAAGTGGTCTATAGATTATATTAAGAGAGTTGCCGGATATCGAACTGTTCCCATTGAGATTGGCAATAAATATACCGATGAGGAATGGTCTCAAAAGTTAATGACTATCAATGACTTTATTGATAAGTTTATAATGAATTCCTGGTGCAAACCTGTTGGCTATTTAGCTCAACACAATCTTTTTGATCAAATTGAAGAACTTATGGCTGATATATCGATTCCAGACTTTTGCAGTATTACTGATGAGGAATGTGTTGATGTGGACATAAATGCCTGGTTTGGTCCTAAAGGGACTGTTTCACCGTTACATTACGATCCCAAAGATAATATATTTGCACAAATGATGGGACAAAAATATATTAGATTATACAGCTATGAGACGCCCCGGGAGGACATATATCCTAATGATTGTAGACTTTTGTGTAACACAAGTCAAGTGGACTTAGAAAATGTTGATTTGCAAAAGTTTCCTAATTTTAATACTTTAGATAATTATTATGAATGTATACTAAATGAGGGAGAAATGCTTTTTATGCCTAAAAATTATTGGCATTTTGTTAAATCTTTGTCTAATTGTTTCTCAATTAGTTTTTGGTGGAAATAAAAATACAATTATTATATCTAAATTTATTTATATTATATAAATACAGTATTTAATGAGTATATAATCGATTAAAACTATTATTACTGTATTTATATTAAATTATATGATATATAAATTAATACATATATATATTAAGTGATAGTTGTTTCCAATAGAGAGCACTATAACATTGTTTACATATTTTGAATGTAAAAATAAACTATACTTTTGATTGCAATGACATAACCGATATAATTGTGACCAATATTTGTAAAATATTAGTGATTTATCGGACAAATACTCATCACTAATGTCTTCAGGCATTGACTTTGAATCGCTTTTATTGCTTAATAAGGTTTTTATAGTAATATATATAACATATTATTAATTTGAAATTATATTCAAACTTTAGGCCAAAAAGGAGATCGACATCCAAGAGATAATGACTGATATGATTGACACACAATGTATAGTCATAAGTGTGTCCAACCATGTAGTGACCCGAACCACACAATTGTTGGACAACTGTACCAATGAATCGCAAGTGATTTGTGTAAATCATTGATTATTCATTAAATCATTAAATTAAATTCATTGACTGATAATTAGATATTTTTTTACTTAAATGACAGTTAATAACAAATTTATCAAAATTGATACAAAAGTGTCTGAAAAGTGATACCGATTTGACTGTCGATTCAATAAATCAAATATTTCCGCAAACATTTGACCAGAAGTTGAAACAAATATTAATTAAATTAATTATTAAAAACAGTAACAATTGGCTAAAAAATAATAAACCAATTCGTATGTATTGAAGAGTTATGAAAATATTATTATTATTATTATTATTATTATTATTATTATTAATTATTATTATTATTATTATTATTATTATTATTATTATTATTATTATTATTATAATAATAATAATAATAATAATAATAATAATATTAATAATTAAATTGTAATTATATTTGGTTTATATTTTTCAGAATCGATGTCATCGCTCATTGACTTCCAATGCAAAACTGAAGACAACAAATGTGTAATTGATTTACAGTTAAGTGACAGTAATTCACAGATTTCTGTTGTGTTGACGAGAGACCAGATTCATGAAATGACTGAAGGAATGGCAACCATAAGACAACAACTTTTTGATGCCATTCATAAATCCAATTAGTTTTATAGTATAAACACAATTAATTGAAAATATATAACATATATTTGCAAATTTTTATTAAATTATTAAATATTTATTATCGTATTCTTCTGTAATATTCCTATTTTATTTGAATTATAAAAAATTTGAATAACGAGTTAGTATTGAACCATCACTTTGAGAGATCCTTCGACATTGTTGTTCATGAATTCTCATGAAAGCATCAATGGCTTGAGTTATGTCAAACTTATGGGTTACTAATGGCTTTAGATTTACTTTACCCGATGCTATCAATTGTATGGCCAATGGATAACTATGTATTCATTGATACGTTTAAATATTTACATAATTACATAATGTTTGGTTAAATGTTATTTTAATGTTATCATCAAAACAATTACTAACTCATATTTGAATCGACAGACACCAATCAAATCAATTTCTCTCATCGCTGTATGAACTAAAGGAACAGTACTTTTAACGATACCTACTTTACCGTCCTTTTTGGTGGCATATATAGCCATTGAAGTACTGTATGATTACCGGTACACTCTATACTTATATTTGGATTACATCCATGCGTTTCAATCAAACATTTTATTAAATCAATAATTATATCAATAGTTAATGAATACAAATGTTTGAATCATTTAATTTATATACCGTTTGGTTCTAAACGCTCTTTAATAGGCATTTGTCTGAGTCTTAGATCATTTGGTCCGTGAATTACAAGCGAAAGATTGTCTAAGTTTTGCAAATTCTTTAGTTTATCCATTGCTTCTGTTTTTTTAATTAAAAAGTCTTTTCAAAACTAAATAATTGAATTAAGAAATTAAGCGAAAAAATTATAATAAATTTTATAAAAAGAGTATTAATAACATTTTTTTCAAATTAAAAGTTTATTTTTATTAATAATAATATTATCAATTTATAATTTTTTACAAACAAGCAGTTATTAATCGATATATTTGTCTAAAATAATAAAATTATATTTACATACATTTTTAATGTATTCTATGCGACAATTAACTGATTTAAGTCACAAAACACTTATACCCTGTTTTCATAAAGCAATCTCTCAAAGTATTTTCAAAATTTCTTAATAAAAACACTACTTATACTTGACTTTTAAAGTTAGCAAAAACACAAAACTTTGAGAGAAAGTAGACTTCAAATACTTAATAAAAACCATACTTACAAAGTATGAGGTATAGCACATGCTTTACACATATATTGTATTTATTATATTATTTGCAATTTTTGTATTAATATTTTATGTCAATATAAATATCAAAATCTAAATGATTAATAAATATTAATAATTATAAAAGTAATGCTAAGTATAACTTAATGAAAACGATTTTATACTTTACTTTGAGAGAAATACTTGCAGCTAATGAATGCTTTATGAAAACAATGTATTATAAATACTTTGACTTATTTATAAAAATCTCATTTTTAAGGATTAGTAATATTTAAATAAGTCATTAATTAATAAGTGGTTTTCAGACTTAAAGCAATCAATTATTATAATACTATATTTACTTTAAATAATATATATTTAAATAAATTATTAGTATTAATAGTTCAATATATTGTTTTTTTTAACAAATCAAATTATAAAACTTAATTACAGTAACTATATTTTTATTTTTAATATTTTATATTTTTTGTTATTTTCAAGGTTAAAATACTATCAAATTTAAGTGTGATATAAGTTACGGGATATAATTATTTAGACGATTTCTGCTAACATTTGGAAGTGATATAAAATGTAAATGATATCAATTTTGTAAATTTTAATAATTATAAACAAAACAGATATCAACATAAATTAAATTTTTGAATGTAATATTTGACTCAAAATTAATATTCAATTTTAAATTATATTATACCGGTATAACGTTAATAAATTAAAATATAATAAAATATAAAAATTTATTACAAATTATATGTTATTATTTACAATTTATATTATTATAATTTAGTGATATGTATATAAAAAATTAATACTAAGTTGTAATGAATACGAGATTTAAATCTAATAAAGGTTTGATACTTTCAACGCCTAAACATAATTTTTACATGTTTTAAGAAATATAAAATGCAAAAAATTTTAACATTAGTTAAATAAATTTTTATAATATTTTTCTTTATTAAAAGTTTATTTATTTTATGTAATTTATTTAATTTAAATATTTTAAATACTTAAAATACTATATAATTAGTTATCTAACAGAATATATTGTATTACTGTATAAATTAAAGTTAATTGAAATTAATATTAATAATAAATTATACGTTGTTTTTGAATTTTATTTATTCATTTGACAGTATTATTGATAAATTGATGAAATGTAATGTAATTTATTAATACAATATTGCTTTACAGTACTATTATATTAATAATACTGTATTAATGATATAATAGAGTCAATCAAATTCCTTTCATCGGTTTATTTTCCAAAAGTTCCTTATGTTCCCTACTCTCTGGGAATTCCTAGTGAATCTATTTCCTTATGTTACCACATATTAAACCCTAAACAACACATTTTATTATGATGTTTGAAAACAAATGTTATATTAAACTGTATTTTAAATTAAAATTTTAGATTAGTGTTGATAAGTAGTATCACAAAATTTATTGAATTGAAATCTAATTTTAAATATTTCACTGAAATTTTATATAAAAAATATTCAAGTTTTTGTACTATTTATTAATAATAATTTAAATATATTTTATTTTTCTAACGATGAAGAGAGAGAACATAAATTTTTATTACGGAATTCCCTCCTTTTGAAAAGTTACTCTAACTCTAAATATTGTACAATATTTACAGTACTATTAAACGTGAAGTACAATAGCGATGATATTGTTGTGTAAATATTGTGTACTATTTATGTGATAAACAGTCATACGATTGACGATTGCATTGAAAGCTATGTTTACGGAAACACAACTCAATACGCGTTGACATTATTGACAATTATCACCACATTTGATGACATATGGCTCAAGAAGTCAATCCAAATGATCATCAAATGGTCGATAATATGACCAATGAATGCATGCAATATATGAACATTTCATTATCAACTGATAGCAACAGTGCCATCGACTCTCAAGTGATGTCTTCATTGTCTGCAATGATGTCATCCATTAAGGAAGAGACACCTGATTTTGCTGTCGTTAAGGACACACTCGATGGTCATAATAATGATACTAATACTGACAACATTGCTATGAATAAAGATAGTGAAGACAACACTCATATTAATGGTAATTATGAAGAAGAAAAAGAAGATGCAATCGATAATTGCAATAATGATAATTCAAATGTTATTAATATCAATGAAATGGTTGAAAATACCAATGAAGTTGTGTCTATTCAGACGGACATCAAAGATACCACTGAAGCCACAGTAGAGGCCATTAGTCTACAAAATGATGAGCTCTTGAATGAAATAAAAATTGTCAAAAGTTTAGTTAATTTGTTAGAAAATTATAGAAATTTATTGAATTGTTGTCTTAATAGTTGTGACAATTGTTCCCAAAACCAAGAGATTAGTGTTAAGTTTACTAATTTGGAAACTAATTACTCAAAAGACTTGATTTTTGCCAAAGAGTTGATTATTAATTCTTCTTTTCACGAGAAGACCAAAAGATTGTTTGCTAACAGAAGAAGGAATAAAAAATATAAGAAAACAACAGAAACTAAATTAATTGATGAATATATTAGTAATGACGACAATAATGATGTTGTAATTGAAACATTAGACTCTGATTGTGACCCAATTAGTGATGTTGTAGATGGAGATAATGGAGTTTTACGACGAAATCGAAAAGTAGTTAAAAAAGTGACAAAAAGAGGACCGAAAAAGAAAAAGAGAGGCAGAGGAAGACCACCGAAGTCTAGTTATACTCAGCAACAGTCGTTTAATTCATTTAGTGGTAATCTTATTGAAGAGATCGACGAAATAATAGATAATTTTGATGAAATAGATGAAGTAGTAGAAGAAACAAATGATAATACTTATAATCCGAAGAAAACTAATACGAAGCCCACAAAAACACCACAGAAAAGGGGTCCCAAAAAAGGATTTAAAAGAGGCGTTACTAAAGGTTTAGTAAATATTAATGTTTTAAATTTTAAAATTTACCGGTAATTTGTTTTTAATTAAATTAACATTAATAGCAATTAAACCGAAACGCAATAAATATGAAAAGCTTTATAAGTGTGATGTCTGTGATTATACTCATCGAAAGTTACCTAATTTGGAGTCACATAAAAATAAAGTGCATTTAAATATCAGGCCCTTTAAGTGCGATAAATGTGACAAAAGTTTTACCGGTAAACCATTTCTTGATAAACACCGGCGCTTTCATCAAGAAAATTATCACTATTGCGATTGGACTGACTGTACGTTTAAAACAAAATATATGAATAATTTGAAAGAACACCGAATGAGACACGAAAAGGACAGACAGTTTCGGTGTGCGTGGCCGGGATGTGGGGCTCTCTTCTATAATAATAGAGATCTTACACAACATATGAAATCACATGAAGAACAACGAGATTATCGGTTAGTTTTAAATCATATTTTATTGTTCATTCAAATCAATTCAATTACTCAAATATGACTGTAATATGTATTATTAATATTTTAGTTGTGATTGGCCCGGATGTGAGGCCACATTTAAGCGACACACATACCTGAGCCGACATAAACAGCTTCATATTAACCCGGATACAGCATTTCCATGTAATTGGCCGGGATGTGAGAAAAGTTTTAATACACGCAAAAAACTAGAAAATCATTCGGCAACACATACTAAACAATTACAGGCAAACACACAAACATTTCCCGAAGGAGCTCCCAGTGTCACACAGTGTGTGTTACCGATTGCCACTCCAACTACAAGCTCTCAAATGTTAAGCCCTCGAAAACCTCAAATAAATGCAACGAGTGTTCAATTATTAGCCGCTAGAAGTATAGCTCAGGCGGCAGTTATGAATGTTAATAATGGTCTTCAATCAAATCAATCACATGAATCAATGGTGCCAACAACAGCTAATTCAAACATTTTACATCAACATCATCACAACCATCACCAATCACATCAGTCACATCATAACCAAATGTCACCTCAACAACAACAGCATCAACAACACCACCAGCAACAGCAGCAACAACATCATCAACAACAACAACAACAACATCATCATCAAATGCATCACCAACAGCATCATCATCAACTACAACAGCAACACATACTACGAGCCGGACCACCCACACCATCCATCTCTCCATTAACACAATATCCAACTGATTTGTCACAACAAAGACCTCTTCCTCACTCAGCAACAACAGCACAGTTATCATCCAATCCATGGCTTCTCAATAGTTTTATTAATAGACAAAATATTTGATACAAATAGTTGGCTCAATTTATTCGTCACTCACTGTTTAACTCACATATCTTTTCAAAGTCAACACTAGTTATTAAATTTTTAAAATATAATAAAATTAAAACTTATTTCAATTGACTTTATATACAGATCACGAAAATTATTGTTACGGTAATGTTAACAATATTATAGAATATTGTTTTAATTTGGACGATAACTACGATAATCAACACAATTTGCATTATTTATTACTGCAATCAATGTATTTAAATTAATGTTTATATATATTTTAAATGAGATTTAGATTATTTTGCAATTATTTAAAATATTTTGTTATTTTTTATAGAATTTTATATATTTGTTAATTATTTGATTTGATTCTTATTTGATTAAATATTATTTTATGTTTATTATAAATAAATTTTAATAGAATAGATAATATTTAATATCATATTTTGTGTTACAGTATATTAATTATTTGTTATTCATTAATTGTTAGTTTAATTAATAATTAATATATTATATTTTCTATTATTTATAATAAATATTACTTTTAATTGTTTTATATTATATTTTAAATTATAATATAATTTATTGTATAATTAATTATTGTATCAAATATATATAAAAAGATAATTTATTTAGAGTTTAACTATAAGTTTAATTATATACTGTATTATTAATAATATCATTACAATTATTAAGTAGTTTTTAATATTTACATTGTTTTAAAAATTTTATTATATTATAAAAATGCAATTATTTTTGTTAATTGTTTATATCAAGAATTAAAATTTGTTTTATGAAATAAACAATTTAAAATTAATTAAAGTTGATTTTATAATTAGTTAATTTTATATCGTTTAATAAATTTGTTTATATTATTTATAATCATATATTATTTTTATGTTAATTTTCAATTAATTTACCGGTAATAACAACTATGACTGCAATATAGTAAACAAATATTGAATTTAGACATAAATTGTTTGAAATGAATGTTAAATATAATTGAATACATAATATTCAGATAATTATTTAAAAATACATTACAATAGATAAATAAATTGTATATAAATTTAAGCGTAAATATAGTAAAGACTATGTATTGAGAAAATTAAATACTTTATAATAAATTTTAATATAAAATCTATGAAATGTAAGTAAATATTTGTGATATAATGTCAATAAAATGCAGTCATTATTGATGTAATCAATGTTTTTACTGTTTATCTATTGTTTACGTGTTTTGGAGTCCAAAGCAATACAAACTGTATTTACAAAACATTTTCATTGATTTTAATTAAATCGTTAATTACCTGAAAATACAATCAAATTAAATGTCAATTTAACACAAAAGTCATTATATTTAATGATTTGCATTACAAACACAAACTGTTTGTTAATTGGTTTTGAAGTGATTTGATTGGACACGAGTGGACACATCGGTGGCCACAGAGATGTCCCGATTCAATGACATCGCGTCACTCAAAGAGGAAAACAATCGACTGAAGAATGAGTTACAGTTCGCACAAAACTTTAATGAATTGCTTGAAAACTATAGACATCTGATGTCTAATTGTCTACAAAATTGTGATAATTGTAATAAAAATGAAGAAGTGATCAATAAGTATCACTATTTAGAGATCACTTACAACAAGCACTTGGATTTTGCCAAAGAAAAAGAGTTAAACTCATTGAAGGTGACTAACACTGACACCAACAATGGCATCACTGGTCAGACCAATGCTGTCGATGGCTTTGATAGTGAAGACAGTGAAGAGGATGAAAGCGATGACGAAGATGACTCTGACTCATACATCGATCCAATCAATTATCTATTGATTCAACAAAGACCTCAAAGATCTCAAAGGATGGCCACATCATCAACAGCAACGACAACAACAATGACGACAAACAAAGCTAAACGTACGGTTAGACCGAAGAAAAATACATCGAAAGGTAATTATTTTAGTTATAATTGTTTTACAATTAATGAGACAAATAATTGATAACCGATAGCCATGTGGGTTAAGAATCAGAAGTACTATAAATGCGATTTATGTGATTACACGCACCGAAAGCTGCCAAACCTGGAGTCACATAAAAATAAAGTTCACCTAAACATACGTCCCTTTAAGTGTGACAAATGTGATAAAGATTTTACCGGTAAACCCGTTTTGGACAAACATAAGCGCAAAGTTCATAACGATAGTGAATCGGTGTATCACTACTGCGATTGGAGTGAATGCAAGTTTCGCACCAAATACTGGAATAACCTTAAAGAGCATAAACTCAGACATACCGGTAATCGAGGTTTTAGGTATATTACATGTGATAACACTGACACCAACTTCATAATTATTGATATAATTGTGTTGACAGGTGTGCGTGGCCCGGATGTGATAAAAGTTTTTATAATAATAAAGAGCTAACACAACACATGTCTTCACATGAAGACGCTAAGGATTGGCGATGTGATTGGCCCGGTATGACCACCATTTAGTCTATTTATTTTATTAATATTTATTTTTCTAATAAACGGTAATTATAGGATGTGGTGCTAGCTTTAAAAGGGCCGTATATTTAGGTCGACATAAATTGCTTCATACGTGTCCCGATACCCTTCATCCCTGTGTATGGCCCGGATGTGGCAAAAGCTTTAATACAAAGAAAAAATTGGGTAAACATATGGCCGTTCACAAGAAAAATTCAACCATTGGTGCGCCACAAGTAGGTCGGCCACCCGGTCGAGTGACACTTCAAAATCATCAACAACAACATCAACAACAATTACAACAACAACAGCAACAAATACAACAACATCCAAACCAACTTCAGCAGCAACAACATCAGCAACAGCCAAGTCATTCACAGCAAATTTTATCGCCATTATCACAACATTCACCAGCATTAATGTCACCACAATCCCAAAAGTCACCACAATATCCATTTGATTTATCACAAAGAGGACACATTACACAGATCTCACAACAGTTGGTCACACCTCAGAATCGACTTAATAGGGAAACAGTGCCTCAGATGATGGCCGCAGCAGCGGTGGCACAGAGAGGACAGTTAATGAATGCAATGACCGGTGGATTACAAGAAACATCACAAACATTGCCATTTAGATGGCCTAACATTCCCACTAATATGACTAATATGACTAACATTCCTAATATTAATAACAAAACCTTTTAAACCTTTAAAACATATTATAGAAGTACTGCAATTCACGAATTTATTATAATTTGTTTATATTATTATAAAATAATTTATATTATTATATTGTTGTTATGTTTAGAATATTTTAAGATTCTCTTATATATTGAATTCAATATAAAGAATCTTTGAATGAAAAGTTATTCAATAAGTCATTAATAATTTATATTACGGTAGTTTTAAATTACTCATATTTGCAATTAAACACTAGTGAACAGGGATTTACAAAAATTAAAATGCAACATAAATTTACATTATTAATTATTTAAATAGAGAAAGTTAATTGAGCTTGATATGTTATAATATAATTATGCCATAACATTTACTGTAGTTATTTATTATATAAATTATATATAGATTATTAATTATATTTTATGTTTTATGAGTTATTTTTTCTAATTTTAAGAATATTTATAAGAATTTATTTATGTGTTAAATGTAATATTTATAATACAATTGATTGCTTTAAGTTTGAAACCACTTACAAATTCATGACTTATGAAAAATAGTTTTAATCTTTTAACCTTATTTTAAATCCTTAAATATGAGAATTTTATAAATGATTCAAAATATTTATAAGTGGTTTCTGACTTAAAGCAGTCAATTATAAATTATGTTAATTAATATACATTAATTGTATGATTTATTTATTAAAAATATGTCAAATTTTTATTGACAATTATAAATATATAATAAATAATTTAATAAAACATTTATATGAATTTACACTAACTTCAAGAATATTCTGTTATTTTGTTTGATTCTTAAAAATTGATTTTTTTATTAAAACTTAATAATAACTTCATATTGTTATTAACACATTGACTGATATAATAATTGTGTTATAAATATTTAATTGATTTAATTTTACAGTAATTCAATTACCGGTATTTATTTAAAATGTAGAGATGTTTAAAATATTTACAATAATTATTATTAGATTTGACATTAAAGACACTTAATTTTACATAATAAGTATATATATTATTGTATTAACTATTTTATTATTATTATTATAAATAATTAATTTTTTATATATTCAAAAATTATTTATAATTAAATAAATTGTTATAAAATTATTGAATGCATGCAATCCAGTGCACACCTCTAAACATTTGACCGCATGTTTAATGACTGAATGTATTGAAAATGTGGCAAAAATTGTGACAACAAATACATTGCATCAGAAATACAGTGATTTTACAATCAGTTTAAACACTATTTAGTTTGCAATTAATTTAATTGATATTAATTTGAGTGATATATCGGCGCACAAGTAGTTTGTGAGACAATCTTCAGCAGAGACACGATGTCAGGACAACCGCATCTCAAGACTCAAGACTTGAAAACATTGGTAAATATTTGTTAGTATTGTTTGAAGTATTTTATTGATAATTTGTTGTCATTGTTTAGGATCAATCAAAACTGACTCCATTGACACCCGAGGTTATCTCAAGACAGGCCACAATCAATATCGGAACCATTGGACACGTAGCTCACGGCAAGAGTACTATAGTGAAGGCCATATCCGGAGTACAAACGGTTCGTTTCAAGAATGAATTGGAGAGAAATATCACCATTAAGTTGGGTTACGCTAACGCAAAGATATACAAGTGTGACAACATTCAGTGTACGCGACCCACGTGTTACCGATCGGCGCCGTCAAACAAAGAGGACGAATTCAGGTGCGACCGACCCGACTGTACCGGTAAATATCAGCTTCAGCGACACGTGTCATTTGTTGACTGTCCCGGACACGACATTTTGATGGCCACTATGTTGAACGGAGCTGCCGTAATGGACGCCGCTTTGGTTCTGATTGCGGCCAACGAAACCTGTCCTCAACCGCAAACATCTGAACATTTAGCAGCCGTTGAAATCATGCGTTTGCAACATATGATTATTTTACAAAATAAAATTGATTTGGTTAAGGAATCGCAGGCTAGAGAACAGTATCAACAGATCCAGAAGTTTGTCCAGGGAACCGTTGCTGAAGGATCACCTGTCGTACCAATTAGTGCACAATTAAAATACAATATCGATGTTCTTTGTGAATATATCGTCAAAAATATACCGATCCCTAACCGAGACTTTATGTCTCCGCCACGTCTTATAGGTAATGAAATTATTGAATCAAATGATATTATTATTGAATTTATATTTATATGAATCGGCAGTAATTCGATCATTTGATGTAAACAAACCCGGCTGTGAAGTTGAAGATATTAAAGGAGGTGTGGCCGGCGGGTCATTACTCAAAGGTGTGCTCAAAGTAGGAATGGAGATTGAAGTCAGACCTGGACTCATATCAAAGGACGACTCGGGCAAAATCATTTGCTGTCCCATATTGTCGAAGATTACATCGCTATATGCCGACCAAAATGACTTACAATATGCAGTTCCCGGCGGTCTTATTGGTGTCGGAACTAAAGTCGACCCAATGCTTACTAGAGCTGATCGTATGGTCGGTCAAGTGTTGGGTGCTGTCGGCTCTTTGCCTGATATTTATTCTGAACTCGAGATAACGTATTATCTATTGAGACGACTGTTAGGTGTCCGCACTGAAGGCGACAAAAAAGGAGCAAAGGTTTGGATTTATTTATTACCGTAAGTTTAATATTATGTCAATCGACTCATATGTATTGAAATATAGGTTCAAAAGTTGACTAAAGGAGAAGTATTAATGTTGAATATTGGCTCCCTTTCCACTGGAGGCCGGGTATTGGCAGTAAAGGCTGATTTGGCTAAAATAACTCTTTTCATTCCTGTTTGTGTTGAATGTGGAGAAAAGATTGCATTGAGTCGCCGTGTGGACAGACATTGGCGGTTAGTATTACCGTAATTATACATTAATATTGATTTGATATCTAATAATATTTTTAATTGTTTGACAGTTTGATCGGTTGGGGACAAATTAGAAGAGGAACAGTAATCGATCCGTCATCCAATCAGCCAAACATTTTGCCCAATAAACTTGAAATGCAAATGTAATCCAATTATAATAATAAAATTTTCTAATTTATTTCAGTGTTATTTTGTTTATACATAATTATTTGTATTTTCTATCTATCGATATTGCAATCATCAATAACATCATTAATAGTATAACCATTTAATAAATCAACTGGAATTGAATTCATAGTATATCTTTGCGGTTGAACACCTAAATCACTGGTCAGATATCGAAACTCAGGAGTCTATATATTAGCGTTAAATTAATTTTAAAAATATATAATATGACAAACCATTATATGATAAAAGCAAATAATTAACTCAAATTATATATATATATATATATATATATCAATTACCTCATTTATTTGGCCATTATTTTTGTTGTCGAAGATTTCTTGCCAATCAAATAGCAGTGAATCAGTTAACTTTCCGAAAGGGTTTATATCTATCAGAATTACTTGTCCTCTATCGGGTCGGTAAACATCGATAACAACTATGTTGTACATGAAAACAATAAGACATAAAAAATATTAGTAAATTAAATGTAGAAATAAATAAAAAAATTAAATTATATATAGTTTACAGTCTTCGTCAAAAAATTTATTCTTTAAATGTCTGCCAAAGAAACGTTGAATATCTCCTATAATATCCTCTTTTTGTTGATGGATGTGCTCATAATATGAGCGGACATCACGCTGTGTTATACCTATATAAAGAGTATGATAATAATAAAATTCAAGTTAAAGGACACTCATCATTAGTTTACCAATTATTTGATTATCAGCTATAAAGCATCGAAACTCCATCGACGGGTTGATATCAATCCATTTCTTGAGAATCAATTCGTACTCAATGTGCGGACTGTTATCTTCAATAACATCTAAACAATACTTAAATCTATTGGAAATTTGAAATACATGTTATGTTATTGAATGTAATAAACAATTCAATGATTTAAAAACTAACGGTTGAGTTAAATCGTGAACTATTTTGTCGGAACTCTTCAACAAAAGATAGATATCTTGTGTTTGTAGACATTGAGTGCCCGTAAGACTCATCCATTGGCTGTCCTCACAGGAACTCCAATTGAGTTTAACAAACACTGATCCAAACCGACCTAATGTTTGTTTCATTTGTTGCTCAATATCAACAAATTCAATATCATTGACTGAATCATCATCTGAACCATCATTACTACCGTTATCCTCATCATTGTCATTGTCATCACTCCAACCATTCAAGTCTTCACCATTATTGTCACTATTCAAATGATATCATATAAACATCAAAATAATAATCAATTCATATAAAGTCCAAACCTTTTTGGCAAAACAATGCCATCACTTAACAGATATTTGATAAAATCTTCGGACAATTTGATCACTTGACTGTTAAATCAATTAATTATTTAGTAATAGTTTATTATATTTAATGACAAGTGATATACCTATTGATGGAAATGTGACCAAACAATGGATACCATTTGGAGAAACTACAGTTCAAGACGTGTTGTGAGGATAACATGTTATCACCAAATGATTGGTCTCTCAAATGCATCGGTTCTTCAATCGGTAATGTTTTCTTCAATATCAGGTAAATGTCATTAATATTACAGTTATTATTATTATTATTATTATTATTATTATTATTATTATTATTATTATTATTATTATTATTATTATTATTATTATTATTATTATTATTATTATTATTGCTTTAATACAGTATTATGCAATACCACACATGTATTACAGTATATTACCTGTACTGTAAAGTCTAGTCAATTGAGTTATATTATCATTTAATTTATTGTTTTCAATCATTTAATCACTTTTGTAAATTAATTTATAATTTAATAAAAACATTAATTTACTGTTAGGTAAACAAATCTAGTATTTACTATAATTACTGTTTTAATAAAGTAAAAAATAAAATAATTAGTTAAATAATATGAATGACTTAATTTGGATACAAAGTCATGATTTGCTAAGTTATTAATTTAAATAAATTACTGATAACTAAAATGCAAGTTATTGTACAGTTATTGTACTGTTATTGTACTGTAATACTACAATTAAAAGTTTTATATAAATGTTAATACATTTACGGTAAATATACTGTATTTTACACACAAATTCTCACATTACAAGTGATAACAATCATAATTATCACTTATCTCTCCCAACTTTGCCTTCAATTACAGGTAAGGCATTAGTACCGGTAAGTGTGATCCTCAGCTGATCTGTTAATGAAGACAAGTCTATCAAATAATTGTCCACAAATATACCCTCAGTTAAGTGACTAACAAAGTAAACAAAACTATATTTTACAGTATTTTAAAGTAAAAAAGTTAGTTATTATTAATTAGTGACTTAATAGTGACTTATTATCATAGTTAGTGAAATACCTCTTGAATACAATAATTATATTTTTTAATATTTGTTTTCTAAACTTTCTATTACAGGTAATATTTTTTCAAATAAAACTTACCGGTAATGTAAAATAAAATGTTACAAATGTTATTCAACAACATTAATGATAATTTTAATCTAAATCATTGATTTTTAAGTCAATCTTGATATGAAAATCTCATAATGAGATCACATAACTGAATAAAAGTTGATTTACTCAAAATTGTTTCGATTAAAAAATATTTATTATTGTATGAAATACTAAAAAAATATAAATACTAAATATCAAGTCATTTCTAATGTATTAAAAGTCAAAATGTAAAAAACAATTTATATTATTTAAATATTAAAAATGTAATTAAAATATTGCTATAATTATATAATAACTTAAATCACACAAAACATACAAAACTAATAATAAATGAAAATGAATTAAATAAGTAATGAAAAAAACAAAAGAAAACAAAGCATTAATAAATGAGTTGACAATTCGTCACCGATTTCTTAGCCTTTTTATGCGGTCGTTCGCCAGTGTCGGGGGTTTCCGAATGACGTCTCTTTTGTGTTATTCCACGAATAGTTTGGACATATTTGATGCCTTTTGCATTCAATTTGCAGATGTGTTCCTCCAAGAGCTGAACCGGAACTTCCAAATCGTCGTCTTCTTCATATCGAAAACCTTCGATTGGAGACAATTTGCTTTTGGGAAGAATGGCTCGGGAAAAGTCCGGCGGATCAAAGAAGCGAACGTCATATTGTTTGCCACCGGGCAGTACAGCAATCACTTTTGATGGCCAGGCCGGGTATTTACCCAACTTTGCAAATACTAACTCATGCGGCGGATCGCATACCAAAGTGAACCATTCATGCGGTTTATCGTCCGAATCATAGGTTACGTCCGATGAATACAAATAGCAGTCAACGCAAAGCTTCAACTCTTTAATCTCGTGGTTGAACTTCTTATCAAATTCAATGATATCTTTAAACTGTTGTTTAAAGTTGTCTTTACGACAAACCATGTAATTGTGAATAAAATGTTTGAAATCGTTAACCATTTCTTGAAGTTTGTTGTATTTGCATTGTATTGCATTTTGACGTATTGTCTCCAAATCCATCTCTTTGAAGACAAACATCAGAACCTCTTTATTCCAATCGATGTTATATTTAGCGAACAATTGTGAATCATAACTGAGACACAAATTTTTTATCAACAAATCTATTGATTTGTTGAGTACTTCTTTGGAAACTTTATTCACTCTCAATGTTTCATCCGTTTCAGTCAATTGTCGGCAATAGAAACAAACTAACGAATCGTTTGGCAATTCTTTCAGTTTGTCTTTAATGCACGTCTTGTGGAACAAACGGAAGCACTGATTGCAATCAATTAACAACTGATCCAAAACCGAATGGCACTCAAAACATAACCAATCATTGGTTAGTTCGGGCAATAGTTTGCGGTCATAGTTTGGCACATATCTGACAAATCAATTGTCAATTAATGGTTTACATTAGTATATGAATGCATACCTCACATAATAGACATCATTGGTCTCTTTGATCACTAGTTTGTCTTCAACGGCCCAATCGAGTAATTGGTTGATTCGCTTGTCATTGACTTTAACATTGAAGACATCAATCATCTGTTTGATGACCAAATCATTCAATTCTTGTCCACTCTTTTGCCAATCAATCGTTTCCAATACTTTCCATAATTTGATTGCCATTTCTGATGAAGTTTTTCTATAATACTTAGTACTGGAAGTGGTTGTCGACACCACTGACTGTGAATTTGGTTCATTCAGTTGACTGCAATCTTTGTCCACATTCTTTGGTTCATTAATCGGCTCTTCATTTGGCTCTTCATTTGGCTCTTCATTGGACTCTTGATTAGTGTCAATGTGTTTGTCACGTGTTGTTTGATCTTCACTATTGTCAACAATATTGATGTCATAATTGTCATCAATTGTATCCATCATTAGTGTAGTCATTGTTGTAATGATTGTGTAACCGATGTCTACATTAAATGGAATGAATTGTCACTCAAATGTTCGATAAAACCATTCAATTGAGCTTTCATTCCATTTTCTTCAATACAAACCACACAAATATTACATAACAATGGAATTAAAATTCGAATTCTTGAATCGTAAGTTCAATGAATGGTAAAAAAAATTTTGGGAATTCTATCGAATCTATCAAATGGTTGTAACAGTTGTTGTGTATGAGCTGTCAATCAAAAGTCAAMTCTAAAGCAAACGATTGACAAACTATTGAAATAGTATTTAATGATTGAATCGATGATTGGATAGCAATAGTGTGTCGCCATTGGTATGCATTTGAATCCATTGAAACCAATTTGATATAAGATTTGATCATTCGATTCAATGATCAGTGCATTTAGTTTTGTATTAATCGAGTCATTGTTTGACTCATATTATAATTAATATAATTTTTTTTCAATCATTTATTCAACAAATAGTTTGTATATATTATCAAAAAAACAAAACAATTGTTTCAACAATTATTAGACATTTATTAGGAAATAGTATTATATTATAAAAGAGTTTAAATTTCATTTGAATTGAGTATTAAATTTACATTTAATTACATTAATACGTATATATAAAAAAATAAATACTATTTGTTTTGTTAACAATTATAACGTTATAACTAAATAATTAATAATTTTAGAAAATACTAAATTCATTGATAATATAATCAACAAATAAATCAAATTTAATTAATGCATAAAACTTTGAAATAAACTAAAAAATGTAAATTTTGTGTAAAAAAAGTTGAATCAAATATTTGCAAAAATGTTAGACAATATGTAAAAAAGTTAAAATTTGAATAAAAAGTAAATTTACTATATTTTTGRCTTAAATGTTATTTAATGTTGTGTTAAAATTAGTGTTTAAGTTAATTATAAAATGATTATCAGTTATATTAATGTTTTATATTATTTTTTAATTAATAATTATTATATAACTAATTAGTTTCACGTAATAAAATGTGTGTCAATAGTTAACACGTGCAACAATACTCTCTCAATCTATCTCTTTACTAAACAATGCTTTCACGCGCTATATATAATATACAGTGTATTATAAAAAGTATATTTTATTTAATTATTTTTTATTTAATAAATTAAAATTATTAATAATCGCCGACACATTAAATTGAATTGTTTGCGTCACACAAATTTGATACAAACATTCAACAAATTATATAATAGTATAGATTTAATTAATCTATAATATCTATAGATTGTGTGACCTTTACAAACAATTCATATTTATATATTTTACGGTAAATATTTATTGTCGCGCGATAATATAATTTAAAATATATAAAAATAAATAATAATTAAATAAAATATACTTTTTTATAATAAACTGTAAGCGCGTAAGTATTGTTGCACGTGTTAACTATTRATACACATTTGATTACATGGAGATAACTAGTTATGAAATAATACAAAATTACAAATACTGTACAATACATGCGTTAAACATATGATGACATCATTTATTTGTAAACAAAATTAATGCAAACATTGTTTTGATTGTAAACTCTTCAGTGATTATCATGTTTTCTAACACTTTGTCCATCGATTTTGATACAAACACTTGGATCACATCACTTACCACTCAACTCATGTCAGTCATCACTACAAATGGTCTAATGATTAGTGAAGACATCACTTTAATCCACACATTACTCGACAATCAATTGGATTCAAATAAGTCATTGTTTTTCAAGTTTAATAAGTAATGAAAACTTGTATTAATTTATATGAATGTTATGATTGAATTATAAATAATTTGATTAATTATATTAAGATATACCGTGTTATCAGTGGTATCGGTGACCACTAGTTTGCTATGGTTTGGATCAAGTGTTGTGTCAATTGGTTCAGTCTTGACATCACTGTTTTGCGGTATTTGTTTGCCGCTGTCGTCACTCACATATAGTTTTGCCTCAAAAATGTATGTTTTTATTATTTTATTTATAATTTAATTTATTAATCAATTATTATTACAGTTATATTAAGCATAGATTACTTCAGAAAATTCACGTTTTATGTGAAAGTCAGGTCAAAGTAAATGATATTTTTAATAAATATTTAAAATTAATTGAAGACAACGAAGTACTCGAAAGTGGAGGCCAACACTCCCGAAGATTATGTGATATGAGAGATAGATTTAGACATTTGTGTTGGAAATGTTTCATTATATTCAGAGATAAAACTATTTATTTAAGACAAACGTTTGCTATTAATAAAGATATAGACGAAGAAAACAACTTTTTATGTTGTTTTCCGATTGAATCGTTTGATAAATTTAAATCTGAAGACAAGACTGTGATAAACGTTTTATTACTAAAAGTAACTTTTTATTTATATTATTTATAATAATTTAATGATAATTACAGTTTAATTATTTTGTTTTATAGTCCTTAAAGCAGTTAAAACGTTTGCAATCATCAGAATTTTTGCGACGATTTGTTTGTCTATTTGTTATCATTTGTATTGATAAATCAATTATAAATCAGTCAATTGATAGTTATATTTATGATGTTTATAAAGAAACAGTTAAATTATTTGATGTATTAATTAAAGAATCGGATGAAATATATAATGAATTATTATATGAATATAAATGTGGAAATTCTTTGTGGATTTTTTCTGAAAAATCACTTATAAAGAGTCGCGATTTAAAACAAACTAATTTATCACTAGAAATGAATAATGTTTTAAATATTAATCGAAATATTCGCAGAAATTTGTTGACAGCTCTTAATAAGTATTTATTTTATTACTAAATATCTAAAAAATAAAATACTAATTAAATATATTTTTTTTACTAAATAACAGATCAGAAGAGTTTGATTCTTTGTTTGAATCACATTATAAAAGCACTGATTTTCGACATTTATATCGTCAACAAATCGATTCATTTAATAATGAATTAAATAAAATAAATGAATCCATTATTAGTTTAGAAAAACTATTAAGAATAGATGGTTTGTATTAATTTAATTATTTTTTATTTAAATTATTTTTTATTTAAATTATTTTAAATATTTAGAATTAAAAGAAAGGAAAAGTGATTTAATGCACATAAATAAGGAAAACAATTTGGATAATAATAAAATAGTCAACATTACAACAATAGTTGATGAATATATAATTAAGGATCAAGTATTTGAAGCATTTGTTACACAAGAAGCTGATGATAATAATGACAACATTACTGAAAATGATAGCGAGTTATGGGAAGAAAAAGTAAATATTAGTTAATTTGTTTTACAAGAAATTGCTAAAAGATTTCATATTATTTTAATTTAGTGTAAATTAATTCAAGAAACTGAAGATTCAAATAATTTATATAAAGAACTAAAAATTGCCTTAAAATCTAAAGCTGAAGAACATCAACAAAGAGAAGCCAAAGCATTGGGTATTGATGTCAATCATTTAAAAGATGACTTCAAAGATAATATAATCTGTGATACAAAACCTGATGAATCAATAAATAGCAATAAATATGACATTAAAACAAGTGTTGTGTCAGAAGATAAAATAAATACAAATCAATTGAATCAAAGTTTTCAATCAAATTCTTTTGTTTCTTTTGGATTTATTTCACAAATTGCTGCACAAAAAGCTATTAATTTTGGCTTAAATACTGAAACTGAATGTTTTGGTGATAATTGTAATGACTCTGAATCTGATTCAAGCGATGAATAAAAAAATGATTTACTTTATATTTGAACAACTATTGAATATAATATTTAAATTTAAAAATAATACACAAATTGTTTATTAAAATATGTAACTTACCGGTAAGTATTAATAAGAAATTTTATTAATAGAATATAATATTTACAATTTATTTAAAATAGATTTAAAGATATTTAGTTGTCTTATAGTATAACAATTACGGTAAGACTAATGTAAAACAAAGCAGAATTGTGAATATAATTTAAATTTAGTTTATCGTTGACGCCCTGTCTGTGAATCAATAGTTTGAACGGATGTTCCTCTATCTAAAACATTGCCACTGCTATTATAGGATGACTGGACAACCGTTTTTGAATTGGGTTTGACTTAATTTAACATCAAAATACTGTTATATTACATAATATTAATTAATTAATTAGTATTTAAAATACCTGTGAATTTGATGATTACATAAATAATAAGTGATAAGAGAATGAGTGAAATAAATAGAGTGAATATAATAATAATAAGTGAAGAGTGTTTTGAAAACAAACTCTCATTACTATTATTAGTAAAACTGTGGTCTTCTTTATAATGATTGTCCGTATCGTTTGTAGAGTCCGTATCATTAATATTATTACATCCAAAATATTTGCGCAAATTATTTGGCTAAAGGTTTTATATTAATTAGTTGTTAACTATTGTCTGTATATTTCAATGAATTTTAAAATAATTTAAATAATTAATATGAAACCTGTAATTGAAATTTTTTAGTTTTTCCGTCGTCGACCAACTTATAAATTTTAGTCACATTATCTCTATCATGACCTCTATCTCCAATGGCATAGATCTCATAATATGTGATATCATAATATTCACGAAACATACCAACAAAAGTGACATCAGATTCAATAAAATCCTTTTTCATATTTTCAAACCAATTGAGAGAATAAATAGAATTGGAGTGAATGGCCGACAGTTCCTTATTTCCCGAATGTGTTATAAACAGCACTTGATTTTTATAAGGAATAAAAATACTCGATTGCGGAACATCTGACTGTTTGGTCCACTCTTTTGGCCAAATATTAGAAATGGTTTCGGGAGTCAATTTCCACGGATAGTCGTCTTTATGCATTTCCTTGCGATTGCCATCCATTACAATATATATTTTTGTAGTGTCTTTACTATTAAACTGTTGTCTTTCAATTGAACACTCGTTTGCATTTACATAATCCCCGCATTGGTTTGGGTCCTTAATCTCATCGTTAGGACATTTAGTATTAAATATAAAAATCGCGGTGTAATACTTCCAACCAATTGAATCTAAATACAAATAATTATAATATATAATAAATTATAATTAATTATAATTAATGTTAATTATAATAATGAATATTACGATAATAGGGTGGATCTTGAAAGCTACCGATGGTTTGGCTATAATTCCAATACCAGTAATGATTAGACATTTGTGTGCCAATCACTAGTGTGTCTCCTCTATAAAACATTGCAGTAAAATGTGTTGTCTCACAAAACTTAGGAATCGATATGTTTTCTTTCATTTCCACTTTATTTGTCATTTGAATGACAAGAATGGCATAAATATAGACAACAATATCTGTATTCATATCACTTGAAATCCAATGAATCTTATAGTGTCTTAAGAGTCGGCAAACAATTGTATGACTAATTAAAGTTTAAAATTAAATTTAATATTCATATAAATCTTATTAACAAAAATAGCAATTTTTTGTATTAATAATTATTTGTATTTTCTATTATTAATATTATCTACTATTTCTAAATTCCTCATTTACAAATTCAATTGTTTAGATATTATTGTCGCGCGAACCTAACCTAACCTAACCTAACCTAACCTAAACTACACAAATAAGTATAACGAGACAACAATATTGGACCAAAACTATCAAATATATCTATTTATTAGTAGTATTACTAAAATATGATACAATGTTTGTTATTCCCAAAGTAAACAACCATTGCTTAGGTTTTAAAAGTTTAATACAAATACCTATAAATCAAATGTATTTGTTATGCGTTTATTAACAAATAAACTTAATARCCGTTAAATCATACAATATTTAAAATATATTGTTGAGTAATACAGATTCAGATGATATAATTAGCATTTTTAGCATCTTTTATAACAGTTTATACAATAGATTTTATTATAATATACTGTTTTTTTGTTTTAATTATCAATTTTATATTTGAATGACTATGTATTGACAAATGAGTGAACAAACAGATAAATCAAGTGATGGATCGAAATCTAAAGACATTAATTTGGACCAAAAGTCAGACAAAGTTAACTCAGATGAGTCGTTACCAACTGTGACCGCTAAGAGTAATACAGATTCACCAATCAAGCTATATGTGCCAAAATCATACCATAAGGTGGCCAATAGGGTACCGACCAAAAGGAAACGATTGGTTTGGAGACAAATTCGGTTGGATTTCGGGACACTATTGAATTGCACGGCATGTAAACAGATATTCATTTTAGTTTCATGTATTAGTATTTTGGTCTCAATGTTGTTAACCCGTTGTGATGATGACAGCGAGTTATCCTCCACTCCAACAACTCAAGCCATTCAACCTACTGGTGCCACAAATCTAACTATAAATAAAACAAATGACGAAAATAGTGAAAACCGACCAATAAGTTGTAGTTTTCAATATTATGTACTAATATTGATGTTAATAGTGATTAGTTTAGAGACTTTTAAATTAGTGTTATATTTGTTTCACTTCATCGAAGTTTGGGCTAAGATTCCGTGGCTTATCATTGAATGTCTTTACTATTTGTTTCTTAGTCCTAATTTTTTAGGACTTACTATAATTTTCAGTATCGCTGGAAATTGGTTTATATTTCTAGCAATCATCGCTTTAATAGACTTTATTTTATCGTTAATATTATCGATGATAAAAGGCATATCTTGGTGTTGTGGAGGTGTGGCGCAGTCCAATCAAGAAGACCCCGACGGTAATAAACAGCGCCGCAAAAAACTTAATCTAAGATTCACTAAATCTCAACCACTTTTGGTTAGACCTAAGAAATCTTTTGAGGACTAAACTAAACATTTAATTTATTTAATAGCATTTAATAAAGTTTATTAATTTTATTAATTATCATATTATATTCTATAACTAAAACTCGTGTTATTACTTAAATAAAAATTCATTTATTTTATATTATTTTATTTATTTATAATTATGCAAATATTAGTTACTGAATTAGAAACTGGGAGAGAGAGAGAGATAGAGAGAGAAAGAGAGAGAGAGAGAGAGTTCAAAAAGTAGTTATGGTTGAATGCACTTCACAATTGAGGTGGAGTTGTATTTTAATAGGACTTCAGATGGGAAAACACGTGCACTTAATACATGTTTATGTTGTTTTGCATTGCATTAGCCAAGAGAGAGAAGTTCAATACAATAGACTTTGGGATCAATTGAAATGTACGACACATTCAGGCATTTCTATGACTATATATAAGGCATAAATTGAAAGAGAGAAAGACTGGAACTGAGAGAGAATTTGTGGATACATCACAACACTCAGCACTTTATGGTTGCATATGAATAGCAAACATATTGTGTCAAACATAATATGACCACCAATTCATTATAATATGTCTCAGCATTTAAAGTGTTATATTCAAAATCTATTCAATTTTGTGTCCAATTATTTCAAAAATCTTCAATAATTTTTGCCATTTTTTTAATCATTAGAAATTAAATTTACAAAATAATACTTTTAAAGTTACATTTAAAAAATGAAAAGTATATATATATATATATATATATATAATATATACTGTATTAATCCAAAAAATTTATAGAATATAAAAAAATAAATAATATAAATATTTAACGCTTTCATACAAAAGATTTCTCACAACAAGAATATCCTATTAAATAGAAAACCGACAAAAATTTTATTATAAATATAATGCAAAGGATATAGATTTGATATAAAGAGTCACAACTCTATTGATACTGAGTTTGACTATAATATTATGAAGATTTTTGCTATTATGTTGTATCAACCAAATGAAAGTTCAATTTGTTTTGTAGTTTATATATAACTGTTAGGATGTGTCAAAGTAATGATGTAATTATGAGTGCTATTGAAAACCATAGGAAATGTAAGAATTAAATGCAAAGAGAAGAGAATTCATCATTTTGTGTGCAATAGACATGTTATACAATCAAATCATATTTTATCACTCATTTCTGTTATATTATTAACTGACACACTTTGAGTGTCAGTGAGTGAGAGAGTGAATCAATGAGTTTGTGTGTGTGTGTGTGTGTGTGTGTGTGTGTGTGTGTGTGTGTGTGTGTGTGTGTGTGTGTGTGTGTGTGTGTGTGTGTGTGTGTGAGAGAGAGAGAGAGAGAGAGAGAGAGAGAGAGAGAGAGATGAAACGAAACGCCTGCAGTAATAGTTAGTGCAATGTTTAACAAACACTATATTGTAGGTGTTGTGTGTGTATATAAAATATAGAAGGTATAGATTAGATGCAATTTTTGGATCCAAATATAACAGCGTTAAGAGAGACCCTCTTTGGTAATGTTTTTTCATTGAATGGCTATATTTAATAAACTGTTCAACAGTTGCTTCCGCACCAAAACACCACAAGAGCTGTCATCCGCACACACTTTGACACCAAAACATGTATTACTCTATGTTTTCAATTGATTTGTTGTATAATTGTTGTGATTTTTCTTACTTTTGCTATTTATGTGATTCTAACAACATTTCTAAACTTAGTATAGATATCATAAATTAATTGTATTTTTACGGTTTGTATAACTCTAATAATTGCAATATTTTTTTAAATTATAAATATTTATAATATATTTTCTAAAATTATCATCAACATTTAATACTTTACTACTATACTACTACTACTACTACTACTATATTTAAAATATATACTATTTACAATATCATTAAACTAATAAAATAAGATATTTTGCTCATTGAATTAAAATATAAAATTACAAAAAAATCTTGAATTACAATATATATGAAATAATATTTAAATAGCGGAATATTACCTGAAATATTAAATATTAAATAATCTGATGACACGTAAGCCGATAGCCTGCCTGTCGCCGGTCTTACGTGTCTTTCATATCTTTATTTAAAAGTTCATTGATTGGCAAAAATGGGAGAAACACCTTAAACCAGAGTACTTTAAATATCAAATTACAAGCGCATACCAGTGATAATATGTCATGAATTGGTAATATCTGTTTGACAACTAACCTGTTGAGGCAATTGAAATAAACTTAAAGTAATTGAATATTATTGTTGTTGTGGTTTGCAGTGAGAGTTGAGAGTGAAAAATGTTAGGTTAAGACACAGACTGCTTGGTTCCACACATTCGTAATAATAAAAACATTATATAAATAAACAGCACAACTATTTCTGTAAAATTCTCTCCTAAATAACTACCTGTGCTTAACACTGGACACACACTCTCACTCACCTACTGTACTGATATGTCAATGCTTTTCTTAAGCTAAATAAGTGCATTCAACACATCAACAACACATACCAATGCAGCACAAAATTATTGTAATATTTTTATATAGTTTATTGTTCACTAACGCAACTGAAAGGGGCATATAATATATGATACAAAATACAAAGCAATAGTTTAAAAAGTGTACAAACAGTATAAAGTATATACATATATAGTCTATAGTCTATAKACTATATATCAGAATATATATGTATATAAAAGGGCACACATTTGATGTGATGTCTGAATCATAATAAGTGAATATATTTGTGTTAAGAATACAATTTTTCTCAAAGAATCGTTGAATAAAATATTCACTTAATTCTTAAAACTGTTGTAAAGCTGTCTGTCCTTACACTACCTTCCAGTGCTTTATCGTCACAACCGACAGTACATCACAATTCAAATGATGACTTAAGAATCTTAAGCCCAAATAAATAGGGCGTGTATTTCAACATTTCAAAGAAGCACTGTATGTACTGTTAGCACTGTTAGCTTTATTTCAAAATACAGTACATATGTGTTGTGCATATATTTAGTGTTTTGTATAAAATAATAATAATAATACATTTATATGTTTGATGTGTACAGATCTCATTGTATGCCTGGAGTAAAATTGTTAAATCATATGCAATGTAGTGATGAATTGGGTCCATAGTTATGAATAATATGTATAACAAATGATTGTATTGTGACACCGATTTGTATACTATATATTAGCAATACTTATTGACTAAAAAATACTGTATACTGTACTCATAGCTATGAAGTCTATAATATTAGTCTCTTATGAAATTAGTCTAACATTAAGTAAGTCTCGACAGTCAGTACTCTTCAAACTAAAAGTACAAAATCTTGTCTCAAAAGGACTGCGCTCTCTATTTATAAGTTTTTCTCTCTTTAAATATAAGTATTATTCAAAAGATGAACAGTTTTGCATTGTTTGACTGACAAACATATAGAACTACTGTATATATGTTTTGCACACTTATATATAAACAACCACTTTTTGGTTTAGTTGGGTCCAAACACTGTCTTCAATGAGCCGACAAATGATTCAAACAATTTATCAAATAAAAGCCAGTATTTCATAGAAAGAAAAAAAACTAATAAACATTTTTTGGTTATATTTTGTGTATCAAATCAAGCAATAGATTTGTATTCTTTATTTAAGCGCTAATATCCACTATTTATACCTAATTTTCTTTTTAGCAAAAATACTATATAAGCGATTAAAACCAATATATTGTAAATAAATCCCTCCCAAATAGGCATTACCTAAATGTATTGCAACCCAAATGGGTTTCACCAAAAAGTCTTTAGCTTATACATACCAATCCCACTTTTTAGCATTTATATCCCTTAACGCAGGTGCTCTCTCTCTTTCTCTCTCTTTCTCTCTCTTTCTCTCTCTTTCTTTCTCTCTTCTGTATGTTCTTTTAAAATGAATGTCCTTTAGTACCGCTACTACTGTCCGACCGCCTGATGTGTGCCTCTATTTTGTCGACTCAATTGTAACCACAAGTACTACAACATTAGTAATTCATTATATTATATACTCCTCAGTAGTCAAACTCATTGCAAAACATGAAAAGAGTACTTTTCATGTGACCATCCATTTGATGGGCCGATCGGGCAAAACGGCTCTTTCCTAACATTTGCAGAGACACTCACACACTGTTAGTCATACAATGTTATGAGTATCTAAAATATAATACACTTTTAGTATCAACCAATTTTGATGTCTGTCCCGATTCATAACTCTTCAAAAACCTAACATTTGGTTTACTAATAATATTTTTTATATTAATAAAAATGCAAAATTTGCTTTCTTTGTGATGACGTTTGAAGATAATAAGGTTTGTTTAATAATTAATTTTATAACATTTACGTTTACGTTTAGTTTTATATAATTTTTAAAACTGTTTACTTTTCATTAACGAAAAAATGATCTGGATTATGTATAGATATAGATAATATAATATAAATAACTACTGTATATATATAATAATATTCGTATATTTCTATATATTAGTATTATACTGTATATATATATATAAGTTGCAAACATTTGATAATCTCAGTGATTATCAGATTTAGTGGTGTAATCTATCAATAAGATTGTGATCTGATTCTAGCACTTAAGTTATGTGTATATCAGTAGTGAATTTGTGTTTAATATATAAGTATTGTTAGGATATGTCATATTTGGTTGTATTTGATCTAAAAATCTCAGTTAAATAGCTAACTATATGCTAGTATTGACTATTCTTTATTATACTAATACTAGCCGTATATATACAATACAGTAGATTAGTATTGTATATAACACCGGCTATCTATTGAAGAGCAAAAATCTTGTACACATGATTAAAGTAGCGACAAATTATTGTGTGCACTACACGCCGATTCTCTAACTCCCTGTGCTCTCTATCCGTATGCCTGTCCCTCACTAACTCACTCATTCATGAATTTATATATATATAGAGAAAAATATAATAGATTTTGAGTCTATTTAGTTGTTAGGCATAAGAGTCGATAAAGAACTGAAAGCCGATTATTGCGATTACTGTATTGATATATATATAGAGTGTTAGTATAGAAAGCGGGAACAGTAGTCCATAGATGTGACTAATTCTGCTAAACTTTACTATTGGTATCTATGGCCTACTCTTTGGCGGTACTGTTGCACCACTAATAGGGTTTAGTGTTTTGGTCACTAATACATGAGTCGCTGTTTAACAACAAACCTATTTGGTTACTAATATTGTCAAATATGTTAACAACTTCTAACACATACTTGAAACCCACTCCTATAGCTAATAGGCCTCAATTTGGACTATGATTTACTAGTTATTGCCTTCAATTTGACACCACTAGTCAAACACACACTTATATATAATTTATAAATGATATTTTAAAATAGTATGTATGTTATAGCTATTATCCATTTAACTAGAGTTGTACTCAATTGGTGACAATCATGTCTGTCAACAAAGAGTTGATTATTTCAAATGAAGAAGATGTCAATACAGTGGATGACAATAATAAAAGCCCTAAAGTTTTCAATGATTTGTCAAAAGATAAGTCAACTTCGTTGGCGTTCAGTATCGATAATATAATGCAAAAACTGGGAAATAGTGACAAAACTGTTGACAACAAAACTAATCAAACGTTAGATAAACAACTGAATAATAATGAGATATCACTGGAATCGCAAACAATTAAATCAGACAAACAATTGTCACACAATTGTAAAGTCGATTCCTATCATAGAAAGCATACAACAAATGTTTATAATAGTTGTAATAATAATAATAATAATAATAATTTGGATGATAAGATTAAATGGAAATTCCAGGCAATGGATCCGTTGGTAAATAATTTTTTACCAACGATGCAAACCTCCAGTACAACAACTATACCTCATTTGCCATTTAATTCATACAACAATTCTTTTAATACAATGTTTTACGAGAAAGTTATGAGAAATTTATTGACTGCCTCTTCATCCCTGCGATCGTTCAGTGATATAGACTCTGTTCGCTTGTGTTCAGCACTTATGGCTCCCGACTATAATCTATTACAAAACATCGCATCATTGCCTATACCAGGTTGTGGCCAATTACCAAATGGTTCAGTACTCCCCCCATCACCACAGCTACTCAACCATTTGTTCCAATCTTATCCTCCGGATGTAGTAAAAGAGCGATTTGTCGATTTTAGACCTATGCTTACACCCGACCCAAATCTAACGCTATTAAATGTTGTAAAACCTAAACCATTAATACATATGACACCTAACAAATTAGTTGACAATATAGCCATTAGCGATACTCATGCAATCAAATCACTTAATATTAATTCAAATATATTTAATGTGACTGTACATCAATCTTCAGCACCAACATCACAAGCAACAGGTCTACAAACTGCTACAAATGATAAGCAATTATCGGAACAACTGTCCGATAAGATAAGCACTCGTGCAAAGCGTGTACCAGAAAGTAGTGTCAGTACTAACGCAAATAACTCCGTTAACTCTAAAAACAAGATATTCACGTGTACTGAATGCGGTAAAGTGTTTAATGCACACTACAACCTAACCAGACATATGCCTGTTCATACCGGAGCCCGACCTTTCATATGTAAGGTATGTGGTAAAGGTTTCCGACAGGCGAGTACTCTCTGTAGGCATAAAATAATTCATACACAAGAAAAGCCACATAAGTGTGTCCATTGCGGTAAAGCATTTAACCGAAGCTCAACCCTAAACACACACATCCGTATACACGCCGGCTATAAACCATATACTTGTGAATATTGTGGAAAAGGATTTCATCAAAAGGGTAATTACAAGAACCATAAGCTTACACATAGCGGGGAAAAGGCATATAAATGCGATATTTGTGGCAAAGCTTTTCATCAGATCTATAATCTTACATTTCATTTGGTAAGTCTACTATTATATTAACTATTAATAACTTCAAATGTTTGTCATTATATGATTTTCAATGTTATGATAGCATACTCACAACGACAAGAAACCATATCAGTGTACGATATGTGGTAAAGGATTTTGCAGAAACTTTGATCTCAAAAAACATATCAGAAAACTTCATGACTCGGCTCATGAAAAATCTTCAAAATCGTGTACTAAACTAATTAGCAACGAATCAAGTGATACGACTAATAACAACAAAGTTAGTTCAACTGTCACACGACTATCAACAGGCAATAGTAGACCTAAATTACTGTTTAACTCAGGTATGAGCGCAACATTTGGTCGCAATATGTCCGCAACGTCTAACTCTGTCTATCATTCAATCGGACACCTTGTCTAGTGATTTAATTTTTAGTTAAAATTATTTTTAATTTATATAAATATTATTTAATAAGTTTACTTAAAAATATAATATCATATCATGGTTATAAAATATATTTCTATTATATATTGTAATTAAATTATTAGAAAAAATTATATATATATGATAAAATAATGTAATTATGCATGTATTAATAAGTATAGTTTGTTTATAATGTTATCTTTCATATATATATATATATATATATAGTATTCTTCAATATAAACACACACACATATATACAACGTATATATATAACGTGTATTAAAGTAATAAATTAAATAATGTACAGAAATATTGTATAACAAATGCAAATAACATATTCTGTATATTATTTGTTCAATAAATTGATATATATATTATATATTATGATACATAAAATATATGTATGTGAGTCACTACTTACCCTAATTCCCAGTTTACCATTGTTTTGGTTAACAAAATAATGATAACCAAAGACCACTGTAGTCCACAAGTTGTGCCTCCAAGACATACACATATCAATAATTTATTCAATAGTTTCAAAAATCTATTATAGAAAATGAATGTATTTTTATAATAACAATATATATAATAAATAAACAATATTGTAGTTTTAAATGCATTGATACAGAATTACTGATTAATAAATAATATATGAGTTTTTAAATAGAGTTTTTAAATAGAGTTTTTAAAAAAGAGATTTTAAATATAATTCATACAATATAGTGTACTGTAGTACATACTGTAAAAGTAATATTATAAATGATCAATTGTTTTATTTGTAATTTTATCTAAAATTATTTGTTTAAATTTTTAAATCCTTGCTACATTTTGTAAATATTAATTACTGTAATAAACTATACATATATAAAAAAATAATTAATTTTAAATATTCATTTTTATAATACTATATAATATGTTATACTTCCTCTAATTATACTTATAATAAATAGTTATATAACTTATTTTGCATTCAACCTTTATTCAAACATTAATCAAATTAGAAAATTTAATATAAATTTGTATGATATGTATTATATGTAATTGAAAATTAAAAAAATTATCAAAATTAAATCAATTATACAATTTATATAATATATCATTTTAAGTTAAATGTATACAATGTTTACACAACAAAATTGCAATCATTTTCTTTACAATAAATGCATTCATTGATTTCAAGTGGTGTTCACTTCAAACTCAATTATTTATATATTAGACTTTTTCAGTAATAGATTGATATATAAGACTAACTATTTTTAATACAACTTACAATATACAGTATTACTAAATATATAGTGTTGTCATAAAAATTTAATGTTAGAAATATAAACTAAAGCAAAAATTCAAAAATTATAGATTATGATTTTTAATTATTAAATTTGATAAACATAATAATAAATTTTTATGACATATTAAGTGATATTAAATAAATTTACTTACTTTTTTAGTAATTTTTTACTAACTACAGTATTTCAATGTTCAAAATAATTGTTCAAAATTTACTGAAATTTTCAACACTAAGTACTACAGTATTGGTAGTACTATTGAATAATAACTATCATTAGTTGACATCTTTTATCATAATATGAATGATAGAAATTCAAAGTAAGTACAGTATAGTGGAAGTTATGATAGACTCATGCATTAATAAGCTCCGGGCTATTTATAAAAATATACTCATATACTTATGTATAGACAAATAAAACCGCAAAATTGTCTCATTATCGACAATATTTTCCAACTCCACTCATGTCTGTACCGTATAGTAAATAATTAAAACATTTATTGGATATAAGTTATATTATATAAGTAAATGTTAAAAATGATTAATTGAAGCTTTCATCAATTGATTGCTTTTTAAATTAGATGTCATAAACCGAAAATTTAGTTTGAATCTCACAAACCTATATCAAATTAATTAGTAATTTTAATAAATACTACAAAATATAGTTTATATGTCATACATTACAGGACATACTGTACAATAAAGCATAAAATTTAAAAATTTGAATTTTATTAATCAGTTGAATACCTTTTGTAAGCTAACAAATATACTTTTATTATAATATGTTTTTCATAACAGATATAACATTAGTATAATATCATAGAAATGAGTACTAAATTTTTAATATTTTCTTCAATCAATTTCCCAAATGTATTGCTTTATGAAAAACAGTTTATTTATTCATATAAATAATGTCAACATAAAGTGAAACTGTCGTTGTATTCAATTTTTTATGATATTATAATTCAATATAAAATATTCTGACATATATTATATTAAACATTATATTGACTAAAATCTTACAAAATAACGCTTACATATGTTTGCTTAGATTAGTTTATTGAATACTGATGTGATGTGCCATTAATATTAATGCATATTTGATTACATTAGATATTCTCCATATATCTAATTTATTATATTTTTACCACAAATATCAATTAAAATTTTCTATTTAAAAAGTTTATCATTAATTATATACTAGTATATATATATTTATATATATTAATAAATATAGGAAATTAGTAAACAATCTTTATAATTAGTATTTAATAAATTTAAAACATTAATATATGATGTGATGCTAATAGCATATACAGTATATTTACCGTATATTGAATATTGTAAATTTATATATGATTGATAATACAATGTATTAAAGTAATTACAAACACAAATTAAAATTTTTATAAAATGATACAACTGTCTTGTATTATAAGATATTATAAAATGTATATATTGTTTATTAATATAAAATATATTTATTAAATTAAACAATAAGTTTATAGTTGAGAGATGCTATAAATGCAATCATTGAGTGTTCATAAATTTTTTCATGTCTTTTGTTATTTTTTGTGTTGTCGTACATATCGTACATTCAGTTGAATGCTATTCAATCTGTTATATCGTTGGCTCTCTTCTCTCAACATTATAGATAACAGTGCTTTACTTGCTTTCCCTTTACTTCTCTCTCTCTCTCTCTCTCTCTCTCTCTCTCTCTCTCTCTCTCTCTCTCTCTCTCTCTCTCTTTCGTTTGATTCAGTCATTTCTATCTAAATCATTGGTTCATAGATTGAACAAACATTGAACAACAGGACTGGTATAGAGAAAAGACATATCAATGTTGTATTAAAGCAAAAGTGAGCTCAAATCTGACAATAACTGTGTTGTGCAAACATAGACTCATACCGTATAATAGAAATGTGTGGGGACTGAGAGTAAGTGATGGAGCATAGGCTGACTATGAGAGACTACCTATAAAACTATATGAATCTATGGTTTACATACTGTGCTGTAATGACAAACAAAGCAAACTGTTTGTCACAAACTATAGTACAGAGAGTGCTTTCAAGCAAACCGTGTCTCACGGGCTTTAAGTACATCTGTATGTACTCGACATCACATCATATATTCAATATATAGTACAGTATTTGATTAACATAAGAGCCCAGTCTTGTTATTAGTCGTATAATCACTATATTAGCAACACTTTCAATAAGTCAACTGAATGTCGTAATGTCTAACTTTCTATAGTTTATAATTATCTATTGATATATTAATCTAACTTTATTTAGGTTACTATTAATATATATTTTTAATTTGATTATCATTTTATTGAACTAATAAATCCTATGAATATGGATACCCTGGTTATGTCAAATTTAAACAAACCATAAGTTACCAAATGTTTGTTTTTATCAAATATGTATTCATATTAATACAGTATATACAGTATATTTAGTATATTATTGAATTTATTGCTCGAAGGCATTACATCTTGAGTTGAGTCTAAAAATTTATATATATATTCATAACTTATTTGTTGTTTAATTTCCATGTTTTACACAAAACTTTTACAATAATTTACTATTTGCTATTTAAACACATTACTCAAATCATTGGTTATTTTATATTATTTTTAGATATTTAAAACTATTCTCACTTACAATGGCCGAATGGTAGAGTGTACGCTTTAAAACCTATAGTACCAGAGTTCGGATCCTTGTTTTCATATTGTATTTTTTGATTATATTTTTTAATTTTTTTAAATAAAAACACAACTAATAACATAATTAACTCATTATTATTTTTTTGCATCAAAAACATTAATGAAATACATTTTTAGTACAATAATTTATGTTAATATAATTTACATAAAATAATTAATTTGTTTTCAATATATTAAATTTGTTTATTTAATGTTTTTGATGTAAAAATAATAATAATAAGCTAATTATGTTATTAGTTGTGTTTTTATTTTAAAAAATTAAAAAATATAATCAAAAAATACAATATGAAAACAAGGATCCGAACTCTGGTACTATAGGTTTTAAAGCGTACACTCTACCATTCGGCCACACAGGCTATGTTGAAAATAGCACTTTATATTTTAAATATATTATTATCTAAAACTTTAAAACCCACTTAGCCCCCTTAAACCCGCCCATTAGGTGCTAATATTATTATTTATTATAAATTAGATATATTATCTATAATTTATAATATACCATGGTCAAAAAGGGGCGCATCAGGGAAAAACGTTCCATTGTTAGTTTAAAGTAAATATTAAATAAAAATATTAATATATAATACTTAAATTTATAGCATAATAATTTACTAATAATCTTGATAGTTAATGTTAGTGTTTAATATGTTTAGTTATACTTTACGAATTTGATAGTTGTATTAATATTTAATTATTTATTTATGAAACTTTGTATTTTTCATTATTTAATATTATTTTTGACAGCTAATTAAAATTGTTTATAAAAAACATGATAATTATATTTAATTCTTGATAAAATCGGTGTCAAAAACTAGTGAAATAGTTTTTTGAATAATTCTATGATATACTTAAGACATGCTATTATAAGACATTGAAGTTATAACAAAACAAAAATTGAAGTAATAAATCATTTTCTAAGAGTCTGTGGGCACCAATAGTCGAACTATGAGAACTTGGTTGAGGGAGGGGGGTCAGGTGGAGGTCAGGTCGAACCAGGCTAAAAGCCGTTAGCTAAAAGCCAACCAAAATCAGGTATTTCTAACACTTATGCATTAATTTTATCAAATCACATTAAATTAATATAATTAATATATAAATGATAAAAGAAATATAAAATAGTGAATATAAATAAATGTTAAATAATTTTATTTAAAGTAATTGAGTGGGTATTACTGTCCATTTGAAAATAGCTAAAATACAATCTTTTTTTATTAAAATGACAGATAAATGATATAATAGATATGATATAAAGAGGAATATTAAAGTTTATATAGAGATAAGATTTTTAATAAATTTAATGATTAAAGATGTTTACTAAAAAATTGGGGTCAGTTTACTTATACTGTATAAGTTATATAATAATTTTATGATAATTATTATCCTATTGTTAATTGTCTCAATTTACTATACAAATTTGGTTTAGTTCCCATAAAATTCACCAGGCACCATTACCATACGGGATGTAAAATTTTACAGCCAATTTTTTTTAAATTTCAAATACAGTAAGTATTAATTCCTCTAATGAATCTATATTTGTAAAGTTATGTTATTTTATCAAACATTGTTAATACAGTATAATATAATATATCAATTTTAGTTTTAGTTTTTTTTAAAAAACAAGTCGCAAGGTTTTAACATGAATATGATATGAAAAAACGCATTTATATTAAACATATAATTATTTATTCAGTATATTTAACTTATCCCTCATCACAATCAATGTTTACTCAAATGTCCTTCAATTTGCACAAATAGTAGCAATTAATTATAAATATGTATTTATTGATTTACATTGATTAACAATTTCTGTAAATTTAATTATAAGAATTTTTTAAAACTACATCAAATGCTATTGCAATTAAATTTGTCTAATTGTGTAATGATATTGATTATATGATAGTGTAAAAATATTGTATAAATTTATCATTTTGTATGTTATTTTAGAAATAGTGCATAAAAGTTGTTCACTTGAAATATTATATATTAATTGTTATTAAATATTAACAATTAATATAAAAATTCTGATACAATGAATACATTAAATAGTTTATCAATTATAAAGTTATTAATATACAAGAATTGGTTGATCCGATTTCATCACAAAACTCCTTTTATTTTATTGTTTTTATTGCCTATTATAGTGACCACTATTATTGTACTGTTAACTGGTTTTACAAGATATAGATATAAAAATGACTTTAACTCCATAAAAAACTATCCAATTAATGAAACAACAATTAATGCAACTTATTTTGAGGCAAAAAATTTGCTAAAAGATCAATTAATTGACAGCGATTATCATAATATTACAATTGTTTTTTATCCCAATAATGTTATGACTAACAAATTGATGGATAAAGTTAATGATTATCTTATGAAAAATTTTGGTAAATACAATAATTGGCAAAAAGCGGTTCCAATCAGTGATAAAAAAGAGTTAATCAAATTAATGAAACAATTTAAAATGAATTATTATAACAATAATTGGAAATACAATCATTATTTAATTGGTATTGGATTTACAAATATTGAAGGGGACGATAAACTTCCCAAACATTTGGATTATAAAATTACTCTTCAAAGTAAAAATTATGGTTCATTTTATAATCAATATTTAGTTATTTATGATTACAAATATTTTACACTAAGCAATGACAGAGGATATTATCGACGATATGGTTTCGCACAAATGCAACTCATCATTGATTTGGCATTTATTTCATTGGTTACAAACAATTCAGACTTAACACAAATTGAATTTTTCACACAACGAATGCCATTACCATCGATGACTGTTTTTGAAAAGTTTGAAAATCATTATATATATAACGATAATCACATCGTGACGGCTATTATTTTGTTTAATATGACAATTATGTTATCTGTTATTATTAAACGAACAGTCGAGGAAAGACAGACCCGTATAACCGATTATTTGATTCAAATGGGTGTCGGGAGACATGAGCTCTGGCTTAGTGTTATTATTGATGCTCTAATAGTAATTAGTTTGCAACACATTATCGTAACATTAATTTTAATGATCAATAACCACGAGTTTGTGGACGAAGACAGCCGACAGGTTGTGTATTCACATTCACTTCTGTACGGAATCTCAATCACATTATTTCTTACATTTTTATTGCTATTTCTTATCCAAAGTATATTATTTGTATGCTTTATATCTGTATTTTTCTGCAACCCTAACATTGCAGTTGTTGTGACAATCATTTTATGGGTCATCACATTTGCGATACCAATTGGATTATTGTTTGGATTACTAGGAATGGGTCGACCAATGTTGTCGTATATGGGTTTTGAGACCATGACCTGTCTATTACCTAATTGTGCTCTCTTTTGGTTTATTCACATCTGTTTCGGACTCGAAGAAAATGCCCGATCGGGAGCTGATTGGATACATATATATGATTCGGCCTATATTTTTGATGAAATGAATTTAAGTCATATATTTTTAATGATGTTTATATCATATTTTATATACGGTTTATTAATTTGGTATTTTTCATCAGTTATTTCATTTAAATATTCAATGAGAAAACCATTTTACTTTCCGCTTCAATATTTTGTTAATCTATTTAAACTTATTTTTCTAAATAAGTCTCAAAATAATTATAGAGATTTAAATTTTGATGACAAACACGGGATTATAGATATAAAGCATTTAAACAAAAAATATAATTTATTATTTGGATTAAAAAGTGATAATGTCCTCAAAGATATTAATTTAAAGATCAATAATAAGTCCATTACTGTAATTCTTGGACCAAATGGTTCGGGAAAAACAACATTAATCAATGTTATTACCGGTAATTTTATTGTATTATTATTATTATTATTATTATTATTTAATTTTAATATATCTACATTATATCTTTTTTATGTAATTATTAATTAATATGAATTTTAAACATATACTGTATTTTATATCTATTTTTATAATTTGGGTTTTGTTTTCAATATTTAGGTTTAGTTGACTATTCGGGTGATATAACCATTAGTGGTCATGATATCAGTCGAGAACAACATTTGGTACAAAACATGACCGGAATCTGTCCTCAGGATAACGTCTACTTCAAGTTTCTCACTATTAAAGATCATTTGTTGTTATTTTCATGTCTCAAACGACTCATACGTAATAGTGATGACGGATATACTGAAAAACAGTTGATCCAACTCTTAGATCTTAACAAAGACTTCAACAAAGAAGCCTATCAGCTGTCAGGCGGAACATTGAGACGACTTGTTTTGGCCATTGCTTTCATTGGTCCCAACGATGTCTTGATATTAGACGAACCATCAGCTGCTTTGGATCCAAGAGTTACCCGAAAAGTGTGGGATTTGATTATAGATTCGCGAAAAAACAAAACTATTTTAATAACAACACATCATTTGAATGAAGCAAATCTATTGGCGGATCAAATATGTATTATATCTAAAGGAATGGTATGTTTTAATGGATCAACTCTTGATATGAAAAAACATTTCAATTCGGGATATCAGTTGAAAATATGTAAATCTATTGAATTGCAAACTGAGAACCAAATAACACAAATTATTGGAAAATATACTAATATTCAGAAAATTAGTAAAAAAGGTTTAATTGATACCCAAGAAGTCATTTATGAACTAAATTTTGAAGATAATCATAGATTTTATGAAATGTTCAGTGAATTGGAAGAAAAAAAATCAATTTTAGCCATAAGTGATATTGCATTAGATATGACAACACTTGAGGGCTCGTATGCAAAGATTGTCTCGACAAACAATTATCAAAATTTTAATAATTTTGAGACTGAATCCAATGATGACAATAATTTCATTTTAAAGAATAATGAAATAATTAATAATAARTTATCTCTTCAATTAAAACCATTATTATATCAATTATATGCCATTTTTATTAAACGATTAATTTATTTATCAATGAATTTTACTCAACTGATAACACTTATAATAATTCCTATATTGGCTCTTATATTGCTATTTACATCATTTAAAATTATTTACAATTTATCAATACATGATACGGAATCTATTTATTTGAATAGTAATCAAATATATGGCAAAAATAAACTCACATTTATTGATTCAAATGATTCAAACTTTGAAACTTCTTACTCAAGAGTCTTGAATGACAATAATATTGATAAATTGAATTTTAACCACAAATCAGATGATATACAAGAATTTCTTTTGCAATATTCTACAAATGGATATATAAATTATTTAAAGAATTTATTATACGGTGTTTCAGTATATTTTGAAAATAATATATTGAATATAACGGTTTGGAATAATTATTTAGGGATACATTCTCTGCCCATTTCAGTCAATTTAATGACAAATTCATTGTTAAAACATTTCACAGAAGACAACGATTACTCAATTAGTGTTACAAGTGATCCATTGAAGATGGATTGGTCCGGAAATGAGATCAATAAATATCACAAAAGATTATTTATTTTCGATGCTTTAATTGGTATCAATTATCTGACATTCATGTGTTTATTCACATTTATGTCGGCCTCATATGTATTATTGCCGATAACTGAAAGGAAAACTCAATTCAAATTACTTCAACTGATGTCAGGACTCAAACCATTGACCTATTGGTCGGTCAACTTATTGTTTGATTTAATACTACATTCATTTTGTTCAATATTATATGTTTTATTATATTATATGTTTGATATGGATATGATATTTATAGGACCCAAAAATGATTTGTTTGCAATATATCTAACGTTTGTTTTCTATGGATTTGCATTCATACCATTTTCATATATCATATCATTTATATTTTCAAAACCAAGTTCTGGATTTACTTTTATATCACTTTATAATATAATTATTGGATCACTTGTAGAGTTACTTCAACTGAATTTATCGTATAGTAATCACAGTTATTGGTTTTTAACGCATAAGTTAAGGACAGTTATCTTGGAATTGACTGCTTTTGTGTCACCCAATACTATATTCCTTAATTGTATGCATTATTTAAATGAAATATTCAATCAAAATAACTTTTGTCCGGATATGAACTTAAATGAAACGGCAAAACAATTAGTATACGACTGCTCTGATAATAATACTTTTCGATACAGATATAATTATAATATATGTTGTTTACCGCAATGTAACCAAACATACAATTATAATATTAATACTGTTTTCACATATTATCAATTTAGATATTATAGTCTTCAATGTTATAACTACATTAATGTCTATGATTTTATATTTAATTATTTCATTCGTTTTATATTTTATGGTATTTTATATCTAAGTATTGTAATAACTATTGAAACAAAATATCATAAAAGGATTTTAAAGATATTAAAAAAAAAATTGTCGAAAAATAACGAAGAAGAGAGTGTTCAAGAATTACCATTAGAAGACTTAACACAATCACCAGATGTGAGACAAGAATATGAAATTGTTTCACAAATTATTAGAAATAATGACTTAAATAACGTTTCACTTGTTGTGCAAAATCTGAACAAAATGTTAAACAAAACGACAATAATTCCTAAATCGTTATCATTTGTGGTCAACAAAGGAGAATGTTTTGGATTATTGGGTATTAATGGCAGCGGAAAGACAACAACATTTCGATTGCTTACCGGAGATCTGGAGTTAGATTCAGGCAATGCCTACTTGGGTTCAGACGCTAACCTTTTGACAAATATGAGACAATTTTACAGTCAAATCGGTTATTGTCCACAAAATGACGCGCTTTTAGACCGAATGACTGGAAGACAAACACTATTATTCTTTGGCCGACTCAGAGGTCTTTCAAAACATTCATTAAATATATTTATAGAAAATATAAGCCAAAAGTTTAGTCTCCAAAGCATTATAGATAAGAGATTATCGACTTATAGCGGAGGCAATCGCCGAAAACTATCGCTGGCCATCGCTTTGATAGGATCTCCTCGACTTTTACTTCTGGACGAACCAACCAACGGTGTTGATCCCGATTCTCGACTTAATATTTGGCAAATACTAAGACATCTGATTAATGAGTCAAATATTTCTATACTGTTATCTTCACATAATATGGAAGAATGTGAGACATTGTGCTCTCGATTAGCCATTTTGTCAAACGGTGTCATCAAAACAATTGGATCTCTTCCTCAGCTTAGAAAATCATTTGCTAATGGATTTGATATAATATTAAAAGTTAATTGTGATTCAAGCGATAATATTAATGATGAATTAGACTCAAAAATGAAGCAACTATTTGGCGAGAAATGTATTAATAAATATTCAAATTGTGGTGTCTTTTATTATCATCTCATCAGAGATGACATTAAATTATCGCAAATATTTAAATCATTGCAAACATTGAAACAAAACTTCAATTTAGAGGACTATATGTGTGCTAATAGTGGTCTCCAACAGGCGTTTCTCGCAATCACCACATTTAATACACTTTGAAAATTAAGATTTAATGATAAATTTATACAATAATTATTAAAATATACTGTAATTATTATATATAATTTGATAGAATATATAAAATAAAATTTTAGTATTTGTAATAATAAATTTTCAGTAGTCTCTTGAAATTCAGTGTATTTTCATTTACAATAAATTTTTTATTTTAATAATCTCTTATTATTTCTTAAAATAAAAATAATGAGATCATTGATTACATAAAAATCGCGTGAATTGTAATTAATTGAAGTCTTATATAATATAAGAAATAACAGGAATTCTTAAAATAATTTGTCAGTTATTAATAATAACTTATTTTCTGTTAATTCTAATATTAGACCATTTGTGCGGAATTTATCTTATTTTTTGCCATAAAATGAAATTCATAATAATATCGATATTTTTGATGTCTACATATTTTAAGGTGACATTAGAGGATCACATTTGTCAGCACTTTGTGGACAACAGTGTCCAAATCGATTATCCATACGTACACATCAACTATACTGACAATCATTATGTCTTCACTCAATATCTATTTATTGGTCATAACTACTGGCAACTCATGATAAATGAATCTCGAAATTTGGATCAGTTCGTTGTGTATTTTCAATCAAATTATAGCAAAATATTCAATGGTTTTAAAGGCAATTATTCAATGATTTTTAGTACACCGCTTGAAGACGACCAACATTTCGTCACAGGAGTCATAACAGTATAATAAGATTACAAATATAATAAACGATTTAATTTATTATTGAGTTTTTAAAATTTTTTAGAAATTAAATGATACAATTGATTGGCAAATATTACAACTTGAGAGCAATCATTTGACAACTTCTGGCATCAAAGCATTCAATTCTCTGAAATTGATATTTGAAGACAATTTCAGACCATCGCTGGTCTTTTACATGTATCTCAATATAACAGACACTCTACCAGCAAATCGGTACCGATCGGTGTGTTTTGCAAATATTCATAATAATAATTCTAAAAGTTATCGATGCTATCGATTCAACAAAGTTGATGACATAAATATTAAATACGAGAATAATACAGATAATGTGATCCATGGTTTGAAACAAGAGATTACTAATCAAGGAATCAATTTTAATGTAAATCTCAATTTGATTGCCGGTTATATGCGAACCATTGCAATCATTCCCACAGTTTATCCAAAATTTAATCATTTTCGCAATTCATGGGATTATTATTATCTGTTTTTATATTCACAAAATAAACAGATTCACTATTGTTTTAGCGAAACAAATCTATTTATTAAAGAAGTAAATTTTAAATCAACGTTAACTTTCAAATAAATCAATTAATTATATATTTAATACATATATACTGTAGTGTTCATCAAATGACATTCAACTGTTGATGGATTGCACCAAATATGAGGAATCAACACTTACTACGCAAATGGAAATAATTAACAAAACAATAGCCAACAATCCATCTGAAACTGTAGATCAGTCAAAACTGGATGATCCCAATCATGATAAACATGAGTCCAACACTTGGGGTCCAATTATTAATATAATAGTAGCTATACTTATAATACTAGTTGTCATTACAATTGCGGTACTCTTTGTATGTGTCATCAGAAAGTCATTAAACAAACCGGAAAAATATGGAGAAATTAAGAAAATTCACGAACCGGTAGCTAATAGTAGTAATGACTAAAACTAATTATTTCTCATTTTTTTCTATGCGTTCATTAATTAGCTTTTGTTTAAAAAAATTATTTTATATAAATAAATTCAATGTTACTTTAGTTTGTATATACTATTTATGAAATTTCTTTATTATTGTAAATATGTTACAAATAATAATAATAATAATAAACATTTAAGCCATAAAAATCTTAATATAATCATTGCAATAATTATGGAAAACTAAAACAAATATAATTTCATAATTATATACTATAAATGAGATAAAAATATATCATATTTGGCACTATTACTAATGATAGTCCAAGAAATAAATATCTTTAAAATTATAATATAACAAAAAATTTCAATAAAATACATAAAATCATAACAAATAAATCAATAATAGTCGTTGATTTGATCTAAAGGTACTCTTTCTTCAATAATAAAAAATCTATTGAATGAAGTGTTTTAGCCGTAAATGAGTTTCAATTGCTGAAAGAGATTTCGCATTAAATTCGCATTTAAGACAAACATATTGTTTGCCGTTTGCTTTAAAATACGGTCTTATTTTTTGAATGAATGACAACTCCTTAAGACAATTATCATAAGTAGTATCGGTGTAACTAAAATCACTGGTGTTATCATTATGTTGATGCGATCCACTGTTTGTTTGGTGATCCATCATTTCATCCATGTGTTCATCATTGCTATCATCATCTGCAAGATCATCAGTTGTTTGACCAGATTCTGCATAGATTTGTTGATCGCTATCGTGAGGCATATCTGCATCGGTTGTGCATTCAGTGATCATCACTCGGAACGGACAGAGGTGTTGGTCATGAATGTGTACTTTGATAGACATGTGATTTCGTGTTTTGAATGGACAGTCCATAAAAATACATTTATAAAGTCGACAATCATTTTCAATAATACGTTTACGAAAACGATTAATGCTTTGATTGCCACAAATTCCGGTCATTTGTTTGCCATTTGCGATACCAAAACCACATCTATGATTGAGTTCATGTTTTCGGAGGGCATTAGGATTGAAGTAGACTTTATCGCAGCCACGGATTCGGCAGCGAAATAGGCGTTCCTTTATATGCGTGCAGTTTATATGTAGTGCCAAAGTCTGTGTCCGCTTTGCACGAAAACCACACGACTTGTTATATTCGCAGAAATATGTCTTTTGATTGTCAATTACTTCCATTTTGTAAAATCCCTTCAATCTCTTCAATGACTGCATTCCCACATAATTCTTATCCAATCTATGACTTTCTTTTTGGTCGCGAAACACATTTCTGTCACCAATTTTCTGTACTTTAAATACCTTTTCAGATGTCATATCACTTGAATCACGCATTTGATTGGCATAACTGTTAGTTGCCGTTGAATTCGACTCTTCTGCGCTTTCATCCAATTCTTCGCTCGCAAACCAGTTATCTTGTATTCTGTTGTCATTCATTTGATGTCTTGTGTTATTACTTGTAATCTCTTGTTCGTACATTAATTCTTCATCGCTCTCATCATCGGATGGATGCAACAAATGTTGTCGTATGTGTGTAATCATAGCTTCTTCAAGCAGTTCCGTCTCATCGCATGTCTTACAAATAAACCATTTCTTGTTGTTGACAATAACTCTTTCATAATAGTCTTTGAGGTCCATCGCAGTCATGGCAGACATAATGACTTTTGTCGGATAGCAACAAGTCTTGACTGATCTCTGATAACACTCTGTGTTCAAACAAATTCATTCATTATCTACAACTGAATCGCCATTTTATGTCCAAACGGATCCAATCAATGAACCGATCGATAGACACGTATTGTTGTAATATAGCTATAAGTGTTGTATCGTATCAATTGATGGTCAGTTGTGGTCAAGACGTGTATATGTTTGCCATCCAATGGTGTCATAAGTGATGATAAGTCTAATCAATGGTATTATCATAACGTAAACACTGTTCACATCACTATCAATGACAACACTAATCAATGAGAGAACACTCAAAGTTCACAACTAATGCATAGTCTATACAATAGTATATATAATACATACATATTATGCATAACTCAAAGCCAATGAACGCATCAATTATTACTGCAATTATGGCATCAAATGAGCCATTAATGAGACCAAACATTCAATTATTTAAACCCATATCTCAAATATTACGTCATTTATGAACAGTTATCACACATTTCATCACTTATTGACATTCAATAACACATAGTATTAATAGTACTGTACTTAACATACAGTCTATATTGCAATGCATTCGTTGATTGGCTATTATTGTTAGATATTTACCAATAAATCAATCAATCAATTGATATGAATGTTAATATCATATAATTTTATTCATTAATTTGWTTCAAATTACTTGAAATCATTTAACCAAAAATATTATTAAAATGCAATTATCACTAATTTTTTAAATTTATATATTGTTATAAAAAATTGTCATAAATATTAATTATTATTTTTTATTATATAAATGGATAATTTACTAAAAATGTTTTACACAAATATTATGTAATAAAGTAATAAAATATTATTACTAATAGTAAAAAAAATTATAACAAAACCAAAAATTATTTAAATATAATAAAGTAAATATAAAAAATTGTATTATATTTATTGTTAGTCATAACAATAATAGTGAGTATTAAATAATAATTTTTAGTAAAAATTGATAACTAATTTGTTGTATAAATCAATAAGAATTGTTCAAAAAATAAATAAATAATAATTTCATTAAATAAAATGCTTTCCATTTAAATGCATATCAATTGCTTTGAGATTCTTAGCATTGAATTGACACTCAATACAAGTGTATTGTCCATCACTTAAACGATTAAAATGAGTTTTAATATGAAGAAGTCTTTTAACTTGTTTTACTTGACTTTCGTGTGAATCGGTATCAAAACAACTAAAATCCCAATCATTTTCTTTGACAATATTATCCAACTCTTGATAAGTAATCATTTGTATTTTAATTGACTCATAAATAATCTCAATTTCATCATCAATTTTGTCCTTTTCTTCACTGATGTCATCGTAACTAATCTCCTCATCACTAATATCATCGTAACTAATGACTGATTTATTATCATCTGTTTGTTGATTATGCAAATCATCATTCAGTTGATAATCATTTGAGATATTAGACTCATCAATGGTTTCAGTCTTAATAGTATTACCGGTAGATATGGTTTTGCTATGAGTTATTTGAAGAGATGGTGTGATCTTGTGGTTAAACTCATCATATTCTGCTGTATTTTCCATATTATTGATATCTTCTGTATCCATGTATTGTGGTTCTGTAATATCATATTCAACTCGATTTGGACAGACATGTTGGTTATGAATATGCCTTTTAATACCACTTCTTGTTTTTGTCTTGAATAAACAGTCACCATATATACAGACATTATGTTTAATGTTATCAATAATAACTCTTTTTCTAAATTGATTCAGATATGAGTTTCCACAAACAGTTTTTAATTGTTTACCATTAACTATACCATAACCACACAAATGGTTGAGTTCATGTTGTCTAAGAGATGTTGGGTTATTGTAGACTTTGATACACCCGTTGTAAGTGCATCTAAACTTTCGTGTACGCAAATGAACACAATTGATATGTCGGGCCATTTTGCTGGTAGATTGGGTTCGGTAGTCACCCTTTTTACATATATATAACTTTCTATTTTCAGGTAACACTTCCATAAAATAACGACCTTTTAAATTCTTAAGCGATTGCAATCCTCTATAATTTTTATCCAAAATATGACTAACTTTTTTGTGTCGATTAATACTTCTGTCATTTGGTCTGAAGACTTGCAGCACAACCTTCGAAGATCCCAAAAAAGTTCCCTTTAGTTGAATTGAATCAGATTTAGATTTAATAGTTAAACGTTTATCTTTTAAATGACTATTTTTAATAATTTTATCGCGTTTTAAGAGTAAATCTCTTTTAAATGAAGACATCCTTTTCTGAGATTTATCGCCAATCGCTGTGTTGTTACTCAGATGTGTATTACCTGTAATTAGAGGTCGAAATGTAGTATTAGGTTTATGTCTTCGAGTTGATCCATCAGTTGTTTTATTGTTAGAAACTTTTATTGGTCTCACATCTTGTGAAACACATTTGTTATCTTTATTAATGTTTGTTCTGAAGGGACATATATGTTGTGTATGAATGTGATCCTTAATAGCACTACTGCTGTATGTCTTGAACCGACAGGACTCAAATCGACATAAATAATAAACTCTTTTACGTTTAACTTTTAATCGGTATTTAAGTAAATTATCATTACTACAGACTCCGGTCACCACTTTGTCAATACTATAACCACATCTGTGATAGAGTTCATGTCTATGCAAAGTGTCTTCAGACGTGTACATCCTATGGCACTGATTACACGGATATTTTGGTTTATTCAAGTGCTCCCAATTGATATGTCGGGCCATATCTCTAGAGTTGTGTGTTTTATAATGACAACTATTACAGAAACGACAAATAAGTTGTTTTCCTTTTATCGTTTTTTTGATGAAATAATTATCTTTTAGATATTTAATGCCTAAAAACGCATCATTTGTTTTGTGTCCAACTTTTGATTTCTTGATACTAACATTATTTGTCTTATTGAGACCACTCGTTGATGGCATAGGATTATCAATGATGTCATTTTGTTGCACTTTTAATAAATTACTATTAGTGTTGTGTACAGTATTTGATCCAATTGGTTGTTCATTGCTTTGATACCGAGTGGACGTACCATTAGATACCTTTTGATCGACTGGTTTCTCAACAACTGTTTCTTCATTTTGTATTTTTATGAATGTCTTCAAGTCTTTCATTTGTCTTAATGATTGTTCTTTTAATTGGTTGATGTGTTGTAAACGTCTTTGATTTCTTTCTTGATTATTCATCGATGGTATGATAGGTTTAATATCTTCTTGTAGTGTCTGACAATGTGTTGGATGTGTGAACTGGATGTGTCTGATGATGTCTTGTTGATTGTTGTCTGTATTGTCGCATATCTTGCATACAAACCAAGTCTTGCCATTTATGACATTAAGACTATAGTTGACATCCATATCAACCATTGTCATCATCAGTACACCACTACTTGTATTATTCATTTGTTATTTAAATTGATAACCAAATGGTTATACAATTGATAATAATTGAGTGATTAATGCAAATAATAGACAAAACTATTAGAAAATGCAATAAATAGTCAAACAGTGAATTCAATCAAATTATAAGTCATTCTAATGTAATACAAGTGTAAGCAATAAGTTGTGTATAAATAGTCAAAACTATTTATCGTTGATGTAATGCATTCATTGTCTATTAAATACAACATATAATACAAACAATACTTATTTACAATACAGTATTAATACAACTACTGGTAGTGTTGGTAAATTTTGGCAATTCAATTTTCGATTGGCGCAATTGAGGAAAATTGCCTGAAATTGCGCGAATGAGGGAATGTATAAAAATTAAATTTGACGTTAAAAATTTGGTTTACTATATATTAAGATAATTTACTAATTTATTATTATTACATGGTTTTTAGATGGCAACATTTTATGATAAAATAATTAAAATTTATATAATTAATTTATGTTTTTATTCATATTGCTTTACCATTTAAATTTTGTTAATTTTAAAGAAATTATAAATTGATCTATGTTACAATTGCGATTTTCGCAATCGATCTTTTTGCAATTGCGGCAAWTTGACGCAATTTGCGACCAATGCAATTGCGCATTTTGCAATCAGTACATCACTAAATACAACACATAAATTATTATAGACATTGCATAGACTGTTATGTAATGTAAAGTATGTCATATCTGTCACATGAATAACGTTTTCATTTATTACTCATTTAAACATTTATATTATAATTTATAAATTTAATAATACAGTATTATTATAATACAAAAGTTTATTATTAATACTACTGTATATAAAATATTTTAAGTAAATTAAATAAATACACAATTTTATTAAAATTAACAAATATTTAGTTTATTTATTCAAATATCATAAGTAATATTAGATACTGTATATTAAATATTGTTAAATAATAAATTTATAGATTATGTAAATTATTAATTCTTAATAAGCAAAAACAATATATAATAAATTAATAATACAAATATGATTATACAATCTCTATATTATTGTGTTCAAAATTTTTTGTATTTAAAGATCTTATTTGAAAATATTTATTATATACAAAAATATATAAATAGTATAACAAATTGTAGAAAATATTCTGTAAAAATGTTATACAAAATAGAAATTTTTGTAACAATTGTATTAAAAATATTTTAGGCAAATGTGAAAATTACCTCAAATTGACTTAAATTATAATTCTATAAATATCTATCGATTTTTCAAATTTAAAAATCAAACGCAAATTAATTCATTTTAAAAATATTGTAATAAGTAAATATAGTTTTGTCTGAACAAAAAAAACAAACAATAATAATAATTTGAAAACAATAATAATAATTATTATCAAAATGTTTATTTAATGTCGATTATTATAATTATTAGTGTCGACATTGGGTGGTATGGAAGCCGTATAGGTGGGTGTTTCCAACTCTTCGTGTTTTTTCATACGAGCGCCCTGTTGTAGCTTATAGTGATTTATGATGTCCTGGTCTGCGGGACACGACTGTGTGAATGCATCCAATTGATACATGTGGTACATATAGCGCCAAATGTGTTCATAATCTTCTGGTATTTCAAAATCAGCAAAATATTTGCCTACAATTTTTAATGATAAATATATATATTAATTAATAAATTCAAGGATATGGTTGTCAAGAAGTTAACAAATAAAACAAAAACTAAAATGACATTAATTTATATAACATTTCTTATAAAAAATTATTAAACAGGATATAAATCAGCGTATTTATATCTAAACAACAATTAAATAGCTATTTAAAGTTTTTATTACAATTACTGGTATATAAACTTAAATTTATTAAAGCAAATGTAAAATTATAAACATTTATAAGATAACTATTACAATGACATTACCGGCAACTCTGATGTGTTGAAGTCTAGGCATAAGTTCACAATCAAAGCAACACATTGTGTCTCCGGTCAGGAATCTTGAGTTACGTTTTTCTAAGTGTTGGTCAATATTCTTGAGGTGAACCAGAAGTGCTTTTTTGGAGGCATCGTCTCGTTTTGTTAACATTAACTTGAATTTCTATATATATTACATAAGAATATTCTAAAACATTGATAAAGCAATTATCTATTGAAAGCATACACTATAGAGGTTCTCAATGGTTGTGGCCGTCTCTTTGTCCGAAATAAACAGATTATGTCCGCCGGGAATGCTTTTCATAATATAGCGCTCAATCTTTTCATTTTCGAGGACCGCCTGTCCCCTATCAATTAGGATTGGTGGGGGAGTCGAGTCAAAGTTAGACCGGAAATCAGGCGGTGGTTTCAACATATCAACGGTCGTTACCTAACATATAAGTGAAACATTTCATACATATTAGTTATTATAACATAAATAACATAATAACAAAAACAAATAAATATGTGTGATATTATTTATATGTGTAAATAACAATAAGTTTTATCAAATAAATTATTGGTGAAAATTGTCATTTGATTAATACCTTTAAAGAGATGGTCTTGAGCTCAGCCAACAAATAGAGGTCCATAAAGTACTCCTGACAGAAAAGACACGCACCTTTACGACGGCCATCGATGGTCGACGCCTATCATTTAATTATCAGTTTTATTACTTAATCGTTTATATATTAATACATTAATTGTGAAAAACTAAGCACTAAACAAAGCTAAACACTAATTTAGTTATATTAAATAATGTACTAAAATAATTACTATTGTAAATCAATTATGCATATAATAGCATAACTTGCATGCATTTGAAATATTTGTTGTATTTTATTATTTTGAAGGTAACTAATAATAATAAGACTATAAATAAATCAATACTAATAAAACCACGATATTATGCATAATGTTTTCATTGAAAACTTTGCATTGTTTCACTTTTTAAAAATATGTATAGTATGTAAAACTATGTAAATGCTTATTATTATTTACTTAATAAAATGTTTGGCAAAGTTTATAGAGTCACTCAACAAATGAAAGCTTTATAAAATATGCCAATTTAATAATGATTAGTAAACTCAATTAATAACACTAGTTTTTAAAATATAAACAAAACCAATAGTAATATTTACTAAAGTAAAGTTATCAATAAATTTTGTTATTAACTAATCCAATATTGACATATTTATAATTAATTTTCCATTATAACTATGTGGAGTCAATTGAAACAAATGTATAACTATTTGAAAGTTAATTCAAAAGTAATTTTAATTAAGTCTTTCAAAATTATTTTATATAATCTTATGTTAAATAAAATACGATAAACAAAATTCTCATTATATGAACTAAAATTACATAAATAATTACGTAAACCAACCTTTTGTGTAAAACAATTTAATTTTTAAAACTATGACAAAATATAATATATAGTCATTTCCTTATATGAATTCAAATAAAAGCAAAGTTATGCCTATAAAAACATACAAAATATAATTATTTCACTTTATATTATAATTTTAATGATGATATGTTTTTAAAGTAACTTTCAAGATGTTTGTTTTGATAAATTTAATAACAATAAGAAAATATTAAAGTGAAAACACAAAACATATATGATTTTATCTGTTTTAATATAAACAAAATTATAGCTAAATTAAATTTGACATTGATTTCAATTAAGTATATAATTGAATTAACTTGCATTGTATAAAATACAAGTTAAAATATATTTAATAAAATTAATATATACTTAACATAAGTATAACTTCATATCTTAACAAATATTTCAATATTTAGCGTTAAGGGTGTGATAACGGTATTAGTAGTAATTTATTTATAACTGTATAATAAATCGGTTATTTTGTAAACCAGTAATACATTAATCCATTTATTAAGTATTGACTGGTAATTTGTAAAACTTGTTTTTATATAAGTATTAATAAAATAATATTATAAAAATATATCACAAAAGATATTTGTTTTTATTTTTATATATAAAACTTATGGCAATTTATTTGTGCCACAATTAATCTTTCAAATAAGAGTTCAACAATATCAGTGAATTTTAGGAAATTAAAAATACAAGTGTTTTTAGATGTATTTGAGAAATTATAATATCATCAATTGACCTCATTTTACAATTAAAACAATATTAATTTAGACAAAACTAATTATGTTAATGTTTAAATTATAATTGTTTTTAAAAATCATACATAATTTACATTAAATATCAAATTAAGTATAATTTAAACTAAGTTTACTTTCAAAACATAAGACGCGTTAAAGCGTTTCAAGTATGAGAAGTGAATTACAAAACAATTTTCATTGTAAGCCTATTTAATGTCAAAAGCATTCAACTAAAAGTATATTATATGCTATTTATTATTATTATAGTTAAAGTCTAAAGTGATTTAAAAAGTAAAAGTAATAAATTTAGAAAAAATAAAAACTATCGAAGCGTTTGAATWTATATTGTGATTCGCATTAATTACTAATTATAAGTAAAGCATAAAATTAGACTATAGAATAGGTATTTAACTATTAGAATGAATTGATATTTAACTTTGAATACAAATCACATAATGTTTGGTAATTTTTAGATTTTATATCAAGTTATAAATAATTTAATATAAAATATAATTTTCATTAGTAAGTTATTTAAGTTAAAATGAAATATTAAATATATGGCAAATTCAATCAGTAAATTATATATTAAAAATAACACAATTTATACTCTAATAATAAAAGTATTAATACATAAATATTATATGAGATGCAATAAAAAGCAATAAAAAATTTCTGCAATTAAAACATTTAAAGATAAGTGTTTCACATGACTTGTAAAATATTAAAATTACGGTAAACAATAAATATTAATTTGTACATAAAAATATCATTTTAAAATCAATTAAATACTCGTAACAAATATAACGTAATGAAATTAATTTATAAATATATCAAATGTTTTATCAAAGTGTCAAAGATTATATAAAAATATTTAAACTTAAGTAACCAATTCAATCAAGTTATTCAAATATTTTCAAAATCTGCATGGTTATATTTAAACAGTTAACTAAAATATATTTTTAAATTTATAAGAAAATAAGATTGTATATTAATTTTTACACATAACTTAAAATAGTATTTACATTTTTTTAAAAAGTAAAAATTTGATTTAAAAACAATTTCATATAGTCTAGTATTAGGTTATATATTATTAACTATTCAATAGTAAATTATGATATCAATTGTTTGAATAAATTTCCGGGAAACAAATGCCACCAAAACATTGTATTTACAACACTAGTATTATATTAATATATTGCATTTGCGACATTAACATCAAAAATAACGGTTAAAAAGTGGGCCATTAATTATAGGAACGGCTCTCTCTCTCTCTCTCTCTCTCTCTATAGAAATACATAAATAGCAGTCATGAGAGCACAGCATTGTTATATAAAAGAGAAGATCAGGTGAGTGAGTGAGTGAGTATCAACTCTACCTTATATATAGTATAAATATGGATACAAAATAAATAAAAAATTAACAACAGATTTATAAAATACATGTATTAAATAAAAATATATGTTATAAGCGAACGTTGGCCTCATTTATATCGAGGTATGAGATTAACTAAAAAAGTTATGCAAAAATATAAATTATATTAAAGTTTATATAAAAATTAAATTTAATAAAMGAGACTTTAAATAATATTTTTTATATAAAAAAAATTAAGTTACAATTTAATCACATCAATATCATTATATTTGTATTGTCTTAACGATATATTATTTTGTGACTATTTTTTATTTATCGGTATTATTTTGATAGCTATAAAAAGAGGTATATTATTATTGATGGCTATAAACAACTTTTAATGTTAATTAGTGATAAAACTTTTGTTATGTGATTGTTGTAATAAATATATTATTCATATAAAAGAGGTTTCGATGGTTTCCAATCATTATAAACTTTTATCTAATATCTAATACAACTATTATTTATTGGCATTCAATTTGATATAAAACATTACAAATATGTTTAACGGCTAAATATTACATCAATTATTTATATCCTTCAATTGTGTTATAAATATAACATTTCAGTAATAATCACACATTTTTTGACATTTAAATTATTTGCAGCACTTGTGAGTAAACTAATTGCTTAATAATCTATATATTTACCAAAAATAATTTAATACAATATAATAGAATATAAATAAATATATATTTTTAAGTATTATTAAAATACAATGAATTTGCTAATTAAACAATATATTTGCAAAAACACAACAGTATTATACAATATTTAGCAAAAATAAATTATATTCATTGATAAGGAAATATAAATGACATTATATATTGGCTAACAAATCAATGTTTGAAAATTAATGCTAAATTAAAACAGACCTCAATTTATAAGTTCATATGAATTACATATTTGAATAAACTATAATAACATTCACTTTATATATGATATATATTTCATGAGTGAGAATAAAATAAAACATTTTATTATAAGTATTAATGCAATCATCGTTATTATCATAACTAATGATAATATTGTGTTAACACATATTTTCAATCAATAATTAATTCATGAAAAATATGTGTGTTATCTAAAAATATTATATCATATCATATATTTTTGACATTTCATTTCATTAAAAACTAATGATTATGACTATAATAAAAGCAAATATAGATTATAATGACAACAAATATTTTAACAAAAAAACAAATAATTAAATAATTGAAATAAAAGACAAAATAAAAGTACAATACTTTGATAATGAGTTCAATTTCGGGAATATCGGTGCCGTTCTGGTCATCCAAACCGTTACCGTTCAGACCATTGCTGGTCAAGTCGTCGCCAGACATGTCTTCGGCTGTCAGACTAATCCAAAAACTTGTGACACTTGTGTCTACACTTAAGTCAATCGGTGGTAACAAGTGGTTAACACTTGTAATTGATATGACTGTCAATAGGTATTGCTTTTATGGTCAACACTAACACACTTTAAGGCATACATTCAATGCATTCAAACAGTGATTCAACACTGAAAATGGTCGACAAATACAACAATAAGTCAAATCATTCACAACATTATCGTTACTATGACTACACTTAAACACACCAAAGGGCGGACTATTTATTACTGTTCATCAATAATGTCATCATTTTTACTAACGGTTTACTGCTTTCAAGTGATAACACATTTTGATCTTATTTAAGGGGATCGACATTATTCAACATTATATATGTCTATAATTCAATATAATAACTGTACACTTGTATAGATAATAGAAAATAGAGATCAAAAATCAATAGATTTTGATTATCCGAACCATCATATTATGAAAGTTTTATATCATCTAATATTATCCGCTATCTTATGATATCTTATTTAATCAATTAATTTAATCTATAGTATAGCTTATCTTTTAATTATTAGTTTTATTTAATCGTATATATGACTAATACTTTTTAAATTAATAATAAAACATATTATTTGTAGTATCCATAAAAATATACTATTAAATAAAATCAATTTGTTTAATATACGGTATTATACCGTACAGTATAAAGTATATTATAGTAATTTGTTTTTATTATATTTATATATATATTTAATATAATTTAAATTAATTTATGTCATGTTTTACACACTAAATGTTTGTTAGAAATGAATTGCAATGTTTTATTTATTTATAAAAATAATTTATTTGACATAATTTGTTATCCGATTGGTATTGATCTCTATTGTGTAGAAAGTGTTTGTAATAATAACTTAATAATATTAATATAAATTAATATATGAATGATATTAACATATAGTTTACAATTTATAGATTATTGTTTGAAAATATTAATAATATGTTGTTATTGTTATTGTGATCATTGAATTAACAAAACTAATTGTTTAATTAATTTATATTATAATTGCATTTAACTATCAAATCAAATAAAACAATTATAACTATAAACGAGTGGATGTGATAATTATGGATATAATCTTTGATTTGGTATCAAACTTATTAAAGAGTTGACAAAAAAATATGATTTTTGTTATCAATATTTATATTGACATCAATAGTGCCGTATTGTTGTCCTAATGTTTGTAACATTGCATCAAATACTATGAATTGTCTGCTTTTATAGCAAATTAAGGCTTGAATAGGATTTCCTTTTTAAATATGCTTTTTATAATAAATAATAAATTGCAACAAACATTATAATAGTATACTATTATTATAATTATAAAAATAATAGTAAACAATGACAACCCATCCCATGCCATCCCAGATATAGATATATATATATATATATATATATATACTGTATATATGACTTGGAAAACATGTTATTTGATATATTGTTATCATAAATATCACATTATATCACATATAAAATACTATACATATATGCAATGAACTAAATTTTACTATATTATTGTTTACATAGTTTGTCACAAACGGGTTAATACATATTAATACAACTAATTATATGTTTAGTATTTCATATGATTTACTGTTATATTATAGACCAATCAAATGAATGATAAATATGATATAAGTTTTATTTAAACAGTTATTTAAATTTTAATAAATCAATGTATGAATCAAACTAACAAAAGAGTAAAATAAAAATCAAGAGTTTGCTAAACAATAATCATTATATCAGTGATGTTTGCCTACACTATTCAATCATTAATATATTAGTTGTTTTGAAGTTTTACATGAGTTTTACATCAAATGATTGTCATTATAATGAAAATTATTTTTATATGTAGTTATTATTATTGTTAGAAAAATAAGTTTTTGAAAGTTGAATACAACATGTTTTACACTAAAAGTGGAAATATTTGCTTAAATATAGTGTTATTATTTATAATCATTTACTCTGTGATTGAAGGCATCAATTGTGAGACAAAAGCAAACATCAAATCAAATGAAAGAACTGAAGTTCAATCGTTTCACCAAATGATTAGGAAATTGTCGGCAAATATGACTAAAATAAACTTCAAGTCATCGCTAAGTCAGCAACAAAAACAAAGACAAAGTAGTGAAACAAGTAATAAGCAGTTATTTGATAGTCATTTGTTGCCACTCATGAAGAGACCTCCTATGGATCAGTCAGTATATGTGGCGTATCTCTTGTCTAAAGCTCAACATAATATCAAACTCAATGAAACCAATGAAGATGTGGTGTCAATACAGGAAACGGAGGCCAATATAACGGATCCATCAGTTTYTAACCAATTAAATAAATCATTTATTGTCACTACATATATATCAGTGCCAAAACACATCAAATCACAAGAGTTACCATCAATTCATAACTCAATCACAAGAAATATTAATAACAGTAAAGAATTTGATAAGAATTTGTATTTTCGTCAGACATTCCGTAACAGCCATGACTTCACTATTAATAAGACAATCATTACGGATGTAATCAATAAAAGTCACGAAACAAATATTAATTTTGTCAAAAATGCTACAAATTATACAAATTTTGTCATTAATGAAGACATAAATATTGAGATTAAAGAGAAAGAAGGAAAACATAGGCATCGGTTGATCTCATTTCTCGATAATAGAGATCTTTTTAATTATGTATTGATTTTTAGTATAATAATAGTTTTGTTGCCATTTGTTATATCATTTATGATATGTTTAAGTGTATGTATTTATCACAAGAAATATCCGGTGCGTATGAAGTTTGGCCGCAAGTTTTGTACGTTTGAAAACCCAAACTATAAGATACCAAAACAATTACCAAATAGTCCACAAAATTGTCGAACAATTTGTTATAATAATAAAAATAATGAATTACACATTTAATATTTTTATTACTTTAGTCATACAGTATTTAATATTGTATAATACCGTATACTATACTAATACTGTATACTACGGTATAATATACAATTGATAACTCGTATATAGTACTGTATAATAATGAATATTTTATATTTTTATAAGTAAAAAAGCCAAAGATCATTTTTATTATCCAATAATTTATTTTATATAATTATAAAATAATAATTATATGATTTATGAAATACAAACACTAATTATGTCATGTTTTAGTTTAGTTTAATGTAATTAATCATAATTTAATATTAAATTAGCACTGTGTTTATTTTATTGTTTAATAAATGAAAGCTTATAAAGTCAAATAATTTATTGTTTATAATTACATTGTTTATGTAAATCTATTTTAATAACTACTATAATATATATTCTAAATTAAATTGATATTATTTTTAGGAAATAAAAAATTTCTATTATTTTTATATCTTAATAGTATACTAATGTTGAATAATTCAATATTAAATACTATTCGACACAATTTATATGAAAATATATTGCATATTATTTAATAATTTGTAACATAATTAAAAAATATTTTATTCTTTAGAACTATTCTGAGATAAATATTTTTTTTAGATTTTAATAAATAATAAAATGTTAAACATTTTTAGTGAAGTTATGTTTATTTTGCATTAATTAATTTTTTTAACAATTGTGATAAATAAATAACGAATTTTAATAAAATAATTGTTTGACAAAAATATAAGATTATTAAACTTACTTATTAACAATTAATTTAGTATTAATCTACTAATTATTAATTTAATATATACATAATAAAATGCAATTTTAAACTATAAGAAATAATTTTAAAAATTAATTAATGAAATTATATATTTTTCATTTACTATTTATAATTGGTATATTAAATATACTATATTTAATGGGTCTCTTTCAAAATGTCTTAAATCAAAATATCCAAACTTATAATATCAAAAAACATTTGATTTAACAAATAATTTAAATAAGAATATCTTAAATTAATCTAGTTACAATTTAAAGTAATAATTTTAATATATTTATTGAAAATAAATTATTTTGGATATTTTGGATGCGATAGATATTTAATAGTAAATAAATAATATACTTTTAAAGTAATATAGATTACTCTTTAAAAAATTTTATTAAATTGTTTAATGAATTGTTTTACAATAATTTGATAATAAATTCATTTTATTAATAGTATTTAAAATATAATCTAATATATTATTATGAATCTGAAATTGTTTTTTAAATAAATAATTTATAATAAAAAATATCGATACATTTAAAACAAGTTAATACACAACAAAAATATTTCTTTTGTAATTAAAATCAGGTTTATATGTTATTTGAAAACTTTTATTGAATTAATAGAAAATTAATTGCAAATATACATAATTTTTTTAAATACGATTTGTTTATTAAAATTTTTATTTATTATAAATATATTAATTAAAAAAAATTATGCTTAAAAATATGATTAATAGCTAATGAAAAGAAATACAATAAATTTAAAAACAACTAAATTACTAATATATTATATAAAGTATATTATATACAGTATATTAAATAATAATGATTTGTACAAAATTTTATATTTTATTATACGTATCTATAGTACTGTACTATAAATATAATTATTATTTTTTTATTTATCATTATCTGATTAGAGAAAAATGTATTTTAATAATCTATTTCTAATCATAACTTAAGATCAGATAATGATATTGTAATAAAATCTATTATTTCTATTAAAATAATTTTATTATTAATTTCAATAATCATATAAATAATGCATTTATTGCCTAAAAATAATAATGTATTTTATGTTTAAATTAAAATTATAGTATAATTAGAGATCGGGAACTCCCAAGAGAGGGAAGTTGGCAAATATATTCCCCCCAATTTTCCCGGAAAATAGGGAATATACTTTATTTTCATTCCCCTAATCGTTAGAAAGAAAAATATATTTAATATATACAACAAATAGTACCAAAATTCAATTATGAATTAAATTAAATTAAGGATACCATTTGACAGTACAACTCAATATACAATTTGATAGAACATGTGTTTTCAAACATTATAATAAATTCTGTATCTTAGGGTTCAATAGGTAGGAGAAAATGGGTCAGTGATAGTGAGGTTTAGGTGTCGGCTGTTTGAAAACAACACATCAGGTACGATGTCCGGAGTTCGATTCCCTGATGCGCCACACCTTGTGTATTGTCATTTCAAATATTAAGTATCAGCTAATTTAGGTACAAATACCGTCCCCTAAAGTAATAGTAATAGTACTACAATAGTAATACAATAATAGACAAAAATGATACAGGGTCTTCTAAAAATGTATTATACAGAAATTTTTTAGTAGCAAATGGAAATAGATTTCCTGAGAATTCCCAAAGAAAATATGGAAATTTTTAGAAAATAAAACGAGGGAGAATTTGCCCGAACCCTACATATACTTAAAGTATATATAATTTATGAAAATCAAAGTTGTTATACAAGTAAATTATAGTCAATTTCTAAATATTTACATTTTATTATTATTATTAAATAATAAATCTTTTTAAGTATGAAATAATAAGTATTGTAAAATTGTATATAATATGTAAAACATACTATTTATACATAAATACAATATATCATATAAATGGATATAATTTCAAAAATGTTTATATTTTCACAATTACTTTCCATTTGAATATTAATACACAAACTTACTGTACATTGTATTTCGTCCAACATTTAAAAGTTCAAATAATTTTTAGATATTATAAAAATATATATTCAATATACATGTACTGTATATATCATTATGTATAATATCAGCATAAGCATATATATTTATAATCAACATATTAAATTGTATATATTTGTACAAAGTTTATATTAGTATTTAAAATTATAATTAAACTAATTATTATATATAATTTAAAATAATATTACTTGATTTTTAAAATATTTGTTACTTGATAATGTTTATTAAAATTTATAATTACAATAAATAAAAATTTAATTATTTATTTGAAATATGTGTGTATTATTCCAAATAATAACATACTATGTTTGCGTAATTCAATAACTGATTTATTTAATATTATATCATTTAATTTATTTAGTTTGATTATAAATCAAATAATTTATAACCAATTAAATTGCTTTTTAATAATTTTTTTAAAAAGTTTATGATTTTAATAAATTAAATATAAATTAATGTTATATTATTTTTTCAAAATAACAAACTATTAATAATTAAGATAATAATAAGGCATTACTTAACTTAGAGGTCTTAGTTTTTTATATTGTTTTTAAAGTGTAATACTGTATAAAAGCATTAAACTTATCTTTATAGTTTGGGGTGGGGTGGGTGGGGTAGGGTGTGGGAGGTTATGAAGTGGTGATGGGGTGGGTGGGGTTAGATAGTAGTGTGTTAGGTATGGGTGCTGTGGAATCATATTATGATTTATATATTTTTTTTAATTTCTAATGTGAATACAATTGAGTGATTTCACGTGAAAATATTATTATTAATATATTTAATACAGTGTTGTATTGCAAACAATATTAAAAACGAAGTCCTCTGAAGGTAAGGGTTGACAATAATACAGGTATTGTATAAAACATTTGATTAAAATATATCAAAAAACATTCATTGATTATAATGAGTGGCGAAACCTATTGTCAGTCAAAGCAATGATAATAATGTTTGTAATGTTATTGATGTATATATTGTATAATATTGTAATATTGGACACCATTTATGCATTAAATGTCAAACAAACAGACTTACAGTTATTGATATTGAATACAATAATTGACTGATAATTACATTGATTTCAAACAATAATTATATTTAACACAAATTATAATTAATAAAACCTATAAATTGGTTATATTTGATATGTCGGGTCATTCAGTGACCACTAATGGACTCAATGGCACCACTAATGATAGCGATGAAGAGTACGATGAGATTGAGTTAATTATTAAGGTATGAACTAATTGATGATAATTATCAATAATTTAATAAATTGATAATTATTTGTATAAATAGCGGACATTAGAGCGGATGCGGAACAGAAACCCGAATGATATATATCTTCGTCCGCCGACACCTGACAAGCAGTTTCTGATATCACCGCCGGCCTCACCGCCCGTTGGTTGGCATCCCATAGATGAGGCACATCCTGTCATTGACGATGAGTTACTGTCAGCACTGAATAATCTGACCCCAGGAGTAGCTCATGAATTGCATCCACAATCAGAGTCACAGCCGGCTATTGTTGTACACATTTGTGCAGAGGATGACCAACAATTAAATGGTCAAACAGATGATAGTAGTGATTGGAAACCCAAAATGAAGATCCAACAAACCTCACGTCCCGGACCTGTCAGCCAACAGTCTTCATCACATTAGTTATTATGTTCACAATAATCGACTCAATGATCATATTATCATTATATTTGAATGTATTGTTTACACAACGGTATCACAAATACCATAAAACAGTATTTCAATTGATTAGATGTATTGGCAACACATGGCCTGACACTTCATGAGCCCTGAGCTCAACATCAGCCCAATCCTTATCTTTTAAAAAGTTTTCTACAATTAATGAAACCAAAGAAAATGAATTAAATGAACACTCATTTGTGTGATCAGTACTTAATGATAATTTTAATAATTATTTGTTAACAATTTGCTTATTATTTGTATACAGTATTTGCATTAATTTTATTAATTACAATTATCACTACATTTTGTTATTAAATGTTATTATATTATAATTCTGTATTAATAATGTTATATAAAAATATATAGTTAAATTTTATTTATTAAATTTTGTCTTGATATTACGGTAAATTAAAATCAATAATTATTTGAGGTGCTTATATTTAAAAATTATTATTGCATATGATATTGAATGCATGTTTGAGGTATAAAATAATTGTCAAAATGATATATTTTGATTTTTTTGGGTATAAATATTAAGAAATAGTTAATAAGTATTTGGTTGATGCTATTGATATGTTAGCCATAGAAACCTGGAGTTATTGATGCCGTGATTGTAAGGACTGATATCTTTAAAGTAATGGCAAACTCCTTCTCTTCTTGACTTTTCTCACTTTCAAACGCCTTCACATATTTTGGTAAATGTTTTGTTATTTAGTGTTCAAACTGCCGGTGCAATAACCACTGGTTTTCAATCATTGGGTCCCACAAAGAGGCACAAGAAGTGAGGGGCAAAAGGCATGATTGCAACGCTTTTAATGCCAATGGCATGCAATACATACACATGAAATATACGCACATAAAGGCGCTTAACATACCTGTCTAATGGGTGTGCCACTCAACCACTCAGGTAATACTAGCTATAGTCGGCACAGGTATGACGAGTCTGACTTCAAGTCTATGGGTGTGAGTGCCTCTCATTCGCATCCATATACCTGAGCCTTCAGTGAACAAAATCGCAAAGTTTTCAGTTTATTTTGGAAAAGCAAATGTGTTTTAGTTGTTGTAATTCTGTGTAAGTGTTGTCCAAACGGGACATAAATGCCATACAAGTTGTTGTTGTCTTGTCTTATAATAACAAGAATATAGCCCTCAAACCAACTATACGTTACATAAGAAACAACTTTAAGGAGAAACGATTCATACATTGCTTAAGGGATACGGACTTTGAAGACTATAGTCTTAGAAGTGTTGTGTTGAAAGCTAAGAGAAATTCCTTCAAATTGTGACCAAAATATGGTTTTAATTTTGTTTATACTTTGTTTGTTTGTTGTGTTGAGTGATTGTCAACAAAACCCAACCATCAGTTTCATCACAAAAGAGCGTATTGTCAATATTGGTGACACTATAGACCTGTCCTGTTCCGTACAGTACGCCCGCGACTATCCGGTCATTTGGGCCAAAATCAATAGAGACAATCCCGTCAACCATTTGTTCATCTCCAAGGGCTCATCCCTTTCCATACCAGACAATCGATACTCCATCAGACACGATGATGCCAGCAGTACTTACACACTACAGATATCAAAGATCCAGGAGATCGACGCCGGACACTACCAGTGCCAGGTTGTCATCGGCACATCCAGTCGCGTCACTGCAGGTCTGTACTCAACAAATATCTATTTATTTGTTTCCATATAGTGTTTGCTTGTTTTTTAGTGTTATTTTAACAAATTATCGATTTATTTATAAAACTTATTAAATACCACAAAGTTTGTGATATTTACAAATAGAAAATTATATATATAATGTAATATAAGTAGATTTAAAATCAGTAACCATTTAAATATATAATTTTATTTCTTTTTTTATATCTAAAACTTATAAACAGTTGAATAAATAACATACAAATTAATACATATAGTATATAAAATATATGCAAATTATAATTAAAATATACATTAGTATAAAGTAATTTAGTTCATGTTTGGTGTTAAACAAACAACTAAACTAATACATAAACAAGTATATCAAATAAACAGATAAATAAGTGATATTTAATTGTTTTAGACGTCAATGTATATGTAAGGATACCTCCAGTGATCAGTGACAACAGCACCCGATCGGTCATTACATCTGCCGGCGCCTCCATATCTTTACAATGCTATTCATTTGGTTACCCACAGCCAAGCATTAGTTGGCGGCGAGAGAACAACGACTTGTTGCCCACTGGAGGCGCCCTTTACAGAGGAAACATATTAATAATACACAACATTACCAAAAATGATCGGGGTACTTACTATTGTATTGCTGATAATAATGTTGGTAAAGGTGCCCGAAGGAATGTAGGCGTCGAAGTGGAGTTCCCGCCGTCGGTTACTATTGATCGGCCCCGATATGAACAGGCACTTCAATACGACGCTGATCTTCACTGTCATATTGAAAGCTTTCCCACTCCTAGTATTATATGGCTTAAAGATGGGTATGAATTGAAGGACAGTCAACACCACCACATCTCCATATTTTCGACGTCTCACGAGTTCACCGATTCTGTGCTTCGCGTCAAACGTATTGAGAAACGACATTATGGAGAGTATGTCTGTAAAGCAATCAATAAGTTAGGAACAGATCAGAAAGTGATTCAATTGCGTGAATCGGTTAATCCTATGTGTCCACCGAGTTGTGGTATCGGATACGCCGGCTTTATTGGTGCGGCCAGTCATCCATACATTACTAACTTTAATATCATGTGTTTATTACTAATTAGTTTATTAGTGTCTTACAAGTTATCGACTCAACACATGTGAAAATTATACAAATAATAAAACAAAACATTTTTGTAAATTACATTTTATTAGAAGCAATAACTTATTTACTGAATTAATTGATTGTATGACTCAGAAAAAGGCATAATTAAACCATTGATATTAATTCAGTACTCTTTAACTAATCTTAGAATATATTTAAATATCTGTAAAAATAAATACAATGTTTATATAATACTTTTATAAATCATTTAATTTGTATTAAACCTTTTTAAATAATCAAATAAACAACATTTTGAAACATTTATATACTGTAATTATAATAAAGCTATAATTTTAAAAAATCAAATAATTGACTACTTAATTTATTAATATATTAATTTTATTATAAAAATGGTTTTTTAAATTAAATTTATTTTTTATAAATGATTTATTCAATTAAACTATTTTATATTATTTTTTAAACTTAATAGTCAAATACACCAATTAATAAATTCACAGTAAAAACTAAGTTTGGAAAAATATAAGGTTTTGAATTTTGGTTTTGTATAATACAGTATAATAGAATATATCTCATGTATTATACATTTTTTAAAACTAATATATATTATGTTAAAAAAATCATTTAAATTATTTAATGACAATATATTTGTTAGAAAACTTATTATTTTTATATTAATTCTTGTTTTCTAAGAATAAAATAAAAATAGAAATAAAATAAAAAATTAATATCATATTTAAATTTATTATAAAACATGATAATTGGTGCTGACTTTTGTTTTGTATAGCAATATTGGTCATGTATTTTACATTGTATTATAATGTATAATACGTTTTGTATTATACAAACATTTAGTCTCTGCCAACACTAGTAAAAACACAGAATTGGGTTAATTCCCAAAAATGACAACTTTTATAACTATTAATATTTAATTATTTTGTATAAAATAATTCTATTATAAACACAATTAGATATAATAATTGAAATAACAATAAATTTTAGCTAAAATCTTAAGTAAATGACAACTATATTTAAATGTTAAAAATAATTATTACAGTATTATTATTAAAATATTTAAATACATTGCATAATATACACTGTATACTATACAGTAGTATAACATAAACTCTATATCATATATTATGTCATAGAGTATAAAAAATTTTAATTTATATAATAATAATGACTTATTGATAGCCTCTTTGAATGTTTACTAATGATTTATTTATAAGCAAAATAATGATTAGTAATTTAATTATAAATTAAATAAACTATATTTACATTTAGTTTGATATTTGTTTAGATAATATGCTAAATAACATAAATTACTATAAATGTCCTCAAGTTATGATTTGATAATCTTAAATATAAATTATTTAAAAAATGTCAGTAAATATATGTTAACTATAATATTAAATTAGTTAATTCAATATTTGCCGGTTTTCTATATTTTATAAATAACTTATTGTTTTATACAGAAATGTATTTAATATAATGATTATAATTTATATGAAATAACTAGATTTATTGTATTTTAAAAAGTTATAAAATAATTTGAAAAATTTAGATTATACAGTAAATAAAGTGCAATTATATATTGACATAAATGAATTAACAATAATTAATTATTGGTTAGTTTTTATGTATTAAAATACCATTAAATATAAAGTTTAAATACTGAATATACTTTATGACTATTAGAGGTCGAAACCGAAACGGTTTTAAAGCGGTTTCGATTCCTGTGTTTTAGTTTCGGTTCTAAATTTTGGTTTCGGTTCGGTTCCGGTTCTTAAAACTCACCGGTTACGACCTCTAATGCCTATATAGCTATATGGATGGGAAATAAGTACTTAATTTATCATTTATTGAAAGATTCACATTTCAACTAAACATACTTTAGATTCATTACTTTACACAACAAAAATGTAAATCAATTATTAAATGTCAATTAATTATTTTTAATTTACATTATAAATAAATGTGTAGACAATAGTAGGGTTCTTGTAGGGATTCCCGGTCCTGGGAATCCCGTATAGTGATGGTAGCCCAGAGCTCCCTGAGTAACCCCATATCACTCTCATACCTGTCCCACCCCCGCAATTTAAGATATTTGACTTTAAAGTCGCGTCGAAATTTTTTTAATGAACGTTATTTATACATATGATATATGATTTCAATGTATTTTTAATAATAATTATGATAATGAAATCAACATTTCATTAAATCATATAGTATTCGAGATATTCGACTATAAAGTCGAAATTTTTATTTGACGTTATTTATGCATATAATACATGAAATCTATGTAATGATACATTGTTTTATTATTTTTATATTATTTTAATCACTTTTTATAATACATTGTTTTATTAATTTTATATCATTTTTTATTGATTTTATTAGTTTATTTTTGATTTAATTTATTATATTATAATTAATAAATTTATTATTGTGTTGATTTAAAATTGGATTTATTAAATATATTATTTTTATCAAATTTTGTTTTATGATTTTTAATTGAATTTATTATTAAATATAAAAAATTCGACTTTATAGTCGAATATCTCGAATACTATATTACTTAAAGAAATGTTGATTTTATTATCAAAATTATTATTAAAAAATACATTGAAATCATATATCATATAAATAAATAACGTTCATTAAAAAAATTTCGATTTAACTTTAAAATCTCAACTTTCGGAGGTCGGACAGGTATGAGAGTGCTATGGGGTTACTCAGGGAGGTCTGGGCTACCATCACTATACGGGATTCTCAGGACAGGGAATCCCTACAACAACACAATAGTAGAAATGGAAAATTAATTGTAAAATTTAAAAAACATTTTATTTAATATCTTACAGTATATTTACATTGATATCATTTTCACAAAAGTTTTTCTGAGTTTTTCATACTTAAACAACAAATATAATTATGAATGTAAAGCCCATGTTTAACATGTTTTGCAATTACATTATGTTATTTAACATTTGATGAAAATGTCATAAAGTTAAATAAACAAGTTTGACTTATAATCAGGGGTTTAAAGAAATAAATGCCTGCCCTGGCAATGCCCAAATAGATGCCATAAATGCCTGGAATTTTGGTCATCTATTTTATTTGCCTGCCATTTTAAATTGCTAATAACAACTGTATTTATAAAAATAATGTAATTTAGTGTTTTTAGCGTGTTAATTAAATTTAAAATTTATATACTTATTTCCAATGATATTACCTTTTAATTAAAGGTATACAAAACAAAAATACAAACAAATATATTGATAAAACAATGTTTTATAAATTAATTAATAATATAAAGTTAAAATAATAGGTGTCACCACATGAAAATAGATGCCCAGGGCATGGCAAAGGCACGGCATTTGGCAAAATTGGTATCTATTGTTTATGCCTGCAATTTTAAAACCCTGCTTATAATACAGTATGTTATTTATAATACAGGTATCATATCATCTATGATTGAACATTAATAATCAAATTTAATACAAATTAATGTTATAATCATTTTATACCATTTTATTGTTTGGTATTTTGGTTTAAATACTTGCATATTATTATCATTATTATACTGTACTATCATTTACTATCATTATATAAACATTTGAAATTAAAAGTAAATGAGTTTTAATGTTTGTATTTACTATAAGTTTACAATACAGGTATTATAGATATAATATTAATTATAATATATATCATATTATTATTGTTAAATTTTTATATTTATCAGATTGTGACTGATATTACAGTAAATAAGTGTTTAAATTTAAAAACAATACTTTAAATTTGATTTAATGTATTTATTTTGTAATAAAAGTAATACGTGGGATGTCTATTAGACTATATTAAAAAAAATAAAATTGTAATTTATATAAATTATAATATATTGCATGAATCAACAAAATTATTATAATTTTATAATTTAATTTAAGAAAGCAAATGAGAAATACATATATATAATAATTAAAAATAATAATAAATATCTATATTATTAAATTGTTGATTACATATTGATTGTCAATATCTTATCAATATTAACATCTGTATCACTAATTTCATGGGAATCAATGTATTGCTGGTATAATATAATGCGGATCTTAATTGAATGGTAAGACTAATCAAATAATATAATGGCATTTAATAAGTAATTGACTAAAAAACGTATACTATATATATATCCATATAAAATCTATATATATATATTCTAAGATTAGTTAAAGAGTACTGAATTAATATCAATTGAGATGTTCAACGTTTTTAAAACTTTAAAACTAATTAATTTTACACAATCGGCACATTATTTAATTTGGTTATCCATTGAATTAATATACTTCACAGTAACTTATTTTAATTAATGTCAATAATACTTTATATCAATTAAAAGCTTTTTTGTTTTATTTTTATGTTAGCTTTATTGCTAAGACTTGCAGACAATTTGCTTTAGAAATATATTTGACTTTTTCATGTCTAGAGATAAGAAAGATATGAAAAAATGTTGAAAAACTACTTAATTGTTATTCAGTAATATTTGAAATTGAAAATATGATACCATTTTATGTTTACAGTGTTTTGACATATGAAGCGTAAAAATTAGAATATAATATAATATATAAATTGAAATTTATTATAATTGAAATTTTCATTTTAATTTCTTATCAAAAATTTATTGACAGATTGCATGTAATGATTATAAATTCAATAAGTTTACATATAATACATATAATATGTCATCTTTGGGTAATATTAATAGTTTGTTGAAATATAAGAAACAAGAAAAAACACTCATATCATGATATTATAAATCCACCTAACAGTGGATAACCAATTAACGGACGGATAAACTAAATAATTAAATATTTATGTTATTTGTTAATCAATTGTTGTCATAAAGGGGTCATTTGAGAGCTATTTATATGCCCTCTCATAAAGTAATGTAAAATTAGTAAAAAAATTGGAAACAATAATTAGATCCCAATAGGACAACGTCTGGTTAACGCAATAGTGGATGAAATAAAGGTAAGTTTGAAAATTAATTATAATTAAACTAATAATTAATTAATTAATTTTTTATTTTTTATATACAGGTTAAATATCTAAGAAAATATTAGTAAAGAGAATAAATTTTTAAAAAATTTTAAAAATAGTTTTATTAATTTATTAAATTATTTTTCTCTAATCCCCATTCAGCGGACGGACCACAAAACATAATTAAAAATTTTTGTCCATAAATTATGACCAAAAATTAAAAATTGTATAAAATCATTAGATTATACCGTATGACCTCACATTAAATGATTTTCACAATTTTTACCGTATAACCTCACATATAAATGATTTTCATTTTTAATAACCTCACATTTAAATAATTTTCACAATTTTTACCGTATAACCTATTTAAATGATTTTCTCATATAACCTCACATTTAAATGATTTTCTCAATTTTTACCGTATAACCTCACATTTAAATGATTTTCACAATTTTTACCGTATAACCTCACATTTAAATGATTCTCAATTTTTACCGTATAGCCTCACATTTAAATGATTTTCACAATTTTTACCATATAACTATTTTTAATATGGGAATACGGTACTTTTTCAAAAAAAAACTATTTTTAATATGGGAATACGGTACTTTTTCAAAAAAACTATTTTTAATATGGGAATACGGTACTTTTTCAAAAAACTATTTTTAATATGGGAATACGGTACTTTTTCAAAAAAAACTATTTTTAATATGGGAATACGGTACTTTTTCAAAAAAAACTATTTTTAATATGGGAATACGGTACTTTTTCAAAAAAACTATTTTTAATATGGGAATACGGTACTTTATCAAAAAAAACTATTTTTAATATGGGAATACGGTACTTTTTCAAAAAAAACTATTTTTAATATGGGAATACGGTATTAATTTTAAAAACATGAGTTAACTATGGGAAGACGGTAATATGATTGCTTATAAGATAGTTTAAATATATATTTGAGTTATTACGGTATTATTTCATATATAAATTAAAAAATATTATTTTCTTAATTAGTAACATAATTGATGCCCATTTTGATCGATAGATGTATTGTTTATATTATTTGTTATAATTTATCCGTCCGTTAAAAGGTTGATATATCATATAATAGTTTTTATATATATATATTGCCTATAATTTAGAAGTTAGTATAAGTTATAAAATCATAATCCCTATAAAATACTATTCATATTACAAAATATAATAACTGAATAAAAATTATAAATTAATTTATATTATTTGGTTATGATATAAATGTTAAAAATGTTTTAAAAATTTATTTAGTGATATCATGAAAAAATGTACATGATAAAACTTCAAATAATACTCAATAATAATCAATAAGAATATATGTGATACTAAAATCCGAAATTATTTTTATTAGCATTTATTTAAATTTTCAGAAAATAAACTTTTATTTTATTAACAAGATTTTATTATTTATACATATTATGTAAATTAAAGTATATTATATTAATATTATATTAATATTATATTAATATTATATTAATAAATACATTTGACAAACAAAAACTTATTTATAATTTATCAAAAGTTATCTTATTTTTTGTAATACATTTGCATTTAAGACGTATTTATTGTATAGTATGTCAAACACAACACAAATGATAACAAATTTGAAAATTAATTAAAATATTTAAACAAATATTTGATTAAATTTAATAGTTATTACACTTAATGAAGGAGTGATTATATAGTGGACACCAATTCAAGTGATTATTACAAGAGATGAGTGAAACAACAGATGATTTGTCATTTAAGATTGAATGTAGTGATGACGAGAACTACGACAACAATGAAAACAATTATCGTGTGGTCAACGGCAAGAAGGTCTGGGAGCCGACCGGTGCAGACATCGCACGACTTTATCAACAATTGGAGGCCAAAGGGTTCATAGAGTTGCGGTGGCAGTGCCCCGGACGCAGGTCACCATCTGTTCACAATTTAGCCATCAATAATAAACCCGATGTTATCGATAACGATACCAATGGTTCAGATAACAAGTCATCGCTAATGAATGAGTTTGACTTTGAAAATGATTTCAATGATGACCACAATTTGCTCCCAATGGCCACTAAAAGTGGGTCACAGACTAAAAGGCGATCAACCGGTAGGCACTTAAACACTACAAACTTTAGTAAATAATATAATTTAAATATAACTGCATTACAGGTATTAAAAAGCAAACAAATCTAACAAAAGTGATGGCAGACATCAAGAAATATCATTTTGTAGACCAAACAAAAAAATTGACAATTCATTCACCAAAAGTACAGACAGACACTATTGCGACCACCAGTACTAATGTGACGGCACTAACTGCTTCAATATCATTGCCAACACCTACAGCACCCGCACCACACACACCCACTACTTCATCACCTGTACTACCAATGCATTCCATATCTCCAATCACTATACCATCAACTGTACCATCATTTTCATTATCACTGCCAATTACTTTCAATGAATCCACGCCAACATCTATTCCTTTATCTGAAAGTCCTGTTAAAACACCTCCTCTACTGTCAATCGATCCAATTATAACAACAGTGACATTACCTCAAGTGATCTCAACAACAGATACAACTCAATCATTATCTACGACCATCTTTGACAATACAACAAGTGGTCAATTTGTATCTTCTATTAGAAGTGATTCACCAACCGATATATTGCATGAAAATTGATTCAATTGAGTCATATTAAGTCATTATAATTGATAATATAATTTATATTTCAAACTGTATTTTTGTAAATCTTATTGTCATTTAATTTAATTTTGAAATAATTATCTCATAGTTATATTACCGGTAGTTATATAATACAGTTGTATATTTATAATAATTGTAGTCCTCATAGTAAAGATATAAAATTGTATGTTGTCATTTATTGTACTAATTATTCATTTGTCATTATAGGTCTTTATTTGCATAGCATTAAGTGTATATTAGGTCATTATCATATTTATTGTTAAATAGAAATAAATATAATAACGTTGTCTAAGAGTGACCTTTGGCGTATGCACACACTTAACCCGTAAAGACCTATAATGATCAAATGATTGTCATAGTTATATTATTTATATCTCGATATATATGAATTATATAATACATGATTACATGTATAATACAATACAATACAGTATAATACAGTCACTGTATTACAGTGTATATCTCTATAAATATTAATATGTATTTTAATGTTTGGCGTAATTGATGTCAACTATATATTAATGAAACAATGTTTGCATTTTGAATGAAATGATTAAAAATTTAACTTTAAGTCAAATGTTTGAAAATTTCATCAAAAGTTGATTTCAAGTAATTGATTGATAGATTTGTTTTTGTTTTGATATCACGTCTCAACTCAATTGGTCATCGATTACAATGTCTTTGTCGACATCAACTGAACCACAATTATTGAAATATTATCCGTTTTCGTCGGTCATAGACCAGGGATTTTGGCATTTGTTGGCCAACAAGAAGTTGGATACAATTCATTTGGATGATAATGCCATTGATATTGTGGCCACTTTCAGATGTGGTACTAATTGTGATTTACATGTTTGTCAAATAAATGTCAATTAGATAACCATTTGATTGTTTATAGATTTGTCACCAAATCTGCCACCACTTCTTAATGTTGACTATAACTCCTTTGATACGTATAATCACTAAATATTTTATAATAAATTGTAAACTAATTGCATATATTATATCAGTTGCGATAGTAGTTGTGATCAAACCAAAGAAACTCATTATATGAGTGGACAACTAATTGTCACCAATACTTTAGAAGAGTTTATTAATAAAGATAAAAAACTATTGATTAATGATTTGGCAAAACAGGTATTAACTTATTTATAATAACTTATTTAAAAATGATCTATAATTAAGAAATCATTATTTTCACTAATTATTAGATATGGAGTGATATTATTGATGACACTGAAGATGAAAACATATCGAAAGTTTTATCTAAGTTTTTACTATTAGTTTATGCGGTCAGTTGTCGATTAATATTAAATTTAGATATAAATTAAATAATTATTTGTAAAAATAGGATTTAAAGAAATATAAATTTCACTATTGGTTTGCATTCCCAGCCATTTGTTTTCCAATGAAAACATTAACAAATGGTTTGCCAAATGTTTTAGCAAATGTTTGGACCGATGATTATGTAATTATAATTTCATTGTACCGGTAATAGTGTTATAAGTGTTTTATTTTTAATTAATTTATTTAGATTAACGCATTATATTTGCAAATTAACAACAATTTAGAGATTAAAAATAAATCTTATTTTATTGTGATTCTTACCGATTCTGGACCCACTGTTCATTCAATTACAGAATATTCTGAGTTTAAGGATAAATCCAATGTAAAAGTATGTAAAAGTTTTAAAGGTTTTATAAATAAATGTTGACTTAATTTATTTAAATTATAGATATTCTTTGCGTTCGCTGATTCCAGTAGTTCCCAACAATATCCGGGTTGGCCACTAAGGAATTATTTGACATTTATATCTATTCGTTATAAATTAAATAAATGTTGTGTTTTGGCTCTAAGATTACGGGAGAATTCAGTAAAATCAAGTCTTTTGTTAGACATTGAATGGCAACAATCAAATCAAGTTCCAGACATTGAGACAATTGAATGCGTCGGTTGGGAAAAGAATGAAAATAATAAACTTTTGCCACGAATTGTGGACTTAAGTGCTATTATGGATCCAATCCGTTTGGCTGATAATGCTGTTGACTTGAATCTTAAATTAATGCGATGGCGTTTAGTGCCATCACTTGATTTGGACACTATAACTAAAACAAAATGTTTGCTATTAGGATCGGGAACATTAGGATGTTCTGTAGGCCGCACACTATTGGTAAATATTATAGTTATCTAATAGTTTTAAATACTTTATAATTAAGTTTCGACATTGATTACAGGCGTGGGGTATTAAAAACATTACATTTGTGGACAACTCTCAGGTCTCCTATTCAAACCCAGTTCGCCAGTCATTATTCACATTTAGTGACTGTTTAAATGGAGGACAGCCTAAAGCTAAAGCAGCTGCTGAGGCACTGAAAACAATATTTCCAAACGTTAATTCTAAAGGCATTTCATTGTCTATTCCAATGCCAGGTCATCCCGTTTCCTCACAATGTTAGTACCGATAGTAATTTATTTGAATTTACGGTACAAATAATTTTACACAAATCTATGAAAAATAGTAAAAGACAAAGTATGTCAAGACGTTAAACAATTAGAAGAATTAATTGATGAAAATGATGTCATATTTCTACTAATGGATACCAGAGAAAGTCGATGGTTACCAACTGTATTATCTGCTGTCAAAAATAAGGTATTACTATTTATTTACCTTTTTTATAAATTTCAGTTTAGTACTGATAGTATTTTAAGACTACCGGTGATTATATAGCTATTGTAAACAATTATACATTAAAAACACTTACCGTTAAATGTTGATCAATTCCACGTATGAAGATATGTAAGTCATGGTGAATAATATGAGTTTTTAACCATATGAACAAAATATTTTGTGACTTTAAATTTTAATTTGCCCCCTATTTTATACATTTTCAATTTTATACATATATATTATAATATTATCTTATATAACTTAGTAATGAGGGAAAGTAATTTTATTAAATAGTTTGAAACGTAATGATGGTAACGATTATGATACATTTTTATAAAAATAATTGTTACATAAAATATAGATTGAATACTGTATATTAATATTAATTAAATTTGTCATGTTTAAATTATTACCGGTAGTATTTTTTTATTTCCTAATTTTTAAATATTGTTTTTTTTAATTTTATATTAAAATATTACACTTTTGAATGAATAATTTATTTATTAAATAAATATCTGAAGACATTATTTACAAACAAAACAGTTAGTAATCAACGCCGCACTGGGTTTCGATACTTTTCTCGTACAAAGACATGGTGTTAGAAGCAGTAGTGATATTAGTAGAGTCAGTGATGAACCACTTATTGGTGCAATCGGTGGTCAGCCATCAACATCAACGACAAGCGCACACAGATCTCGTAAAGTTAACGGCACTGAATTAGGCTGTTATTACTGTAGTGATGTGGTCGCACCAACTAATGTAAGGCAATTTGTCTTTAATCTGATTGATTGATCAAAATTAAATATTAATTTTGAATCAAAATTTATTCAAATATATTTGCATTATTCAACTATTTTTATAGATTTTTTCTTTTTAATAAATCATTAATTGATTAGATTACAATTGATTGATTGCTGATTTTTATACAAAGTTATGCATTGATTTGATGAAAATACGGATATGCTATATGTAACTTACAGTAGATATTAATGATATAAAACAAGTTAAAACTTATAAAAACTTGTTTTAAACGAAAATATTATTTAATAAATAACTAAATAATTAAAATGTATAGAAAGTAAAGAATTTTTGCAAACATATTAAATATTATAATAGATATCATATTAAGAAATTCTCTAATGAATAAATATATTTTATGAATAATATTTTAATATGTTTAATAATATTATTTAATACAACTTGCAATTGGTATAAATTTAGATTGATAATCTATATATATATATATATATATATATAACAAATATTAGTTCAACCAAAATATTTAATTTATTATGTCTTAAAGTAGTTGTTTTGTCATATTAAAGATAATTGCTTTCAATGGTTGAATGAGAAAAAATAATTTGTTTTGTTTGTTGCAATTTTCTTACATTATTTTATTACAATATAAAATTATATTTATTGTATAAACACTACAATAATTGTAGTGTTTATACAATAAATATAATTTTATATTATAACTACAACAATTGAGAATCAAATTGAGAGTATAAAACTTTTGATACTAGAGAGACAACACAACAACAAAAACAAAAAATCTCAGCATTTGATTAAAAGTTTTATTTCAGAAAATCGGAGTCTATTAGTAATGACATTTTAAAAGTTATTTTTAAAATATTTAATAGTTTTAGTATTTAACTAATAAGAATTTATACTAAACATAAAATATTTATTAAATACTAATTATATGACTATAATTTTCTAATTGAATAAAATTATATTTATAATTATAATAAATGGGAATTTAATGTACCATTTTATCAAAAGGGAACATCCATTTAGACATATATAATATGACTGTATATTATTTAAAATACTTTTGGCCACACAAATATCGATTGAATCAATTAATTTTAGATTAACAATATAAACTTAATTACAATAGATTTTTGATATAAATATGCCATTAGTATAAATATTTGACACTGATATTTGAAACTATTAAGCCAAATGTGATAATATATAATAATATCTAATTTAATGGATATTTTTAAGAACAATGAATGACTTTTAAAGAGACATTCTTGTCAAGAGTTTAACCCCTTTTTTAGTTTTTAATTTATATATTATGTATAATTTCTATAATATTTAGTATCATTTTATTTATTTATATCATTACATACAATAGTCAACGAGAGACCGGACCCTTGACCAACAGTGTACAGTCACGCGACCGGGCGTTGCAATGTTGGCCTCAGCCCTAGCCGTTGAGCTTATGGTCTCTGTATTAGAGCATCCCATGAGGTAAATATAATACAAGTTATTACATTGTTTTTATAAATTGATTTTTAGAGGATATGCACCATCGCTAGTAATAAATGGTGATTATTGTGATGATGTGGACACCGATACAGAGACAGCTCTGGGATTAGTTCCGCACCAAATCAGGGGATTTTTGTCGCGTTTCCAACAAATGATGATCACTAGTGAAAGGTTCACTAAATGCAGTGCATGTTCTCAACCGGTATTTCAAAACAAACTTTTTTATAATTTGATAAAAACTATTCAATTATTTTAACTATTAATAGATAATCAATGCATACAATGAAATGGGTTTCGAGTTTTTATTGAATGCTTTTAATGATAGTAATTATATTGAAGAGATAACAGGATTAACACAATTGCATAATGAAACAAATCTTGAGGACATCTGGTGTTTAAGTGATGACGACGAAGATTAGTGATAATAATCAACAATTATAATAACAAATAATATTCATTGATATGTTGAAACAATTACAAATCTCAGATTATAAATTATTTATATTATCACTTTAATCTATATTTAATTAGTCTATAACTTTCAAAATTACAATTATCAAAAAATAAGGTAATAATTTCAGTCTTATTTTGTATATACGGTAATTGAAAACTTTTTCAAATGAAATAATTATGATGATATTAATGCATATAAAACTATTAAATGATTTGACCAAATGATATATTGATCAAAAATCAAGAGGTTTTGTATTGTTTTTATGATACAATACTCTGAGCATTATTTTGTTGCGAACCATCGGTGTCTGCTTTTTGTAATTTAGTCCACGTATCGCCCAATGCTTTAGCAAAATGGTCATCAACTGAATCAAATCAAATCAAACATAAATAATATTTCAAACTAAATAATAATATCAATAATTACCTGAATATGTAATTGAGTTATTAGTAGAGTTATTGTTGAAGATTTGCTGGTAATCCTTACCCAGTGATCTTCTGAAGTGCTCTTCTATTACCGGATCATTTACTTCATCACTAATAACTAATCTTCTAGTGCTATGCCTTCTGTATGAACTATCATTTATGTCTTCACTATTACATGAATCACTCGAGTTATGACCACTTTTAGCATTTAACACATCGTTAATACAACACTTGTGGTATTTAGATGTCGGAGACACTGCTTCAGCATAAGAGGGAGGGGAAGGACTTATGGATTTGATTTGTTGTGTTTTCATTAGTGATGAGCCGTGAGTTATTACAGACGGTCTCATCATTTGTTGGCTGAAGAGTTGTGCCAAAGACGACGAGTTGGTCGGACTCTTTGAAACAACAGTTGAATCTGACTTTGAATCGGAACAACTCGACTGAGATTCACACGAATCTTGATTTCTGTATTTCTTATAACTCATGTCCAGAGGTTGGTCGTCATCTTCAAGAGAATCATTTGAAGAATGAGTTGATTGTTGCGAATTGGTATCACTAAAGCGTCTTATTATTGAATGTTTTGTACCATCCATTTCATTATAAGGTGATCCCCGATAGTTGGCCATCAAGTTGTCATTATCGATACCGGATCTATGACTAACACCACTATAAGAAGAGTGATTTGTAGCCGTTTTGTCTGATATTTCAGAAACTTCTCTATTAAATAAAAAAAATATTTAATTTGTAATATTTTAATTGCTATTTGTATGATAACTTACGGTCGGGTAATCTTAAAGCTTGATTTTCGGGCCAATTCTGGCCGATCTTCATTGTCTTGACTTCTCTTCATTTTAAAATATTTTTAATTTATACACAAATGATCTGCAAATTCATTCAAAAAATTACTGATAATTATTGATACAATAATAACAAACTAATGAAAATCACTGTCTTATTACTATATCATTGCATTATGTGTTTGTAAAACTTAATAATCATTTTCTTTATAATTGATTTGTATTTACAGTAAGTAATAAATTTGTTTTTTTTAAATTAAAAAAAGTGAGTTTCAATTAAGCTAGTACATATTACTAATCAATTTTGCACCATGTTGTTATATTTACAATTACTTTATATAAATATCATAAATGATAACAAAAATTAGTCAAATATTTAATAGTTATATAAATATATAACTTATATGATATACTGTATTAATATAATTTTAAGAGAGTTTAATTAAATTAATTGACTCATTAAATATTTTCACTGTTTATATATACAGTACAATGTATACCAATATATGATATACAGTACAATACATACCAATTATATAACATGACATCCATTAGTTGATAATTTATATGACAAATGTATTATATTGTTGATCACCTATAACTGGTTTCATTCAATTGATAGCAAATTACAACCATTTATTAAATCTATTCCTAATTTAGTTTATCGTCAACTTTGACAACACAATGATATGATATATCCTATGCTATACTTAAAACAAAGTTGTTTTCAACTAATCCACGTCTTTATCATATCATGTCATTTGTATGAATCGATGGTAAACTTTACTAAAATAAGTCATTGATTTAGACGATTATCAGTTATATTGTGGTCAATGTTAGCGGCGATAGTAAGCACTGACTGTCAATGTATAGCTGTTTTGAACAAAGCATTGAAAGCAAAGAGAGTTTTATTTTCAGCAAATATTTGAGGAATTTATGCAATAATTCAATGAATGTTTCGTTTGATTCAAAGCACACATAACTCTAAGTTTAGTCATTCAATAGCATTGCTCTCAACTCAACACTGATTACAGTTGTAGAGCCAGTTGTGAATCATTTGGCAATATATAAGACAAACACTCATTCATTGCTTAATACATGTATTAATACATTATGTGGTAAAACATTAACAAACATTTTAAATGTCCAAACATTCAACTAAATCGTATTAAATCTAATGCTTTATACGTACAACAATGTGTGCCCTTTTCATAATCAGTTTCAAAGTTTGATGACAAATAACTATACAATAGTTTACAGTGTTTTATCACTAGTTGGCAACACTGCAGCCGTTTTACATACATTTACTAATTTAATACTGTATTAAAAAATTGAAATTTAATACTTAATTATTGTTATATTTCACTCATTTACTAAACTACTGTATAATAATGACTAAATTATTTCAATTTTTATATCAAATTAATAATATTTGACTCAAATATTTTCAAGTATTTAATGAATTGTATTATCAGATAAAATATATAATTGATTGAAATAATGATGACTACAATCATATGACTATACATTCAAAGTGTGCGCCAATTGATTGTATTGTTGTATTGAATACTATTTAATACACAACACGTCGTCGACTGTAAAACACATGAAAATATCTAATCTTATGAATGGTTTCAATGATATGAGTGATAACATCATTGACTTTATAGTGATCGACAACAAGCAGACAATTTGAAGAACATTTGAAGGATTATAAGGTGATAGTGAGTGACAGATCCCATGCCATACCTGTCCTCGTGGGATGAGTTCGCCAAAGCGGCTCAACTCTTGTATTTGGCGGAGCCTTCAAAGTGTCGGTTCGTTATGAAGTACAGACATAGCGATGGAAAACTGGTCCTCAAGTGTACCGACAACTCGGTGTGTGTTATGTATGCCACACAACACTCGGCAGACATCAAGAAAGTGGAGAAACTGTCGACACAACTCATGAGACACATGGCGTCCAAAGACAAGTGACCACTACTTTGTCAACATTTCATTGTTTTTCAAATCTAAATATCTTTAAAATTATTATTAATTATCATTAGTATTATTAAAACATAATTTATATCATATATTGTATTATTATAAATAATAATAAATAGATAATTAATTGTAATGTCTATTGATTTATATTGATATGTTAGACGTATTCAAAATTGTTTGAATCAAATCTACAAAAATAAATGATTATTGAATTYAATATTAATGGCAACACTGGACTTGTTATGTGATACATATTTAAATATATATAAAATTAATGTTAATAAATGTAAAATTATTAAATTATATTTAACAATACATACAATAACATACAATACTACTGATAACTTAAATGAATTAATCATTAAATACTTCACTTGTAATAATATCTGTCCTAAATATCTTTACTTACCTTAAAATATTTGAAAAATATATTGTAATACTGTATTTAGTAACAGTAATAATTGTATTCAATATATGGTAATAAATTGACGTATTGTTTAAAGTACTAAAATAATTAATAATGAGAAACTCGAAATTATATTCAAATTCAATAAACAGTTAATAAATTATTTGTAATTACAGTATATTATCATTTATCAACACAAGACAAACAAAAGTAAAATAACTAACTTTACGTCAATTTTACTGTTTCTTATCGATTACAGTCAGAACTCTGTGTTGTCTTAAAACACCAAAAAGTCATTAAATTATTGTTAAATCAAATTATTGTTACTTTTTAAAACTAATGTCAAATCTTGTGATTAAATCAACTATTTATTTGTCTTTTGAGAAAAAATGCAATAAATTTTAACATTTATATTTCAGTTTATTTTGCTAATAATATAAAATTACAATTCATAAGATAATATATTTTTATATGTTTACAGAATATCAATTAATAACTTTATGCATACTTTTATTTATTTTAAGTTTTGAGATAAAAATATTTTTATAATTCTTATATTTAAATACAGAACGGTTTAAATAATTAAATATTTATAAATAATTAAAAATACAGTATATTGATGATATAATATTAATTTATATTATATAAAATAACTTATAACAATATGATATTCACACTATTAACAAAATAATATACACAGAATTTATTATATAAAAATAATTATAATTGATAACATATTAAATTATATAATAAGCAATATTAATCATCAATATTGTTAATTCATTTCAATCAATGAGATCTCTTTTTCATTTTCTCTTATAATAAGAGTATTTATATATTATATTTATTGAATAATTATTTATTTTGTCAAAATTAGTTGTTTGACATTTAAAATATTTGTACACAAATGAAATATATAAATATCTTAATACAGTATGTTAAACTGTATTTAGTTTATATATATAGAAAATGTTTAAAAATTAAACATAATTTATAATACAAATATAATAAACATGGATACAAATTTATCTGTCTATATATATATAATATATATAATAAATTTATATAAAATACACTTTATATGTATACAATAGGAGTGCTATATTGGAAATTAGGTCAGATTCATGAATATTCTTGATATTGTGAATATTATGTCAATACATAGAGTTATTATTAATACGATTAAATAGCAATGCTTTTGGTTAAAATGTATTGAAGATTACGTCTATTGGTTCAAATGATATTTGCATTGAATTTATCAAATGTTTTTCACTTATTTGCTTTTTAATAAATTCAATAACATTTTCTAAAAATAAAAACATGCTCTAAATATTATTAAAATTATATGTTTAGTGCTGTAGTAATACTACATATAACGCTATAAAGATAAATATAAAAAGATATGAATGATTAGTTAATATAACATATAATATGATAACATATGAGCACATAATTGGTGAATAAAAATTAATATCAATCATAAGTTGATCACATTTTTATCTATTAATCCATTTGTTTGATCGTTAAGCTGGCATTGCGTGTGATATGGTCTCCACCGTTGATATCGTAATCTCTAAATATAACACAAAAATTCATATTATAAGACATAAGTTATGAAAATAAATTGGTTTACAATATAGAGATATAATTAACTAATTATTCAAATGCATTAATAAAACTCCGGGACATTGTATTTATTGCTCACGTTATACTCAGCGGAAATAATTCAATATTTTCATGTAATGTATATAAATGTTATATTATGTATTATAGTGGTTATGAAAATATTTTTTAATGTTTCCTATTAAGTGATGTGTAAAAAAGTAAATGACATTTTACCAGATATTAATGTTGACAACAATTCTCATATAAATATTTTATTATTTTTAATATATCACATTTATTGTAATAAATTACATATTTTATTGAATTCAATTGTATTAATTCTAATAAATATATTTAGTATATATTGTAATGTTTTAGTTTCACTCACTTTCTATTATAATGAATGATTTCAAAATTTAGCTACAAATTCATATTAATATATATTATAATCAATAAATTATTTCTTATATTATATCATGTTAAAACTATTTTTAATAMTGTAATATTTGTCAAAAAATTATAATAATTATAATAATTAGACACTCATTGTAATTTATAGTACAATTACTATAAAAATTGTTTATCTATTTGAAACCTAATTTATCTCAAATCTAAGTTAAGTATGATTACGATTACACCTCATTTATAAATGTTTAAATGTTAATTAAATTTAAAAAATGCCGTAACTATTATTTAATAGATTTAATTTGGTTATCTAAAATATTTTTGCTAAACTACCACAAAGTTTCCATAAAATTTAATACCAATTATAGATTTAAATAACTTAAATATTTTGTTAAAATGAAAATAATTATAATGCATATTATTGAAAACAACTGACAATAGTTGACTGTAGTGTATAATAATTGATATGAATATTTTGAGTAAAATAATTTTAGTGATCAATGGCACTGTAATAATTGCAAATGATGTCAACGTATTATTATATGAGTGCTCTCTCTCTCTCTCTCTCTCTCTCTCTCTCTCTCTCTCTCTCTCTCTCTCTCTCTCTCTCTCTTTGTCTGTCTGTCTCTCTGTTTGTGTATTGATATAAATAAATCAATAAAAAGTATGATAACATACTTCCTTGGTTTTGTCCAAAATTGTTGGTTTTTTCTGATAATACAATATCCAGTGATCTGCCGAAGAATCGCTTATGTAATCGATATAAAGTGGCAATTATTATACAAATTGCAAACATCGAGAAGGCATACATAAAGGGAAATAACCACACTTTAGGCAATTGCTGTAATCAAATAAATAAATTAATTAAATAATACTATTACTTATATTTTTCAAAAAAAGTAAAACTGAAGTTTTGTACATTTCCATTAAGTATTGTATATTATAAAATAAATTATCAACCAAACCATAAAATTATAAAAAATTCTAATAAATAAATTTATTTGATTTTAATTTAATTTTATAAATATAATATAAGTTATTATAGTTTACTTGTAATTTAGAATAGAATATATATATATATATATATATATATATATATATATTGAAACTAATAGTCACTATATATTAAATGAATTATTAATAACTAATCGCAATTTTAGTGCTCAATTTTAATGATCTTATTTAAYTTAAATTTATTAAATTATAATCAATTTAAAGTTGAGACCGTAATTTTCAAAAATTTATATATATCAGTATTCAATTAAAATTATTAATTTTTAAGTAAGTTACAAAAAACTAAAAAAGTACAACGAAAATTTTCTGAAATTCAAAAATTTGAAATATTTATACTTTGTAGAAGTCTATTTTGAGAATGCTATTAAATTTATATAGCTTTTATTTGCTTAGTTTTATGTGTTTTATAAAATAAAAATTACTATTTCAAATAATTTTATTATTATTTTTTTGTCAATTTATAATTTTATTTTTAAAAATAAAAGTGATCAAGACAAATAAATATTATTAATAAACATTAATTCTTAGATATTTATTGCAATTTATGTAAAGTTAATTATTATTGTAAACAAATGATTAATTTGATAATAATACTAAAATTTCGGTATTTTTTAGTTTTAAAAAAATTACTTAAAACTTACTAATTTTAATAGAATACATAATTTCAACATTTGTTTACTTAATTTAAGTTTATCATAAGTTTATTAAATAATGTTTTAATTTTGCTTTTTAGGATTTGTTAAACTAATAATTAAATGAATAGTTTATAAAACTATATAATAAATGTGTAAATTTCATTAAAATCTCAATAAACACTATCAWTTTTTAATTGTCAATATCAATTATGCAAAATGTCATACATTATTATTTATAATATAAAGTTACATTAATTAATTGAAGGTCAAAAACATGATCCTTAATGTTATAATTTGATATATTGTGATAATAAAAAAGTGTTGAATATGTAATTAACGTAACTTTAAATGTTATTTATCTCTTGATTGTAATTTTTATTCATTATTTTCTATATTTATATATACAGTACAGTATATATATATAGAAATTTACACACTTTATAAAAATTTCTTATTTACACATTAAAAACTTTTTTATATTCAAACTAAACTTAGTTTAATAAGGATTGATTTGAATATGCTTTAATATACCCAAAAATTATGACAATTTACGTCAACTTAAATATATTAGTAGTAATAGTAAATTAGTAATAATAATAATGATTAGTGAATGTCTATTCATATAAAAAAAGTTATTAATTTTTAAAAGCTATACTGATTTCAATGACTCATCTGTGGTCAATTAACTTAATCATATATTTTTTATTAAATAACAAAACTATAAAATATTAAAAAATCAATGTTTACGACTTTTTTTAGATCATAAAAGACATTGAAAGTTAATATAAAAACATTGGTTAAACTACTGTAGCTATAAATTATAACTTATAATAACCTTATACTAAGGACACAAATAGCGTTAACTATTACTTAAAATGCATAACTAGGTTGTAATAAATTAAAAAAACACTCATTTAAATCACGTAATATATAATTGATTTATAAACAGACATATCGTTTTATAAATTTATATATAATTATTCAACACACAATTGTTTACTAAAAAATTCATTTTCAATGTTAATATCTCTCAATAATTTGTAATAATTGAAGAAAAWTTTAAACTACTAAACTAATTATATATAACCTTAAAAATAAAATTTAAATAATAAAAAATTGTTTTTTTGTTTATTTCGTATAATAAGTATTATGAAAAATAATAATATTATATTAAAAACATTTTGGCAAAGACTACTTGAGAGAAACCTATTTCCGTTAAACATATTTTAACTGTTATACAATGCTTTCATTAGTTATTTAATATTAAAAATAAGGTTAATAATCAAATTTAATTAAACGTCTCAATGCAATTAAAAATATATTTATAGCTAATTAAAAGTAATATCTTTAGCTAAAAAATATTAATATATCTTAAAATAATATTAAAATATAATATTTTCTATTTTTTACTAACAATGTTTAAATACTAACAAATTTTTATCATTCATATACATGTATGTTTTGTATTACAATTGATAATTTATTATAATTGTCATTTATCACATCATATTGTATATTTAAATTTATAAATAATCTTTTTATGTTTTTTAATATTTTACATTTATATAATAAAGTATTTATATGTTAACAGCATAAAAATAATTAATTCTGTAATGTTTAGCATATATTTTCAATTTTTAATGCATTTTCATAAAAGATATTTAAATATTTTTATTATTGATTTAAAATCCTGAGTTATCTTTATTGCAAAGTTATAAATATGAGTCTTAGAAAAAAAACATTTTGACTTTTTTACTAAATAATATTTGAAACTTTGATTTGAAATATAATTTATGAACAAATAAACAAATTTAAATAAACAAATTAAACTATTGTGAAATTTTAAAAATATATCAATAAATATTTATTATATATTTTATATATTATATTTTAAAAAATACTGAATTTATAATGAATATTATAATTATATTTTTTATAATTAATGTTTATTAATATAATTACTATTATAGAATATTAGTAATTATTACAATTTCCTCTATTTATTTGTTGCCTAACTGGCAATCATTTACGACAGTTGGATACAAACTGCGGCACAATTTATACCTTTATAGTGCTATTTCGTCATCTATTGCTAAGCGSGAGGAATCATCAGAATGTACCGCAAGATAGATAAAAATGGTTAAAACTTATCGATAATTACCTATTGTTGTGATTACTAGTCGCTTATATATCCAACTACTAAATGACCATTTTTTTAGAGAGAGAGAGAGAGAGAGAGARAAATACATATACATTGTATGCATTGTATTATATTTATTTGTATAAGAAATTGGATATTTAATTTCAAAAATTTTTAATTTAAAATTACTGAAATAGTGCTATAAAATGTGCCGCAGTTTGTGGCCAACTGTCGTAAATGATTGCCGGTTACGCAACAAATAAATAGAGGAAATTGCAATTATTACTAATATTTTATAATTAATTTTGATTCATCTAACTAAACCATTATATAATTACTATTGTATTAAGTACTTAATTGGTGATTTAAAAATACTATAATATTAATTATTAGTTTTATAACTATTAGTTTTTATTATTATAGTATCTTATTTTAAGATTTAACAAAATTAATTGTAAGGTCTTAAAATTATTTCTCTACTTTAGAGCAAAAAATTAGGCAAAATGTTAATCAATTATAAAATTTAAATAACACTTAACATGTCGTAAACGTTTAAACAAATTGATATACATTTGTAATTTGTATTAACATTAACTTAATATAACTTTTAAATTAATTAATAGTTTGTTTAATTAATTTAGGAGTTTAATGAATTATTTTTAAGTTAATGTACATTTTAAATATATTTAATTATTATAATATATAGAAAGCTATAATAATAATAATAATAAATATTGTATAAAATTGAACATAAATAAATATTTTAACGCATGAATAACTTTTTTTATCAAAATTTATATATGATTTGATTAAATAAACAAAAAAAAGTTATAAAGAAAATTTTTAGATCAAAAAACACTTCAATAAATAAACTGCAAAATTCACGCAATATTTCGTGATTTGTGATACGTTTGCAAATATGAAATTATTGTACGGATTAGTGCACTAAATAAAGAGTAAATACTTCTATATATTTATAAAAACTTTTCAATAAAAGTGTCTTTTTAACTGTTATTTCAATTTGAAGATCATTGATATATTTAGTAAAGTTAGTTCAAAGTTGATTACAAATCTATAAAAATCTAATTTACGTTAAAATTAATGAACAAACAAATAGTTAAATAAATACCTCATAAGGAAATGACAGCGAAATGATGGTGAGGGCAGTGCCCACGTTCTGTATTCCCGCTTCTATAGCTATAGTGCGCCGGAATGAGTGCTTTAATCGGAATATACTGGCGGCTAAATAACCCAAAGTAAAGCCTAATAATGGTAGAGCCAACTCAGCCACATATATGGATAGAGGAACGCCATGAAAGATGTTTGGAAATATAAACACTTCCAGTGTCTGGCAAACAGCTATTATTGAAAATCCCGCATAACTTCCAATCTGACAGTTAATTATWATATAAAAAATATTGTTATTATAAAATAAACAATTATTATAATGTCTTATAAATTAGAAAAAATTAAGTTCAAGTATAATATTCAAGCCATTAAATAAATAAATAATTTTTTAAAATAGAAAATTTATAATTAAATATTTTTTATATTAGTGTAAATTACAAAAATTTATTTATAATTTCTGATGATTTAATTATTACTCATTATGATTTAGTTATACAATAAAATAATATATTGTAAGTTAAATTAAATTACTATATTTAAAATAAAAATATAGTATGTATAATATATTTTTATTCTATCATATTTTATTCAAAAATATATTGATACGGTATATTGGTATTCATAAATATATATTTCTAAAAGCGTTTTGTTTTTTAAATAAAGCTATAATACTAAACAAATCTTAAAAATATAGTACAAGGACTTGAAGAACAAAAACAGATAATATGGGTAAACAACTAAATGTTTATTTGTTTAAAACATTTTTAAAATGAAAATTAAATAGTTTTTAATTAACGCCTTAATTTATTGTCTAAAATAAAAAATATAATTATTTAGTATATACTGTATATGTTACACTACAGTATTGTAACTTTAGATAATAAATAATAAAAATGTTAAATTAATACACTTTTAGGCGGTTTCTTGTTTCAAAAAATAATGTCATATAAAAAATAATTTATTTTAATATTTCATGTTAAAATAATAACATATTGTAAACTTTTTTTATTATATGTTGTATATACTAGTATTATAATTATTATATACTGATATTTACAATATCTAACATAGATTAATAATGTTTGTTATAAAATATTAAGTATAATACAATACTTATAATACGGTATATAAACTTTAGTGATAAAAATTTCAAAAATGTGTACAAAAAATATGTCTATTAAATGTCAATAAAATTATTTTATCAATCATTATATAATAATTATTTAGTTTATCATAATATTTAACAAAATTATCAAACTAAACACCAAGATTGCAATCCATTTGACTAAAATTAAATAATTTGTATTTTATGATTTAACACAATATTTAAATACTGTTTTGTACTGTATATAAATTAAATGCTTTTTAAGATTTTAAGAAAAATACAAATATTTAATTCTTAAGTTGTTTTTACAATATTTGAAATGTAAGAAACCTTAAGTAAAAAATAGAGTTCATTATTACTCCATTGGCACTAAATTTCAATATTAATTCATAAAACTCAATGTCAATTATACTATTGAYTGTCATTTAATTTAATTTTTATCAAAAATAATTATACTATAAATTATTTATATAGCGATTCACAAAATGTAATTATTATTACCTCAATTGCTACTCCTAATAGCATTTATCAAACTTAAAATACTTTATTATAAAAACTTAATATTTTTGTTTTTATTTAAAAATAAAAAATAATAAAAGTATCGTTATTAACGTTATATATTAAAATTTATTTTATCCTTCAAAAAGAGTGTGTGGTTATTATAATAATTGTGTGATACCTGAGCTAAAATGGGTGCAAACTTAGGAAACTTCCAGTTGACAATCATACCAACGATGACGGGTGTGGTCAGTGATAGCAAAGATATCATCATTTTTCCGTATGGTATGACCAGACTTTCCGTTTCCAGACTTCGCCCATAAAGCCATACATTAAAAGGCATCATAAATAAGGCAGCAATTGTTGAAAATGATGTCATCGTTACGCTAGAGATTAAATATTTATCATATATTTTAATTTAAACCACAACTTATCGCAATATATAGTACATATAACTTATTTATTGTATATTAACTTATTTAAATATAATTTTCATAACAAATAAAATAGTCGTTTTTAGTTGTTTGTAGACTCACCTCAAGGATAGATCTCCCTCACAAAAATAGGCAAATATATTGGAGGCGACACCACCTAAAACAGTGGTTTAAAAAATTAATTAAATTGATAAATATATTAGTGATTTATTTGATTACCAGGACTACAGGCGAGTATCAACATTCCAGTGCCGCGTAAAGCATCAATAGATAGAAATTTAATGAGACAATAGGCAGAGAATGGCAGCAAAAAAAATTGACTAAACATCCCTATTATGACACCAACCGGGCGTCGTATGTGTCCCCAAACCTGTGCTCATAATTGATTCATTAATATTAGTTATATTTAATTTATTACTTATTACTTAAAAATTAAAATTACTAAGTCACTTAATTTTATTAAATGATACTATTATATTATAGATTTTAGTAAAATACAATATTTATATTATACTGGAGATATAATTAGATACAAAATAAGATAAATTTCTAACCCAATTGAGAAATTTTACTCAGAAAAGTTAAGAGATTTTTATATATTTAACATTACTTTATTCAAAACTTTTCATAATATTTTTAACATTGTGTAGTAATTGTAATAGTAATCATAAATTAAAATAACTTACAATTACTAAACAATGATCTTCTATAGCTATAACTATATTATAAATAGGGTTAGATTAGATTCCCTCCCTCGTCTTATATTCCATAAGTTCCTTATATTCCCTGTTCCCTGGGAATTCCCTGGGAAGACATTTCCTTGTGGTACCACCTATCGTACCCTAACTCACATTACATAATGTTTTATTAAAAACATGTTTGTATAGTAAATGTCTACAAAATGTATTTAATGTTTTTACTAAATGTTTAATATTATTAGAATCATATTTTGATTGAGTTATTACTAACATAATGGTCCCAATTGAAACACATAGTCATTGAGATTAGGTACTTTTTAATGTATGACAAATTATATTTTCCCTTTCTAACGATCAAGGGAGGGAATATAATATATTTTCCATATTTTCCGGGAAAATTGGAGGGATTTTATCTGGGAACTTCCCTCCCTGGGAATCTCAATATAACCCTAATTATAAATGAATAAAAATCTATAAAATTTCTAAATGTTATAAGTTTTTAAAAGAAATTTCTGTCTATGAGATCCCCAAATGTTAATTTTAGTTTTAACAATATATTATAATTATTACTAATAACTAAATATATTATTAATATATTAATTAATTAATATTTAAAGTAACAACATTAATTTAGTTTAGTAATTATTTTGTATTTTTAGTTGTTATAATCAATTAAAAATAATTGAATTATTAATAAAATTTTACAAGAACTAATTATAATAATTATAATAATTTTATCAAGTTTATATTTCATTTGTATAGTAATGTATTGTATATTATGTATTCATAATAAAGTATTACAATAGCTATATATGTATGGAATCCCATAGTATAATAATTAAGTAAAATTTCAAAATAAAGTAGCAGGCGCGGTTAAGAAAATTTTTGAAATTAATATTTTAACTGATATATTTTAATATATAATATAATTTTACACATATATATTAAATTTTAGATCAATCGGATCAATATTTTTATAGTTATTGAATAAAATAAAATTTGATTATAATGGGAGGTATACAAAAATAATCAAACTTTGACCCACCAAAAAACACCCGTCCCTGGGATCAATTGTCTTTAAATTTGGTGGGTCAAAGTTTGATTATTTTTGTATACCTCCCATTATAATCAAATTTTATTTTATTCAATAACTATAAAATTATTGATCCGATTGATCTAAAATTTAATATATATGTGTAAAATTATATTATATATTAAAATATATCAGTTATAATATTAATTTCAAAAATTTTCTTAACCGCGCCTGCTACTTTATTCCAGAGAAAATTTCTAGAAATATTGTTATCCAATATATTTTTAAAAAAAATATTTGGTAATCTGTAGATTCAGTTCAATAGATAAATTATATTATTGATTTATTACTGATAATAATCATAATTAAGACATACCTGTTTTTAATTAGCATTAAAATTAATTTTAAAAATATCATTAATTATTATTTCACATAAAAATAACAAACATATATAATATATGTTTAAAATAACCTTAAACAATTTACAATTGCATTTAATTATATGCAATTTAAATTTAAATTTGACGTAAAATTAAAAAATATATATGTTATACTTATGCTAATTTAAAATACAGTATAAACCAAAAATTAATATTTTTGCCAAATAATCTATTTATAATACAAACATAATGTTTTATATGTCAAGTTATGATTTATTTATAGTAATATAATATAAAATATAAATTAAAAAATTTTAGTGAAAATAATTATAATATTCAATAAATTTAAAAATTAAATCTGGTATTAATTATCTGATTAATTCCTAAATCTGCATAATTAAGTATCTGAATTAGTAAAGTTTGCATCTTTTCGTTACTTTTGATTAATTTTTTAATTTTTACTTTAGATTTGGATATTTGATTAAAAAAGTAAAATATGAATGTTTGAAAATATAAGGAACTGGATGTCAATAACTAGAGTTTAGGTTTTTATTAGTCAGTACTTAAAGTATTGTATGTTAATGTGAAAAATAATGTCTATTATATGTTTGATAATTATCGTACACTTTATGTTATTTTCCAATTAGTATTGAATGGATATTTAAACTATAATTTCTATAAATAGTTGTGTATTTTCTATTTTAAAGTTAATCGTGTATTTGGCACCAATACCATCGGGTGCACCAAATGTTTAAGTTATAATATAATTTATAACTTATAATAAAGTGATAGTAGATTACCGTATATTTGGTTTGTTATGTTTTTTTTGTCAGCTATTAACACCCAGTGTCTGTACTACCAATTAAGTAACGCTTACACTCCCGCTGACCATCTGTGGTCTCGGAAGTTATACAAATCCGTTACAAAAATTATTTATCATAACTATTATAAATATTGCAACAAAATTAAAAAAATTAGTAAACACTTAAACTTAGATGTAATGTATATAAATGTTTTTAAGATGTATATATTTTGTAATCTCCAATTAACTCCATTGACCCCATTGACCTTTTGGCCATTATTCTTGACTTTTGAGCCAATTTAACAATTTTATCTTTTTATATTTAATTAAATGATATTGTAATGAATAATCTAATAAATACTGAATATAAAAAACTTTAAAAGATATGATAAATTAAACTAAAAAATAATTATAAGTTATTTTATAAATATTATAAATTATATAAAACAATAAAAATGTAATTTTATTTAGACAGTTTTAATAAAAAAATATTAATTTTTTTGGTTTATTATATTGATAAAAATGTAAATTAGAAATAAAACAAAATTAAAATATAATTAAATTACAATATTATCTATTTTTAAATATTTGTTATTTTACCAGAGACTTGCTATTGTTTTTATTTTTTATTATCAATTTAATTGCTTATTATAATAGATTAATGTATTAAAATAATCTAAATACTCTTCGGTAGAAAATTAAAATATAAAAAAAAATATTCTGGTGATTTTAGATATTTATTTTTAATATTTAAATACTTGATATTATATTTAATATATATTTATTATATAACATATATATATATAATTTATATATTCATATATTTAACATTTATTTATAAAATATATTTATTGATTAATTTTTCTTATATGAAACAAATATCAATTTTATTGATTTAAATATTAAGAAAAACACAAAGTATAATAAAAAGGAAAGAGAGTAAAATAAATATTAAATTATTATTTGAATAAATATGATTTTGTATTAATATTTTAATTTATATAAAAATATTTTTATTATCATTTTTAAGAATAAAACTATTTATACATTAAAAATGTTAATTTATGTTTCAGTATATGAAGACAGTAATCAATTAATAAAATAGTAATAAAAATAAAATTTAACCGGTATTAATTATATACCTAAAAATATTTATTTTTAAAATAAAACATAATTGTAATATTAAACTTAAAGATAAAAATAAAATCGATTAAAATAATCTTATATAATAAAAATTATATATATTATACTAAAACAAAAATAAAATGATAGATGTCTTACCTGATCCCAAGTGATTGAACAGCCCATTGCAAACATGACAGACACGAGAAGCACAACAATTAGGATGTCGTGAACTTTCTTGAGTATTGGTGGCGAAACATAAGGAGCGGGGGTTCGGGAGGGACCGTCTGAGCTATTATTGACCATTTGTGACAATACTGTCATATTGTCAACTAAAAGACTGGTCAATGTTGTCGTACCAAATGTTGTCATTATTTGTTTTTAAAAAGTTATAACTTATTTGTATAAATTGTATAAACAAATATTAGGTTTGACATTAAAATTATAAACACAATAATATATTGTATAACATATACTAAGTGAATGTCTGAAAGATTATTGTCACATAAAAAGCTGAATTATGTGTGAATCGACACCAAAGTACTGCAAACTGTGAAAAACCAAATTTTAACCGCAATTAGAAAAATAGGAAATTATTAATAATATTAAATAAATTTGTTGATTAGTTTACAGTAGTTTGCAAATAATATTTACACTTTTACTGTCTATATAAATGTCTAAATACCTGATTATACGGTTAACTACATATAAAGTACAGCGACATATGTTATGAGTGAATGGGAAAAGGTGTCAATGGTTTGGATGCTAGAGATCTGAATTCAAGGCAATCATAACACAACTTAAATACAGACTGACTATCAATGATAGTATTGATATTATATTTAATAATTTCCTCTCAAATCTATCTCATAGAAGGACACTATTATCTAAATTTATATGTATACATTATAATCAACTCAATATAATATTATATATATATATATATATATATATAATAATACTTGAAGTTAGTATATAAACATTATTTTATATTTTTTATATATGATATTACACTAATATAATATGTAATAAAAATATTTTGTTTGTTTATATGTTTGTTGTGTTTACTTATTAGCAAATTATAAATAAAAACAAATTATTGTTTATAATAAATATTCAATTTAATTTAATTATTTTAATGAAAAACATTGTTTAGTATTTTCATATTTATACAACTGAATCGCATTTGATATGAATAATAGCTATTTATATTTTTTATTAAATTTTATGAAATAGACTTTTGTAGAATAATGTGTGTTTGATATTAAATGTATTAAATTGAATATTACACAAATTATTGAGAGAAACTTTATAATTGATTGAAAACATTGCATATACTTTACAATTAAATTTAGATAATATTTTTTTATAGAGATTTTATAGAGAGTTAGTTTCATTAGAGCTGAACGATTCGCATCTCTACATGTTTTTCATGTAATATAAAGTTTATAAGTTAGAGACTAAAGTAAAAACATTATATTTGATGGTTTTTATTAAGTACAGTATAAACAATACAATTCAGTTGAATATTATACTGTATATACTGTATATACTGTAAATGGTAAGGTATGTATAGTATTATATATACAATCTGTATGTGAGTTTTGACTGTTTATATTTCCTCATTTGGTTTACTCATATCTAATGGCTTTTTTGTCCACAAGAATCAAAACAAGACTTTTGTCGATATATTGACTGTCTTTGTGTTTCTATAATAATCTCTCACTCAGTCATTCAATCAATACAAATATGTTTTATTTATTTTATTATATCATCATAACATACAATATATAATAATATAATATAAGTTTGTTCTCAGATATCACTTATATTTAAGTTTTTTGTCTTACGTTTTGTCTCTTTATTTTGAGGATAAAAGAAGATAAAAATAAGGAGAAAAAGTTAAATATATTTTAGTGAAGACTCAGTCTCTAAATGATTCAATAATATAATATATCACTCAATTTGTTTGTTCAATGCATCACTAATTCAACCAATAAATAATCAAACATTGAATTGAAAGAAAAATTGAGACAAACTGTGAAAAAGAGTGTAATAAAAGAGTAAAATAAAATCATTTATATTAATAAAATAAAATTAATGTTCAAATTAATAAATAAAATTATACTGATTTCTACTATATTACCAAAAAATGTTAAATTGAAAGTTATTTAGACTGTAAAGTAATTGTTATAATTAATATACAAAAAATAAATAATAAAAAATAAAAAAGGTTATGCGATATTAGCAAAATTATTACTTAATTGACATAATTTTATTTTAATATATTATGAAAATACTTTTTGACTTTTTTATGTTAAGTAAAATAATATAATTGTTGATTTCAAATGCCAAACAAACAACATAAAAATTATTTTAAAAGAAAATAATATACTTTATATTAATGATTATTGATAAAGAAAAAAATTCAATACTCATATTTACAAACAAATAACAATTTTAAAACCACTTAAATTAGTAGACAAAACAACTGAATGAGAGCATAAATTATATAATAATATTCATATTTATTTATTTAATGTTATAAAAGTGTTTTTATTTATTAATTTGTTGTAAACAAATTGAGTTTATTATAGCATTTTAAAGATTAAGATAAAATAAATACAAAATACTGATAAATCGCTATTTTAATGTCAGACAAATAAATTTTTATTTTATTTTAAAAGTAAAAAACTTGCAAATAAAACAAAATATGTTATGTGTGTATGTTATGTATAAATGTATTTATTTATAAAAATCGACACAATTTATACATTATATTACTATGAAATCAAATCATGTAATCCTTGACCCATTGATTTAATTATATAGAGAATGAGTTAACTCAATAAAACATTAAAAATAGGAAAGTGATGGATGAGTAATACAAATAATATTAAATACAAATAAATAATATATTAATTTATTATATTATAAACACCTTTTATTTTTATATAATTTATTATATAAATATTGATTCACTAATTTTATTAACTTAATAACAAAAAATTAACAAAAATGACAAATATTTTTCAACTTTTAATGCTCTAAATTCAAAAATATCGATAATATTAGTATATTATAATTAGTGATATTGAAACTAATTTTTGATAAAATGTAACTAACTTTAGACTATTATTAAATATATTAATATAAGTAATTGATTATTAATGGTTATCAATGATTATAAACACTAAGTTATCAAATGGTCTTTAATTTGCATTTGACAAATAATTGGATAAAATCAATTTTAGTAATTTTAACATGGTTAAATTTTAGTTATTGTTTTGTCACTTATCAACATTAGTTTTAATTTAAATGAAATATAAATGATTGTAAAATTAATAAAACAATTATTATTTAATTTAATGAATAATTATTATAAAATAGAAATATTCAAAAATGTTAGTAATATCTGTATTACTAATTATAGAATATCTTACAAAATCATGAGTACAATACTCAACACAATACAAAATTGCATTTTTTAATTTGCTAAATATATAATAATTATTACAATATACAGTATAATACAAATATCTAATAGCATTTGATTAAAAATACCAAATTTATTTACAACTAGTGTTGGCAAAATTATATAAATTTTACAAAACTGATTATTATTGAATAATTATACTTATTTTATATATAGGTATCCCATTTTGTATAGTAGTGTTAATACATTATATATTTATAGTATAATGTTATATGAAAAGTATTGTTTCATTATTAATATAGTATTAAAATAGCTATAGATATGGGGAACCCATAGTATAACAATAAAGTTAAATTTCTATAGAAATTTATTCATGAGAAATTTTCTAGAAATTTCCTATTTGCCCATCTCTATTTACAACTAAAAAATATCACATATTATATATTTTATTTTAACAATTTATTTATTATTTATTAAATCAATACTAATGTTATCGACTATTAGTCAAAATTTAAGTTTCGTTTCAAACTCTGTCTAAATGATTGTTATTTCATCTAATTTTCTTAACTATTGCTTGTCTTCTGTATCAACAAAAAACATTTAAAGAAATAAATTATTTAATAAGTGATACAATTATTTTATATTTTCCTTTTTTAAATTACTTAACTAATTGTTCCAAAATTCAGTATAAAATTTTTATTAATTAGAAAAATCTAATTACAAAATAAAACACATTTTCTTTTCACGAACTCCTGAAATATATATTCATTCTATAAGTCTGTCTGTCTGTCTGTCCCACATAGGTCAGTGGTTCGAATCCAGTCGCTGCTACAATTTTTTTGAAGTTTTGAATTTTATTTTTTGATAAAGCATCAAAAATGAGCTATGGGGATTAGTATTAAAATTTTGATATTTCATCAGGAACATAGAGAAAATGGCGTCTAAAAATTTTTTAAAAATTGATTTTAAATTTAGATTTGTGTAAAACATCAAAAATGAAGTATAAGAGATCTGCATTTAAATTTTTATATCTTCAAGAACTACGAGAAAATGACAAATAAATTTTTTATTTTGTTATACTGAATCATTTGATACCAGATATGATTATAGTTGAGATAATTTTTTATTCTGAAGCATTTGATTTACAGCATGTCTATAGTTGAGTTTATTTTGTAATACTTAATCATTTGATACATTGTATGACTATAGTTGAGTTATTTTGGTATTCTGAACAATTTTATATTCCAAATGACTATAGTTGATTTTATTTTGTCATCCTAAATTTAATTTTTAATTAGGATTTAGGAGTTCGTATGGAAATGCTTTCTAGCATTCTCAACTGGTTATTAAATGGAAAGATAAAATAAAATATTTTATTTAATAATATTATTAATAAAATACTTTACTTAGAATTAATATGTTTTAATTGATAACAAATTATTATTTGACGCTTAAATTTTAAAATATAAAAAAATGTTTACGTTTGGGGCTGTTCACATACTACGTTCGCACTTTTTAAGAAATCTAGACCCCCTCCCTCCCCTATGTTCGCAATTGTTCGTATGTAGTCATTTAAAAAAATTACGTTCGCATTTCACTAACCGCTACCCCAACCCCCCCATCACAAGAAATAAAATATTATGTAAATGCGAACGTTCTTAAAGTCTCTACCCCTCCCCTTCTCTCCCCATCGTTCGCAATATGTGAACCACGCCTTTATTGGTTTGCTATTTAAGTTTAAATTAAATTAGCTAAAAATGAATAGTGCAATAAAATATACTTATATTTAATTTCAAACTTAAACAATAATATATACTGTATATATATTGTTATAATTTTAATGTTAGATTTTTTTTAAAACCTAAATTTCGATAACATTAACTTTTTTAGTTTTTATTAATTTGATAATCCGATAACT